ACTATTCCGTTTTCCTTACCTTTGTCTGTGGCAATACGCTCTGCGTGAGGCTATTTAAAAAAAAAAAAAAAAAAAAAAAAAAAAAAAAAAAAAAAATGCTATTTGATCCAATATCATTGTTTAATAAGACTTATATTAATTATGAAGAAATAATTGAAAGGAAATAGGACCGTGTTGGGTGTCTAGACCTAGAGTCTCCTGCCCTCTTTTATCTTTGCAATAAATATATGGATGAGATTATTTAGGCACTCCAACATATATTTTTAATAACATATCGTCTTTTCTTCCTCCTCATATATCTGAATTCTGTTCTGTAGTCTGTACCATAGAGTACCTATGAACATATAATTACATCATAGTCAACGAAACATTACATTTGCGATTGGATTTGCAAATCACAAATATTAACCTGAAACCGCCATTTTGTAAAAATCTATGGTATAAAAATTCTTATTGCAGTTTCCGGCCTAACGTCAAACTTAACCTTTCCATTTAGTTAGCATAGATTGCGCATGTTTCCGGTTATTAATGTTTACGCCTACCAGATAATCACTTGGCTTAATCATTTAAATTTGTAATAGTTAGCTCATTCGCACATACCACGGCTGATTGACTGCGGTTACATTCGACGGTAATCACTATGAGGTATTTAGTTCAATGCTTTAGGAATTGTGCCAGAGAATTAGGGATATTTCAACTAAGCAATAATTTTTTTTAGTAATTTTAGAGTGTAAGGTATGTGTACCTAGACACAGACTAGATATGATGTTTTATACAAAATTTACGGGCTTTTGCCTTATATATCAATATCATACTAGTGATCTGTGTGATAATAGTATAAAGTCAAAGTCTATCGTTATTATTTCTAAATGGTTTACGTTAAAGCCATATACAAGTAGCGGCACGAAACTCTAGCGCTGACCGTTATTGCGCAGAAGTAAAAAATAAGGTACCTGAGGGGGGCTAGCGGGCGCGCGTAGCGTCGATTGGCTCTCCAGTCGCATTCCGTCCCCCATGCGACAGTATACATGCGCAGCAATCCCCTCCACGTATCGGCCAGCGCTAGACTTACGTGCCGCTGCCTATACTGGGTTATAGAACAATACTTTAGGATTTATGGTGCTGATGAGGCAAGAACCTTACGGGACCGCAAATCAATATAGAAGCTTATAAGTCGAGATATTAGATATACGAAGTAGGATTCGTAATGAAAACGTTTTTATAGAAAAGTAGTATTTTGATTAAAGATCGGTATATATTATTCAAAATTTATTAAAAATCATACTATTTAAAACAATATTAATGGATTGGCAAATATTTATGAAACTGTTTAATATAGTCAAAATATAATATTAGGTCCTTACATATGAAATTGGCGTATTTCGTACTGGCTACTTTAACCACGATGTTCTCCTCTTTGGAAAGGAATTCCAAATTCAAATTTGTACAGCTATTTACTCATGTATTTGTGCTTCAATGACTGTCATTCATTTGTTTTTTTCTGTTTGCGTCACTCATTTTACAAAATGGAAAACTTAAAGTATCGCATTATTTACGAGTACGAGTTCCACCGTGGCACTAGTGCTGCGGAAACGACTCGAAGGGTGAATGATGTGTATGGCGGTCATGTTGCAAAAGAAAACACAGTTCGTTTTTGGTTCCAACGTTTTCGTTCTGGAAATGTCGACCTGCAGAACAAACCCCGTGGACGGCCTGAGACCCAAGTTGATAATGAAGTATTGAAGGCTATTGTGGAAGCGGATCCATCGCAAACCACGTCCGAGTTAGCTGCAGGCTGCGGTGTTAGTAATAAAAAAATGTTAATTCACTTGAAGCAAATTGGGAAGATTAAAAAGCTTGAAAGATGGCTACCTCACGAATTGACTGAAGCAAACCGGCAAACGCGCGTCGTCTGCTGCGTTACATTACTGAACCGGCACAATAATGAAGGTATTTTAAACTGAACATTACCTGTGATGAAAAATGGATTCTTTACGATAATCGGAAGCGCTCAGCGCAATGGTTGGATCCTGGCCAGCCAGCCAAATCCTGCCCCAAGCGAAAATTAACCCCAAAAAGTTACTTGTAAGCGTTTGGTGGACTAGTGCCGGTATTGTTCATTGCAGTTTTCTCAAATCTGGCCAGACTATTACGGCTGATGTATATTGTCAGCAATTGCAAACCATGATGGAAAAGCTAGCGGCTAAACAACCTAGGCTGGTCAATCGCTCCACGCCACTGCTACTTCACGACAACGCTAGACCACACACTGCACAACAGACGGCTACCAAATTAGAAGAGCTTCAATTGGAATGTCTAAGACATCCTCCGTACTCCCCGGACCTTGCTCCAACAGATTACCATTTTTTTTGAAACTTGGACAACTTCTTGCAAGGGAAAAAATTTAACTCTGATGGGGCAGTCCAAATCGCCTTCACAGATTTTATTGATTCCCGTCCGACTGTTTTTTTTAGTTAAGGGATCAATGAACTACCTATGAGATGGCAAAAGTGCATAGAATACAATGGTTCATACTTTGATTAATTAAATATATCATATTTAAAAATATTCGACTTTTTGTTCCTCCCATACAAAACGCCAATTTCATATGTAAGGACCTAATATTAACTTATTATAACAGCGTAAAGTTGATAAGCTTTTCTCAATATTGAAGGTTGGGGTAAGATTAAAAAATGAGAGACGCACGACATACTTGTATTGGGTATTGACATGAATCATAGTTCGCGCAGTCTTGATTCTGAATATCACCGTTGCATTGGTTCGAAACTGCAGTGCACCAATGGAGCTATCTTCTTACTATTTCAATGAGTATAACTTGCTTGGTGAATTAAAACCTCGCGAAGAAGCCAGCGTGTCTTTGATACGAAAATCAACGGCATTTGTCAAACACAGAAGGGTGATGCACTACTCTAGAAAAAAATTAGTTTCTAAGTAACAAAACACTACCTCGAGGGCAATTAGTAGGTATCACACGATTTCTCAATACTGTGGCGAACTGCATGCATGTATTTCATGTAAAAAAAAATTCTGCATATTTATTAATAAAAGTAAAAAAGCTGGCATAGCAGGCGGCAAAATAATTAACAAGTGGCCTTTGGGCCTTCTAATTTAAATTTGTACCAACGATCTAGTAGTCGAACCTAGAAACGCATACAAGTCTGAGAAAATTAGAAATAAAATATTACTATTATAAAATCCTTCTCTATCTTCCTTTAAATTTTTTCTGCACAAACATTACCTGTCCACATCGTAGCCCTAACTTTCGTACTAACTACTAACTGACGTGAGACTGATCTAAAATTATCCTGATTCATGTGCACAGTTTATTTTTCATGAACCCTTTTTTAGTTTAGTTTTTTTTGTTCCTGTTTAGTTTTGTCTTAACAACTATGTGTAATATGTATTTTTGCACCTTTACTTTATTATCTAATTTAACACATTTTTTTACAGTGGTTTCCTGGAAGAGATCCCTCGAAAGCGATAAGGCCGCTAGTTGCCCTCCTTTATGTTTAATTATGTTCAATTTTGATTATTTTAATGCAACGAAGTGTTAATAAATAAAAGATGTTAATATTGAACTCTACGAAACTATTTTATTTCCGCAACAGAAGATATTAGGTCCTTACAGAGAAACAAAAACCACGAATAGATAGCTGTAAATAATATTTAATATTTAGTATATTATTCAATAATTAATTAATATTAATAATAATAATTATTATTATTTTAATATAACTATATATATATTATTATAATAACTATTAAATTGAATGAATAATATATGTTTCATAACCTTTTAACTAAGTAACAATAAGGCTTTGTGAAAAAGCATTGCAAGTAACGACTCCAAAATGCACTAAAAATAATTAAATAACAAAGTTAATTAAATGAATTGAAAGATTGTTTATATACGGAGTGTGACAATGTAATCGTCGTCATAGAATGGTCGTATTAAATAACCTACATACATTTAGTCGATGTAAAATGAACATAATATATGTGATATGCAATTTTAAACTTTCAAGATTATTTTTCCGACCCAAATATCGACCAATAGAATTGCACCATTCGACGTCACGTGGTACAACCTACATGGTATTATACTGATAATTTTTTGAAAATTTTCTCTGGTAGTTGCATCAAGAAAAGTATTAAGTAGTTGTTTTATTCATTTTGAAATTCTTATTTGTTAACTGTACCTACATTTCGTCTCATGGTGCAATTCTATTGGCCGACATTTGGGTCGGAAAAATAATCCCCCGAATACCACACGAGCTTCAAAATTATCTGGCATTTCCCTCAAGGTTCCCTGCAAACAGATTTTTTAACCTGAAAAACTTGACTCCTTCATTTGTTTGCAACGAACCTATCGGGAAATACCCGATAATTTTGATGCTCTTGTGGTATTATAAGTGAAAATCTTAATTTTTTGTATCACATTCTCACTGTACTATAAACTTCGTCATAATAATCGTTATATTAGTCTACAATAATTTAAATAGATGGCAGCCTAATCAAATTAGTTGAACTTTAAAAACTCATTCCACGTTTGACCTAAATATTTATTAACAATCTTACAACACTCGTGAGAATGATGAAGAAAGTAAAACTTATCTTTGAACCGACATAGTTATATTACGAGACTCGTTCTTATGAGCATTTGATTGTTCCTATTTCCTACTGAGTAAATCTCACGTATTTATTATGTTTTTCTTAATTTTCTGTTTCTATTCACGTAGATAGCTTCTCATTGGCTCACTAGTCGCATGTTCTTGAAGTATTGATAAAATTTCAATGACACCTGTCAAAGCAGACACTCAACAACGCAGTGACGTTTCGCAATTCACATCGAAAAATTAGCAAAATCTTTAAATCTAGCTTGTATAATATTAAAATGAATTTCAAAAGTTTATGCTTCTTAGTGAAATAATGTGATATTTTGCGAATTTAATAAAGAAACTAAGTGAAAACACACCACCATGACTACAAAAGAACTTTACACTAAGGTAAGATTTTGATATTTTGTTCTAAAATTAAAAAAATATTACCAAAAAAAATTGTTGGTCAATTTCTGGCCAGTATAAACTTCATATAAAACCTCTTTAGACAACTGCATCATCATAAATCATTTTTATGGTCACTGAATAATTATCACTCTCACTATCTATGTCAAAAAGTATGAAATCATAATGTTAGCATAATATTACGAATATGAATAATGCATAAGATTTTATCTTACGATTCGAGCATAAGTGGCTGTTTACGGAAATTATTACACAATAATACCAGTTTTTTGGTAAATGTATTAGGAACACTTAATTTTCAATGAAAAATATTATGAAATAATTACTTCATATTGTTTTAAAGTAAAAAATTTGGTAATCATTAAATTAATAAATTTTTAAAATAGTGGATATGTTTTTAATCAAAGTATATAGTCGGGTCACATTCCAATATGTTCCTTATTCTAATTTTAGAATATTCTTATTAGAACCCCTTCTATGATTTGTATGGAATTTTTATAAAACAAGAAACTTGTTTTCCCTTCTCAACTGTTTAACTTACAGAGCCGGCCTCCATGCCGAAATTTGTTAAAACTATGGAGCTATGTATGTTCTTTTGTCGCTGTACTGTCCTAGCCCGTAAAAAAGTTGACTCTGCAACATAAATATAAAACTTTCTAAGAAATCCGTTCTTTTGTTTAAAAATCGGGATTGCCTGCACATGCATTATCACGAAAATGTCTCAATATCATACGATATGAATTAAATAGGTAAAAAAATACAACATATTTGCTGGTGCAGCAAAAGCGTTAGCAGTGTTCAAATAAGAATTGTTTTTTATGTAATTACTAACACTAGTCTGAAATAAACTTTTTCTTTTTCTAATACAGATTTTTCTTCTTTCCATTCAAAATATGCACAGTCCCTTGAGTGCCATTATATAAAGTTTACACTGTATATTGTTTTTAATATTACTGAAACTTAAAAAAATGCTCATCTCATTGTCCTGACCGAAATATATTTTAGATATTGACATTTTATTGGCTAATACATAACAATTTATAATATAATATTAACTATTCTTTATTAATACTAAATATGCTTTTAGTGAATTTAATATAATGGAAGAGTTATTTAAAAAAAAATTGGCAAAATGTGTCAAACTATACATTGAAATATCCTAAAACAATTGCTAACATTTTTTATCTATTTACTCGTATACCTCAGAACATAATATGAATATCTGCCTAGATGTGAAGCTATATAACACATATACATTTATATATGTTTTTACAATACCTTAAGCTCTCAAACTTACATGAAATCATATTTATCTGCATACCAATAAGATTAAACTCAAAAATGTTGTCCAAGTTCCTTGAGAATTAATTTAAATATTAATTAAAATAATTTCAATGTAAGACTTATTAGCAAGGTGTTGTATCAATTACTTAACCACAATTAGAACTCTGTATCAATGGCTATAGTACAAATAAATCCAAGGTTCTGGGTTCTACTTCTGGTGGAACATTGTTTAGGTTGTATAGGTACTGGTAAAACCCTTTTTGTCAGCATATTAGACATAAATTATGTCTATTATTAAGTTGTCTCTGATGTCATTGTCATTTTAATATTACACAAAACATGTATCATGTTTAGAATTTCGAAAAGTTGAAGAAATTATAGTTTACAGAATGTTATTACTGAATTTTGTTGAAATATAGACAGACTAATAGGTTTGTTTTAGTATAGATATACTAACCAAAACAATTAATGGGTCTATGTCTCAGAATATAAGTAAAACAAACCAGTGCTATAATTTTAGGTCTTGGGCTCAGTTTTCTCAATTTTTTTCATGATCGTGTTTTTCATTTAAATAATTAAATGATTCCGCTATATACTGGGATATGCATAGATAATAGAATACTATTCTGATAATGAAGTTATACAACCTATTTTTATATTGTAGCTGACTCTAACAAAGAAATTCTACAGAGAGAAATTACATGTATTTTTCAGTCTAAAGTACATACATTCCAAAAGTGTATTTGACAGTGATTTATAAAGTATTTTGCTAATTATAAACAAATCAGATCATTTGCGTCTCTATGACCTTATTATGTTGCATATGATATTGAAATTTTCAATTTTCAATTTTTTTTTGTCATTAAGTTTAATGTAAATAATCATTATATGTACATATTATATACTGTATGTAATTGTTAGTATTTGGTAAACCAGCACTGAAGATTCCACGAAAATGCTGTGTACAGATCTAATTATTGGACTTCAGGTTTACAAATAATGTTAGTAAGTAAGTAGTGTGTAATAACTGTATGTATTTAACCAATCTGATGTCTGTTTCTGTACCTTTAATGTAAAAATAAAATAAATCTCGAAGTAAGGAATTCCCTCTGTAACCTAATAAATTCTAGAAGTTTGAATCAATACCATTAAACATTGAATATCCCTGACTTAAGAACTAAAAGACTATGTCTGTTGGTAATCATATTACTTAATTATCATGTAATTTCTTTAAACCGAGTATTATTATAAATCCAATTAGAAAACTCGAGTTGATGAGTGTGTTGGTATAATCTAGTTTCATGCCTAGCTTTGTGTGTGTGGGAGTTTCACTTAAGACGTTTTAGATACGCTGAATTTAACTGTAAGTCAAGGAAAAATTAGTATATTTATGTCAATGTCTAAATGGAACTCTTTACTGTGCTTTTATTATATTTTATAACCTGTGGTATAAACAGCGACTGTTGACATTGGTGTTGATTCTTATTTCTTATTGACATTAAAAATTGCAATGCATTGTTTTATTCATAAACAAACTACAACTTGATGAGATGAAGAATGTTTTGTTTTTATTATTAATTTGTAATGACAACACAATACCTATAAGGACAATAATTTATTAAATTGTCTACAGCGAAATGCCTAACAGATTGATGTTCAAAGATATTTTCTTCCTGAATAAGAAGTGAATTTGGTACTGCTAATATTAATATTTTTGTGATGCTTTTAGACATGACTTATTTTACAACAGTATTCCTAATCTCCATCCATGAATACACTTTTTCTTAAAATGGTAAAAATTTAGAAATACGTCGCCATTATTGGGGGTTGAGAGGTTGGGGGGGGGGGGGGTATTATCATTTCATTAATGGCTGTGTTGTAGCTCCAATTTTGCGAATATGCATACAGCAAATTCAAATTCAAAAGCCTTTTATTGCCAACCTTAAATAACATTACTTTAGCTGTGTTAGTATTTAGTTTTCTTAATTTATTGTTAGTATTATATTTAATAGTATATTAAATAACTAATTGTTTATTTAGTTGGGTACCCGGTTATGGGTAAAGGCCTCCTCCATATTTTGCCATCTGTGTCGGTTCTGAGCGTCCCTTGGCCATGTCCTGTATTTCATCTCTCCATCTCATAACGGGATGACCTCTGTTCCTTCGGACGTCTCTGGGATACCAATACGCATTCGCTCCATCTTCCGTCATTTATTTATTTATTTTATTTTATTTTATTTATTTATTTACACTTCGTTGCAAAAAACAAAGAATGATACACAATACAAAAAAATTATATGGGATGCAACGGGCGGCCTTATCGCTAATAACATTTACTCTTGTTATGTGTCCTGCCCATTTCCATTTGAGTTTGTAGTACATTTCGGCAGCATCTATTAAGTTGGTTTGTTTCCGGATCTCTATATTTTTTACTCTATCACTTACTCTTACACCCAGCATCGATCTCTCTGATGCTCTTTGGAATACTGACAGTTTTTTTATTTGTTAGAGACCATGTCTGGCAGCCGTATAATAGGCATGGTAGAATCGTGCTGTCATACAGTTTTTTCTTTAAGTGAATTGGTATTTTTTTGTTTTTGAATATATCTTTGTTTGCTCAGAATTTTTTCCATGAGATGGCGATTCGTCGACTTAGCTCTTTTTCTGTGAGATCGTCCAGGGAAATGAGTTGGCCTAAATAAATGTATTCATTTACATACTCTATTACAAATGACTCTATTGTTGTAATTTTGCGGTCGTCATTGGTCATAATTTTGGTTTTTGTCATGTTCATTTGTAAGCCTATATTTTTACTTACAGTGTTTAGTGTTGAAAGCATGATACAGCAAATAGAACACAAAATTGTAATAAATCTTTAAATCTATTTTAATATTTTGAAAAACTTTCCTGTATTTCTTGGAACTTTTGATTTTGCTTTGCGATTTCCTTTCGTACAACACCATGAACCAAATGATTTATTCGCCGATTTTCATCTGAACACGTTGTGTTCTACATTGCTTTTGCGAACCACTTCTTCAGTACATAGGTGACGATCGACCACGGGCCCATCTTCCTCAAAGTAATTTTCAAAGGCCGGTCGTCTACCAAGCATAGAACTCGTAGACGGCTCAGGTTCTGGATCATGTCCACATCCACTATTTCCAGACGCCTATTACACAGCGCTCAAGATGAGATTGTTCCTTGATATTCGTATGACCATGGTCATAGTGTCGCCAATAAAAAATTTCTTCAGTTTGGGCTGGACTTATTACCAACTGTAATAATCTATAACTAACATAATTTTACATTATTACAGTAAGTTAATATATTAGGATATTTAACTAATTTAGCTATTCAAAGTCAAAATCATTTACTCATATACGTGGTGTACACAATGGACACTTATGAACGTCAAAAATAATTTTTTTTTAAATATATTTTTTTTTTTAAATACTTCTAATTTTACATTTACTGCCAGTTTTCAAATCAAGGGCGTAGAAAGGAAGAGAAGAACTGGCAACAAAATCTCCGCCACTCTTTTTAATCGCAAAAAATTCAAATGTTTTATTTTGACAGGACTTAATTTGTCAACTCAACTAATCTGTAATAGTTGGCGGCATTATAGCCGATTAGGATAATCTGTGATGTTGGCGCCAAAAAGTAAATGATTACACTCAACAGAGAATGTGGATTAGGATTGTTTTTAATGTGTGAAAGAATTAATTGTGTTAACTAAAATAAAGAATTGGCGGTAAATAACAATAACTTAAATTTAAATTTACATTACATGTATTATCTATATATGTCACCTAGAAAAAAAATATATTTATTTATTTACAAAAATACTTACATTACCCTTACGGGACTAAGGGAGCGTTCAAGTATTACGTCACGCAATTTTTGGAGATGATTGACCCCCCCCCCATGTAACGCGCCGTAACGTTTTTCTGTACCCAAGTACAGTACTGTATCCAAATATAGTAAAACATTTTGCGACCACCTAGTGACTCTTTATACCTAAAAGTTACCATATAATATTAAATACATAATACCGCTGTGATAACTCTGCCAAATAAAGATATAGTGTCGGAGATAGCATCAGTAGCAACGTCTTTGTTAACGGGGATCTGAGCAACTGGTTCTGGCCCTCGTTATCACAACCTTGGCCTTCGCCGTCGCATGTATCCCCTAACGAAACCGCGTTCATTAAGAACCATTGAGTTGCTCACAACCACAAGACAAGTAGGTCGGTCACATGTCCTGTCTTGTTTCTCTTACCCCAACATCCCCAAGACACATTGGGTACACTAAAATAGAGATACCGTAATAAAGGAATCGTGTAAATTTATTCTGTATGTCCTCCAACGTAAGACAGTATGTAGTTTCATGCGGAGCCCTAACAGACGTGTTACACTGTAAGAAACTTCTAACCAATGCGTTGTAAAATATGTGAGACTTGAGTTAGTCTCTAATTTCATAGTAAAATTTCTGTTTTATATTCTGACTAAGTACGACCATATCTCTGCGTTCCGTATGCGGCTAGGCGTGATGCTAGAGTTCTCCATCTCTTATATTCCATCTCAATAACGATATCAATTTTTTTGGGAGCCCATAGCAATGAGTGTAAGCTATAGCTATAGCTTACGCTCTTCTGAAATCTATAACCTTGAAATCCCATCTCAACTCTTCTTTACTTGGCGAATCCCTTAACCTCTCCAGTGAGGCTATGGAATTCTCTTCTCGTCCCTATCAGCTTAGCTCCTTTATCTTCCTTTACATCTCTACTGTATAACTATTGAACTAACTCATCTGAAACTGATCTAAATTTTTTTCTAAATAAATAACTATAACAATATCCTATCGCAATATATTTATGAAAATATTATGTATGTATACAAAAATAGTGATAAGTTTACTAGAATAGAACATACTATGCATAATGTTAATACTCGGAACAAATTCAGGCTGCAATTTCCCCGTACTAGACTATCTAAAGTTAGTCATTCTTTTTTGGGAAAAGGGATACTCTTCTTTAATAAAATCCCAGAGGCTCTTTCATCTCTGCCTTTTAATAAATTTAAGAAACGTATTAAAAGTAAAGAAAAGCTGTGTAAAAAGGCTTACTATAAAGTTAACGATGAACTATTAATCTTAGAATTTACAATTTATTTTAAATACATATATTCTTTATATTTTTTTTTGTATTTTTTGTATTTGTATAGGTGTAACTGTGCTTTGTGTATGTTTAAATGTGTATTCCGTTTTTGGCTTGTGTATAGTGTAATTTTTTGAATATTGTATAGCAAGCAAATAAAAAAAACTAGTTGATAAAAGGGCCTGGGACTAGTACTAGACAGGCTACTTCTAATTAATTTGCGATATTTGTTTTAAAATAAATGTTGTTTGATGATTTGCTATTTTAAAAGAGTACCGAGAGTTTTTTACGCCAGCTTTTTCTCTCGGCCTACACCCTCTGTCTTTGCCGATGAGTAGGGATGCCTACAAATTCAAATTTAATGACGTGGAATAAGTGATACATGTATCTTATGTTCCATAATAAACATATTTTATTTTATTTTTATGTACATACTACTTGCCCTTATTTTGCTCACAGTGGTTGCATGGAAGAGATCGTTCGAATGCGATAAAGCTACTCTCCCTCCTTTTTATTTAATTATGTCAATATTGTATTACATTTATGTACATGTAACGAAGTGTTAATAAATATACTCTATAAGAAAATAAGCGCAGAACATGATTTTCAATTAAACATTTAAATTACCAAATAAAATCTTATCAAATTCGTAATTGCGGTTTTATGACTTTATTAATTGATAAGCAACGTTGATTACTTTAATGCATCTTTGTCTTAGTTCAATAATCTATTAATTATTATTTCTGTAATATTACTTTTTAAGTGATTTTAAAAGAGGTTTTTTTTAATGGCTCTGGCACGATTTGTGCATTAGCCAGCGTCAAGTATAGGATTTTTTTAAAATAATTCGTGCTTGTCTTTAGAAATTCGACCGTGTCCTCCATGTACGGTTTAAGCACTCGCCCGGTACCGCACAACCCTCCCAAAGGCCGAGAACAAATTTAAATTAAATTAAAACTTGCCCTCGAACCGGGAATCGAACCCGGTACCGCTAGCTACCGGTAGCTGCCACTTAATAAGACTGCTAGGCTATGAGGCCCCCCTTAAAAGAGGTTACAAATACATTTTTTTTTCGTTTCAAGGTGTAAACTGTCAAACGAATTTGCCTCCGAAAATTGTCATTAATAAACCCGCCATTTTTGAACATTAACTATTACATCATTATGGCTTTTCTCAAGGCAATTGTCAAACGAATTTGCCTTCGAAGCTTGACTTGAAACTTGAATCCCGCCATTTTTGAACGTAAACTATTTACATATTTTCTAACACAAAAATATCCTTTATGAAATATTTATTTTACACGCAAATTTATATTGTATAATCTATTAATTAAATTTATTTTTTATATTACTTTAACTGATTTTGAGGTTTCCTATTGGAAGTGTATTTTTGGGTTGCCACCTTTTTTTTTTTCAATTAAAGTAGATTGGTTATACTCGTAGGTATACAAGAAAAAAAGTACGTAGTAGTTTCTTTTTTTTATATTTAAAAATATATTTTTTATTGCTTTTTGCAGTTTGTATTAAAAAAATTTACAATCATTATTTAAACATCGATTCAGCGCCAATCGATAAATTCCGTTTAACGAAAAACTATTTACGACTAAAGAAATCACTTGAAACACAAAGCAGTGTTGGCTTCAGAGTGCGAATCTCATCCATGGGGTCGCAGGTTCGATCCCCGGCTGTGCTTTCTTTCTATGTGCGCATATAACACTCGCTCGTACGAAAAAAAGCACAGAAGGCTGATCACCTACTTGCCTATTGCCTATTCTATACCAAAAAAATCACATCATCCTAAATAAAATATAGAGTACAACTACCTAAGATAACGTACACTACTTTATTAAGTACGGGTGGCAACCCAACTCTGTCAACTGTCAAACAAATTTGCCTCCGAAAATTGGCTTAAAAAATCCCGCTATTTTTGTACGAAATATAATTAGATCGTGAGCCATAGTTATGTAACCTAACGTTAGTTAAGTTTCATATCAGTTAATAATTAGAAGCTCAAATATTAACAATCATCTTAAATTCGTGGCCAATAAATTGTAAAAATTAGCTATAAATTTCGCAAATTTGTATGCAACAGGGGCAAACGGGCGAGAGGCTCATCTGATGTTAAGTGATACCGCCGCCTATAGACACTCACATTGCCAGAGGGTTCGCAAGTGTCTTGCCGGCCTTTTAAGACTTGGTAGGCTGTTTTCTCGAGAAACCTTTCTACATAAGGGACCACTCTTTTAAAAGGTTTCATTGAAAATTGAGGATGAAGATGAGGAAACTTTAAAGTTATTGAGGGCGAAGGACCATTATTATGGTTTTTGACTTGCAGGGTGCCCGTGTGTGGGTGGAGCACCCCGTGAAGGTATGGGAAGGTGCGACCGTCACCAGCGACTACCGTTCGGGGGTGGTCATAGTTCAAATTGACGACTCCAACGAAATTCGGCAGATTAAGGTAAGAACACTATTATTAAGTAGTAGTTTTTTTTATGTAAGAAAGATCAAACGACGAGGAGGCTCATCTGATGTTAAGTGATACCGCCGCCCATGGACACTTACATTGCCAGAAGGTTCGCAAGTGCGTTGCCTTTTATATTCATATCCTTAAGTTCCATTTCAAATGTTGTTAGTATACTTATAGCTATGTTAGTCACATATGGACCCCTCTTGGGAGAAAGCCTTTTTTTTAAAGAGGTGAAAATGCCGGCGTCAAGGATCGCCAAACTCCCTGCGTCGAGCTTGATGCGGCGACTCTGGGGCAGGTTGTACACTCAAAGCCCTCTGCTATTCATACCCACTGAAAACACCTCGCGTCTCACGCTCTTAAGTTGGGCCCTTGGGGTTTCAACCCGGTGAAGGCTTCCTCCAACCATTTCCAATTGTCTCTATCTTTTCCAATGCTCTGCTATTTCTATCAACTTCTTTTTGCCCTGCCCACTCTTCTTTTCCCGGGTAGTCACTTTAATTTTGTCTTTAATGTCCATCAATCTTATGACCATAGGCTATAAAATATTAAAAAAGTTATGGGTAGGAAAACTTCGGTAATGTAATCATGGTCCACCAATATGCTGGGGAAACTATTGACAATAGAGCAGTTTACAGTTTTATAGATGACATGAATATCGACATTTGTCTAACAAAAATCTTGCATTTAAAAGTCTATTTACCGAAAGCTTAAGTCTATAGAACATCGTGCTACCGAGGTAATGCACGCAGAGCACAGTGTATAATGAAAGCCATGCAAAACTGGCACTGATCACTCCTAATCATGCAACTGAGACACGTTGAGGTAGAACATGAAGCACCAATATTCTCTTATTCTTCTCCAAAATGATATTTTCAAAGTTGCTCCCCTTACATACAAATAAACTAAATTTTTATTACAATGCCCTCCAGATTCCAGATGAATCTCGCATGCCGCCACTTCGCAATCCATCGCTTCTGATTGGTCAGAATGATCTGACTTCCCTGTCGTATCTGCACGAGCCAGCGGTGCTGCATAATTTGAAAGTTCGGTAAGTTTACAGTTAAGAGTGTGGCGAGTCCAGGGCATGAGGCAAGTGGGTTTTTTTTATAGAAAAATTACCGTTAAAATGTGGATAAATACTAAATCATAGTTTATGCTTAGTGTACACTAAGCAAAGTTTTAAAGTAAGTAATGTCTAAGTGCGCTCTATAGATCTTGGCCTAAGAGTAGTGTGTAGTGTGTGATTCCTCGTATCACAAATCGGGCTCTAATCTCAAAGCAAAATATAAAATAATCCCAGGATGGCAGTGCTTAGTGGGTGCGTTGCCGGCCTTTGAGGGAGGACACTCTAACTTTGAATAATTAAAGGTCGTATCTCTCAGAGACGACCCCACAGTTCGCAAAAGAAATTGCCTTGTGGAACGGACTGCGGAAGACTTCCAGCCATCAAGGTGATGTTGATGAAATTTTGAATTGATATGGCTCGTACGGCGTTGAAACTAGACAGGGAACAACTCTTCAGAACACTCTGCATATTATACTTTGTAGAATACGCATAGAGACGCAATGTCTCTGCGTAGAGAGAGAATCAACCCGATCCATAATACGTTGGAGATTGACAATTCGAATTGGTTGAATTTGGTCTGAATTTGGTGGAAGAAGTTGGTATTTGGGAGTAATTCTTATCTAATTATTTGATTCTTCAACTCTCCACTGGTATAATGTTGGATGTAGAGGATAGATGCTACGCCAGACTTTATCTCCCGATGTCATTAGGTTTTTTGGATTGCCCCCTGCCTGCCTGTGTGGTAGTAGATCTGGCCTCGACGGTTATTTTTCTATAGACTACATTAATATCTTTAATTAGTCATAGCGAATATAATTGAAAAGATAAATTGGAAACCGGAAATATTGATAAGAGTAATTGCGTAATATAAACCGGTTCTTATTTTTTAAATGTGATAATGTCTGAGTCCGACACAAATACAAAGTATTTACAATATTCTTAACCTATATAATAAAAATAACTACAATTGATACAATTGTGATAGTAAAATTAGATTTACGATACCTTAGACATAATGTATTAAATTGGGCTATCAGATTTAAAGAGTATTTAAAGATTTAAGTTGGCGCCTGATACCGGTGACCTCAGAGCTGTTGCTTTTCTCTATAAATAATCGCCAATACAGCGAGGAAATGCCAGCATTAAATGTAGTTGTGGGACCAAACTTTTTACCTAAAATTAACAGATTTTGGCAGTCTGGGCAATTAACAACTGTGATGGCTGTACAAAGGCGATTTTTATGTCTAACACTCGCTCGTATGAAGGAAAACATAGTAACACCGCCATTAGACCCTATTAGGCAAAAGCTGATCACCTACTTGCTTCATGAAACAGATACATAAGAGGCCCAGACCTCAAAGCTTGTAGCGAGAACATCGTAACACCGGCATTAGACCCAATCAGGCAAAGGCTGATCACCTACTTGCTTCATGAAACAGATACATAAGAATCCCAAACCTGAAAGGTTTTAGCGGCACTGGTTATTAAATGTAAGAATAATTCTAATTAATAATCAAAATTTCATAAAATATTTTGTTTGGTCGCGATGAATGGCGACATATTGTGCGACATTTGTTCAAATAATGTAAAATCCGAGAATTTAATATTTGTATTAATTTAACAGATATTTATTTTCAACACACAAATAGTTTTTAGAATATTCGTAACTGTTATAATAATAACAATTAAAAATTATTAGTATTAATAAGAAATTAGATATTATTTATTCCTGATAAAAATTAGTGTAATTTATTATCTTTTTTAGTAATTATAATATGATTTTACAAAAATAAAAGGCCCTTTACATATATATTATGGGACTCAGGAATTAAGTATTAACCCAAAGGTGTCCTGGCAGTGTTACCAGCCTTGCGATTCTGTAACTCACTTTTCGAATTCTAACTTCTTCGAACTTCCAATTCTCACAGCGGTTTTCGACTGACTGACTTGAGTGCGACCGCCGCAGCGAAAACCGCTGTGAGAATTGGAAAAGTGAATTACAGAATCGCAAGGCTGGTTTGTAAGTGTTGTATTAACCACAAATTACTTTAATATTAAATTTCAGATTCTGTGACCGCAATGCAATATATACGTACTGTGGCATCGTCCTTGTTGCTATCAATCCATACTATGATCTACCAATATACGGTAAGTAATGCAGGATGTTCTATAATGTTTTCCCGGCAACGCACTCGCGAGTCCTTTGGATTTGAGTGTCCATGGGCGGTATCTATTTAATATCAGGTGAGCCTCCTGTTCGTTTCACTACTGATTTTTTTTACCAAAAATACACTCAACTGTATTTTTTTCTAGTTATAACTAGAAAAAAAAGGAAAAATTTTATAACTCGAACGGTGTTCTAAATTTTCCTTACAACCTTTAATACAGATACCGGCAAACTTCTTGAGCATTAAACGAGGGAGTGGGGGAAAGTTTGCGAATCGTATCACAGCGCGGGATACAAACGTCAACTGATTTACCAAACACGCGATCGAGACGTTACTCTCCCGCCGCCACCCCCCTCCCAGTGATACCTAAAATCGCTTCTGCGCAGGCAAGGGCATTTGTTCAAGATGTTTGCCGGTATCTGTACAAGTTTACGACATCATAATAATCTTTCTAAATATTTAATTTAATCAATATAAATTTTAATTCTTTCTAACTTTAGATTTATATTTTGAAAAAAGTCTTTCAAAATATAGATTTTAATAAGTCAATCTCATCAGCATCACTTTGATGGCTGGAAGTCTTCCGCAGTCCGCTTCACACACAAGACACTTTATTTTGCGAACTGTTGACTCCCGGTATATTAGTAAGAGTATACTCCTTCCTCAAAGACCGGCAACGCACCTACAAACTGGCCTTTTTGGGCGTCCCGTTCGTTCGCCCCCCTATTCTATATATAAAAAACTATATTAAATATATATTTATTCATATTATTTCGAATATTCTAGGCGATGAAACAATCATGGCGTACCGCGGCCAGTCCATGGGCGATTTGGATCCACATATATTCGCAGTTTCCGAAGAGGCCTATACTAAGCTGGAGAGGGAGCGGCGAGATCAAAGTATCATTGGTATGTTGGTGCTACAACTCCCTGCATTTTTCACTATAAAATATCCAAAATATAAGTTTCAAACATTTTTTTAAATAGACTCTGGCAATGTGAGTGTCTATAGGCCGCGGTTATACTTAACATCAGGAGAGCCTCCTGCCCCCTACAAAAAAAAGACTATATGACTATATAACAATCTAGCCTATATGTATATATATAGTGTATATTCTTAATAACGTCAGTCGTTACAAAGAAAAACTCTCTAATACATATTACAGATACAATATCGCGTTATATTTGTTTGGTTTAACACAGAACCCATACTTTAATACATTCTTTATAACGCAACAGCCATTCTCTATTACGAAGACTTATTTTAATATTTAGACATCAACAACATACTTAAGTGTAATTGTTTTTATAATCATCTTACAAAACTAACCTATTGAGGTGTCGAAATGCTAAGACCTGAGGTCATAAACAGCCGTCTCGATTTTGTTATTGTTAATTGCATTAACACATGTGCCATTATTCGTAAACAGTTTGTGTGAAGATGGCCAGACAAAATACTCAAATAAATTGGCATAGCATGTCAGGCATAGTTAACAGAATATTATTGTTAAGAATAATTTACCTACTGATAGTAATAAAATTAGAAATTATTGTAATCTGTTAAATTTGGTTTCTATTTCTCTTAACTCCTTAAAACTAAAACTGTCTATAACGAAGAAAGAAATGCTCGGTTCCTTGAAATACGTTATAAAGAGTTGACACTCTACATATGTATAAATATTTTTAGTGAGCGGCGAATCTGGTGCCGGTAAAACAGTATCAGCTAAATACGCAATGCGTTACTTCGCGGCTGTGGGCGGCAACGCCAGCGAAACACAAGTTGAAAGGAAGGTGCTGGCTTCCAGTCCTATAATGGAGGTAAGGATGGTAGAGATAGGATAATATAGGTATAAACAGGATAGAATAAGTGGAAACAAAATGGAAGGGAAGGAGATAGGATAGGATAGGTGAAAACAAAATGGAAGGGTAGGAAATAGGATATGATAGGTGGAAGTAAAATGGCAGGGAAGGAGATAGGATAGGATAGGTGGAAACAAAACGGAAAGGAAGGAGATAGGATATGATAGGTGGAAATAAAATGGGAGGGAAGGAGATAGGATAGGTGAAAACAAAACGGAAGATAAAGAGATAGGATAGGATGGGTGGAAACAAAATGGGAGGGAAGGAGATAGGATAGTACCAACCAGATGGACCGATCAAGTGAATCATCGTCCTCGAAAACTATACACTGTTATAAGAGAGGCGCTGGATAGAAACCGGTGGAAACGGATAGTCCGCTCCAGATGCGTCCTTGCTGACCATGACGCTCAGACATGAGCTGCCGATTGCAGAGATAGAACCTATATAAATTGTTATTTTTAATTCTGTTTAATTAAACATTCAAAACGCTAGACAAGATGGCGTCGTCTGTGACGCAACTTGCTTGTAAACAAACGACAAAGTTTTTACGAGGTATCATTCTTAAATTACTCAATATTTTTTGATAATACTATATCCACATTATATGTAAATTTCAGGCTATAGGAAATGCGAAAACCACTAGAAATGATAATTCTTCACGTTTCGGGAAGTTCATTGAGATCCACTTCGATAGCCAATATCGGATAACTGGGGCAAGTATGAGGACTTATCTGCTGGAGAAGAGTCGTGTCGTGTACCAGAGTGCTGGGGAGAGAAATTACCACATTTTTTACCAACTTTGTGCGGCGGCTGCGCTGGACAAAATGCCGGAGTTACAATTGGGTATGATAACTTAAATAACTTTTGAATTGATCATTATTAGGTATGTCATACAATATTTTTTTTAAATTCATTTTTATGACATAAATTTAAACATTTTATAAATAAATGGGTGTTTAAACTGTATTCTATACTAATATTATAAAGAGGAAAGATTTGATTTTTTGTTTGTTTGAAATGAATAGGCTCCGAAACTACTGGACCGATTTCAAAAATTATTTCACCGTTGGCAAGCTACACTATTCCCGAGTGACATAGGCTATGTTTCATTTTCAAAAAAATATGGATGCTTACTAAAACTTGAATAATCTAACCCAAGGTGTAAAAAAATAAACAAAAAACTTCCTTCATTCCCGTGCGCTGCGAAAAGTATTAATGATAGAACAAAATGATGTATTACAATTTAAGTTTTTCGCGACAGCATGTCTCTATCTTTTATAGTTACGTCACAATAAGCGTCCTTTTATTATTATTTTTTATTAAAATACCACCGCTTTGAAAAGGCTCTTTATTCGTACCTAGGTATTGATCGTTATCAAAATAAATACCAACGTTTCACATAAGCTACAATTTAATGGCATAACCACCAAAAAGCTTAGTGGATTGGTGTTCTCGTGCCTTTTCTCTTGAATAGTTTACTACTTCGTAATATAACAAAAATCTTAGCCACAGCAACGCTTGGCCGAGTCTTCTAGTCATTCATATTCGAGTTACATCTCCGACAAAGATTACGATGACGTCATACCTTAAAACGCGCTATCGAAGTATATCCCGCTGGGCATATATCGATATTCCAGTCTGTGGTTAGACTGGTCGAAGATCCACCTCGTTGGAGGAGGAGCACCACCATTCCCCCATGTCTTTAACTATATATTTGTTACAGACCATCAAGACTCATTTCATTACTTGAACCAAGGAGGAAGTCCTGAAATCAATGGAGTTGACGATTATAAAACATTTAAGGAGACGATAAATGCTCTGACTACTTTAGGTCTGTTTATTTTAACTATACAATTACAATAATCTTATAATACCATTAAAAAAGAATCACAAAGAGCATACCAATTATTAAAAGGCTGACGACGCACTCGCGAGCCTTCTGGCATTAAGAGTTTAGAGGCGAGAGGTATTAAGATCCAATTCAGGGTCCTTCATGAAAAGAGCGTACCAATTTTTAAGGCCGGCAACGGACTTCCGAGCCTTCTGACATTGGGAGTGTCCATGGGGGACTTAAAACCAGATGAGCTTCTTGCCCGATTGCCCCTGTTACATCAAAAAAATATCGCCGATATATATATAGATATTTTTGTGGTCCTTCGATCCGAAATACTTTAAATAAAGGCTATACATATATTTTTATTAATAATTTGAAATAATAGTCAGAAATCAATTACTTCTAGGTGTGACAGAGTCGGAACAAAAAAACATGTTCACGGTGCTGGCGGCCATTTTGCATTTGGGGAACGTGGGTTTGACTTCTAACCCAGAAACAACACAGGACAATCAAGATGGAGCGTATATACATGTATGTTTTTTTATTAAATCGCTTCTGATGAATTTTAATATAGATATAAGTGTTAGCCAAAGCTGGAATTGTTCTCAGTCCTTCATATGTGAGCAATAATATTAAGGGCAAATGAAGTCTGCCAAGTTTGACCGCGATACTCAAAAACTACCGCACGGATTTTTATACAGTTTAGACTAAGATATAGAGTAATTTCTAAGGAAGGTTTGGGTCAAAGTCAAAATCATTTATTCATATAGGTAACAGAATGTTTACTACATTCTGTTACCTAACATCAAAAAAGAAATACATACTAAATGCTTCTAATTTTACATTTACTGCCAGTTCCCAAATCAAGGGCGTAGAATGGAGGAAGATAACTGTCAATAAACGTGTATAAAATTAAAAACGAGTAGATAAATACGAATTTAACACTTCAGATTTATATATATTTAACATTTTAGAATCTATACAAATTATTATTTTGTTGAGCAACCTTGATCATTTTTCCCAGCTAGTACTATTACATCATCTGTCCATCTTCTTTTGTCGTCCTACACATCTCCTTCCAGTAGCTCCTGTCCATTTTGTTGCTTCGAGTGTCCATCTTTTATCCCGCGCTAGATTTGCCCATTTCCATTTAAGCCGTGCGTGTACATATTTGTATCTTACGAATGTCAACATTTCTTGTGTTCATTGCGTATTAATTTATAAATAAAAAAACAACAACCTGTATAGGGTGGTCCTTATTCCTAAGAAATGCTTTCTTTATAATTTCGCGGGGCACCACGTAATTTGGTTATATACCATAAGAATGTATTTCAGTATTTTTTGGAATTTTTTAAATGACACTTAGAGGTTGCTACCAATGTTTGAATTTTAAATAAACACAAAATCTGCATTTGTTAGAATTCTTTATAAAATAAAATAAATGTATGTTTACTATGGAACATAAGATACAGGTATCACTTATTCCACGTCATTAAAATTAAATTTGTAGGAATCCCTACTCATAAGCAATGAAGACAGAGGGTGTAGGCCGAGAGAAAAAACCGGCGTAAAAAACTCTCAGTACTCTTTCAAAACAGCAAATCATCAAACAACACTTATTTTAAAACAATAAAACAAATTTTATTTTTATACCCAGGTCTTACAAGATGTTACGAAATTATTGTTATTAATTCAGATATTAATTATCAATCTGGACTATCTTCCCTGAAATATGTAATTATACCAATCATTTATGGTGGCTCGGCTTATGCGTTGTTGTGTATTTTTTTCATTAATGGCTGTGCTGTAGCTTCAATTTTGCGAATTTGCATGTAACAAATAGAACACAGGTACTTAATATATTTTAATATATTTTAAAACGTTCCTGTATTTCTAGGAACTTTTGATTTTGCTTTGCAATTTCCTTTAATACAACGCGAAAAACCAAATGATTTATTCGCCGATTTTGCTATTTTCATGGGAACACGATGTGTTCTACATTGCTTTTGCGAATGCACTAATCCATTTTCTTCAGCGAATGCCACACACTGCTCATTAGTACTCAAATTTTTCATAATTTTTGCCAAATTCCACATCATGACCACTTCTTCAGTTCGTAGGTGGCGATCGACGACGGGCCCATCTTCCTTAAAGTCATTCTCAAAAGCCGGTCGTCTACAAAGGATAGAACTCGTAGACGGCTGTGCCTTCAATTTTTAGTGCTTTTACCATATTTTTCTTATCTTAAAATGAAACTGCGTCATCAAAAAACTCAAGCGAAACTAGCTCTTCCGGCAAACACCTCAAATGATTCAAAATCTTGAAGCTTTAAGGCCTTTTATAATTGAAAGTCGTTTCTTGGTACTGACTGACTCGTAGAGGCTTGAAACCAATATTTGACATAAACCATCACCATCACATATTTCTCTCACAGATTTTTCGTCCTTCATCGTTAGCTTAAACTGATGCTTAGATAAATAAATTTTTAACAGTACAAGGCCATCATCATGCCATCCATCTAGCTCGATGAAGACCAGCAGGTCTCCGAAACGAATTTGTCAGGAATACCTAAGAAAAAGATAGTAACATTCAAGTTCTCTGTAGTCATCTCGCGGTTGATGTACTTCAAGTTGCCAAATGCAAAAGAAATCCTGTCTGCGGCCACATCTGCAAGAATATTTGCATCAGTGCCATCTGTTATTGATTTGAAGTCGCTTTGGTCAATAGTGTTCCAATTGTTCTTAAATCTTTTGAATAATTGTATATCACTTGATGGGGCAAGCGATTGATCCACTACGACAACATAATTTCCATTACGTGGTGACGTCATGCAAACCAAAGCATATTTCTATTTTGCGCTCCAAAAGAACGCATACTCCGTTATTAACTGCAGTATCAACACACAAACCTTTTACTTTATCTCTCAAAATCCATGACTTTTTAGCTTCGTAGACAGCTGAAGTACAATCTTCGCTTGTTCCACGTTTCAAATTTGGAACGGCGAGTTGTTGAGCGACTCCATATCCTGATACCAAAATTGGCAGCAGATCTAAAGTTTCGTGTCCAGTAATGTCTTCTATAAGTTTATCGTCCCAATGGATTGTTGAGCGACTCTGCAACAGCTTTGCGATTTTTCTCACGCTGCCGACGAATAATAGATCTATTGACATTAAATTCTGATGGTTCAGCCTGCACTTTTCAAAGTAAATGTCACGACCATAGTTGATTGGCCGTCAATCAATTTAGAGATATCAAGATTGGAAGCATTGACTGTTAATAATATACAAATTTATTTTATGTATATAAATTTTGACAGCTGGTAGCCACCTCTAAACAAAAACCAAAAAAGTATTTCATATTTAAAGGTAAATAATCAAATGAGAAAATGCCCCTAAGATAATTCAAAAGTCGAAAAATAAGGACCACCCTACTGTATAGTTTCTACAGTCATTGAAAATTGTTATATATATTATAATTGTTATATATTAAATAGAAGAATATACTAATATTTCTCAAATTTTCAGTCAAACGATAAACACCTGTCGATAGTGTGTTCCTTACTCGGGGTGTCGAAGCCCAAACTTTCTCGTTGGCTCACCCACCGTCGCATTGCGTCCGCGCACGAGGTGATCGAGTCGCAAATGGACGTGCAAAGGGCGGTGTTCGCGAAGGATGCGCTCGCCAAACGAATGTACGGTGAATTGTTCTCTTGGCTCGTGCAGGCTGTTAATAAGGCGCTGGATACTGGAAATGCTAAAAAACACTTAATTGGTAAGTTTTATAGTTATAGTTATTAAAAAAAGAGTGCGTGTACTTATGTACGCGTAAGAAGTTATACTTCTTTGGCTTTCTTTATTTTTTTTAAATATTAAATAATAAATATTTAACGCTAATAATTTAATAATATTTAATGTTTAGTAATATTCAATTATTAATTAATATTAATAATAATAATTATTTATTATTTTATTATATGATTCATTTAATTTAATAACTAGGTATGTTTCATAACCTTTTAACTAAGTAACAATAATTCTTTGTGAAAAAGCATAACTAAATTTCTTTGAAAAAATTATTAAAACTCCTTTATTTCTTTAAAAGGTACTACAAAGGTCATTCTGATAATTTTGTGTAACGGTGCGCGCGCATCGTAAAATTTCACTCTCATAAATTTTTCATAACGCGCCTAAAGAAGTATAACTTCAAAAAATTAAAAAGTACTAAAATAATAAAAAAATAGCTACAATTCTCGACCTTTTTTAATAGTTTCTTAATGGGTGAGACCGGATCATCGCATACTTATCTTTTATATAGTGAGACCGAATTATCTCCCACTTTGAGTGTAATTTTTTAAAATACAAATTTTATAAATTACAGGTGTCCTGGATATTTATGGCTTTGAAACATTTGAGATTAATTCCTTCGAACAGTTTTGTATTAATTACGCGAATGAGAAGTTGCAACAGCAGTTTAATTCCCACGTTTTCAAGTTAGAGCAGGACGAATATATTAAGGTAAGGTATTTTCAACAGTGAGACGAGGGTAGGGAATGGAATGCTTAGGTTTTGATGAATGAATGAGGAGCGGCATTCAAGGCAAGTGGATGGTGAGGTGGGTGGTCTTGTCGTACCTGGATCATATCCAGGAGGTCTATGACAGATACCCACAAGCATGGTGAATGTCAGGACCGTAGTGGAGATCTGTGGTCTCTATACCTTCGGGAAAAGTGTGTATTAATAATTCATATATATATGTATGTTTTTATTTAATTTTAATTCGTTGTTGATAGAAAAAAATACTAAAAATTATTAAAATTTAATTTTAAATATCATTTGTATCATTCACACATATACGAACAGATTGGATGATCAGTTTTTGAGGGTGTCAGAAGAATGATGGTACTGTTTTATTAAAGTAAACAATTCCACTGGAGTATTTTAAAAACCAAATTTTATATTTCAGGAAGAAATTTCATGGAAAATGATAGATTTCTACGATAATCAGCCCTGTATCGACCTGATTGAGGACCGTTTAGGAGTTCTAGCGCTTTTGGATGAAGAGTGTCGAGTGCCTCAGGGTTCAGGTAATTATAAATGGTGTTCAAATTTAATGGCCGCCATTTTAGTGGTAGCCGGGTCCATGACTTATCATTACCTTGGGTTACATTACCAAAGTTTTCCTAGCATCCTACATAACATCATACATCCCTGATGATTATGTAGGATTCTAATGGCTGGTTCTATATGAATTTACGATATTGTTAAGGTGTGAAGACCTATTCTATATGCTTCGGATACTATTACTACAATAGAGCAATGTTCTACAGTTTTATAGAAAACATGAATATCAACAAAAAAAAATCTTGCATTAAAACTATATTTATCGAAAGCTTTAGGCTGTAGAACATCGTGCTGCCGAATTAATGCGGTTGGAACCGCTAAATATAAAACACACACTATTAAATTATTATAAAAATAAACTCGATAAAATTTTAAAGCAATTTTCATTGTTTTTTCGATTTTCCAGATATGGGCTTCGTCAGTAAATTACACGACAAATGTACGAAGTACCCGCATTTTTTGAAACCGAGATTTGGTGCCGCTGGTATGTATCTTGATTATAAAAAAAATATATATTTATGCAAACTAATAGAAGTATAAATAAAAAATAACATGTATTTATATAAATATATATAATATAAAATAATAATTTTTTGATTAAGAACAGATTTTCGAAAGTTTCTCTGGATTTCTCTGGTATGCCACCATTAGATCCTTATCATGATGATTCTATCCGTGCGATTTCTCCTTTGTAACAAAATCGCGTTACTTTTTTTATCTATATTTAAAGTTTTCATTGTATTATATCGCCCCGGAAAGAAGTTTTACGTAAATAAAAAACACGTCCTCTACAGTTTAAGGATTTCCTCTCAATGGTGTCATGCAAGGTTGAAATCTGCATCCAAGATACTTTGTCACTGTTGTTAATGATGATGTTCTAGTAATAATTTATTTGGTATTTACGAATATTTTTTTTAATTTATTACTCTTTACTTAACTCCTCTATTATATATTCCAGCGTTCATAATAAAACACTTCGCTGATAACGTAGAGTACCAATGCGGTGGGTTCCTAGAGAAGAATAGGGACACAGTATTAGAGGAACAGTTGGAATGTATAAAATCAGCGACCAATTGTCGTCTGATCAGGACGATTTTCGCAGAGAAGCAAACGGACCATTCTGCGACGTTGCCTCCGCCATCTAGAAGACGCACTATGCCTTCTTTGCCTATGGGTAGTCTAACTGTGAGTATATTTTGAGGGTAGTTTAAATTTTTCAGGTTTACTAAAGTGTGGGTAGTTTTAAATTTACAATCTTTACAAAAGTTATATGTCCACTTGGGGAATTCTGAAAAACACGGTTAAAATAAATAAAATTTGAATTCTTTCAACAACTTTCTTTTTTAAAGTAATATTTGAATTGCTTCAGCAACCACCTCGCCGTGCCTCCAGTCAAAAGCAAACAGTAGGTGCCCAGTTTAGGCTGTCCTTGTCGGCGCTGATGGCAACATTATCGGCCACAACCCCCCATTACGTTCGCTGTATTAAACCGAATGACACCAAACAGGCCTTCCAATTCGACGCCGCGAGAGCTGTCAATCAGTTACGGTGAGTTCTTGTTGATTCTAAAAGTTTTTATGTTGTTGTTGTTTATCTTCACATGTTTATGTTGATGCAACTTATCTAAGTTGTTTACTTACTATTATTACATTTGGTGATGGTCAGATCTGTGTCGTAAGTTATGCGATATTAATAACATATTATATCCTAGTTAATTATAGAACAAAAATATGTTTTTCGCTATAAATACATATTACAATTGTAAGATTTGGGGATCCTTTTCAGTAATACCTACCTATGTCAGGTAGTCGAAGGTTCGATTCACGGCACCAATGAACATTCTATGTGCCCATCTAACACTTGCTCGTACGTTGAAGGAAAACAACCAACGTGTCAGCCACTGAAGGCTGATCTCTTCCTTTTCAAATTTGGGTAGGGTTTTTGCATAAAAAAAACCACAAATAACACAATACATAAAAATTATAAGATGCAACGGGCGGCCTTGTCGCTAATAAGCAATCTCTTCCCGGCAACGCTACTAAGGGAAGAACTAAAAAAAGAAATATGATGAGTAAAGTGCAAGAAGTGCATAACCAAATGTTATATAAAAAAATATAGAACCTTAATCTAAAGTAATACAAAAAACTAAAAACTAATCTCACGGATACATGAATGGCGACAAAACACAAAAGAAAAGGAAATACAAGAAATACACAAGTCACGATAGATCAGGATAGTATATGATAAAGAGATATTTATGCAAAAGAGTTTTAAAAAATGTTTGGGAGGTAGCCAATCGTATGGAGTCGTTCAGCCTATACCACAACTTAATCGCGGAGATCCTAAATGAATTGCCTATGAAGGATGAGCTGTGGGATGGGATTTCCAATAAACATCTATTCAACATCACAATCGAAAACTATTACGCTGCAGCCAGTTTACTGAAAAAAAAATACAATAATATATTTTGCGCCTACCCACATATTCCTACCCTCTATTTATAAAATTTGTTTTTTGCAGAGCTTGCGGTGTTTTGGAAACTATACGTATATCGGCGGCTGGTTTTCCATCAAGATGGCTGTATCAAGATTTCTTCTACAGGTAATAAATACCTATATATTTATTTTATTTTCTACAGTTTCATGGAGGACATCACAATATCTACAGAGTCCAAGATGTCTATAATAGATAATCCAGCCGTATTAAGCCAGTTATCATTATCGTCATCAATGGCTATACAGCCCCTTGTGGGCCTTAGCCTCCTCAAGGATACTTTGCCATCGCAACATATTTAGCCCTTCTTGCCTCCAACATCGAACCACTGGTTTTGAAGACTTGCTCTTCCCTTTTAAGCATACGACCAACCAGGCTCCTGAAGACAAAACTAATTAAATGGAAATTGTATTCGTTTTTACAACAAACTCCAAAGCGAAATTAGAAAATTATCACTAAATAAATTTCAAGCTCGCGTTAAAGATAAATGAATCAATAAAGCTTTTTATAAATTGACTGGTATTTAAATGATCCTAATCCTTGGGATTGATTTGCAGTTCAAACAATTTGAATGACTCAAAACTTGGCGATTAAAAAGAGTTTCGGAAAGTTTTTTGCCAGTTCTTCTTGCTTCTACGCCCTTGACTTGACAAACTGGTAGTAAATGTAAATTTAGGAATTAATTAATCTGACGTTCATAAGTGTACTTGATTACTTATATGAATAGAGTTATTTTGACTTGACTTGCCACCAACCGAAGCTGAAGCCGGGTACACATATATATATATATATTTTTTTTTTCAGATATCGCTTCCTTTGCCACTTGAAAGAGATAGATAGATCGGATATAAAAAACACCTGTTCCCGAATCTTACAGAGATACGTTAAAGAGCTGGACAAATACCAGTTCGGTGCTACTAAGATATTCTTTAGGGCTGGGCAGGTAATTTAATTTTTGTTAGAATTTAAAATAATAAATTATATATACCAAAATGCATTAAAAATAATATTGTGTATATACGAAGAATCAATGTACCGTAGAAGAAAAGAACTTGTTCGAAAAAAAACAGTTTGTATTTCATCAAGTTCAGTTCATTAGCCTTTCTGTAATTGGTTAATGTTGACAGTTTGAAGTAGATTAATTTTTTAAGACAGTTTACTGCGACTCTCATCCCTGAGGTTCAAACCCCAGCACCAATGGACTTTTAAAACGCATTTAACAATCGCTCGTACGAAGGAAAACATCGTGAGGAAACTGGCTTGCCTTAGACCCACCACGACGGCATGTCAGGCACAGGGGGCTGATCACCTACTTGCCTATTAGATTGACAATTATGTAACAGATACATAAGAGGGCGTTTAGTAACTTGCAACATATTTTAGGAATTGAGAAAAAATATACAGGGTGTACCAAAAGTTAGTATGATAGGGCGTCATGTATTTTTATAATTATTGGTATTTAAAAGTAAATATATTTTCTACATCATGTCATCTTAATTACATCCATCCGTAAAAAAGTTCGTAAATATTTATTTCTTATTAATTTGCGGTTCCATCTCCCGATCATCAAAGCTTGACGTTATTTAAAATATCCATACAATTTCTAGGTGGCATATCTAGAAAAAGTACGTGCGGACCTCCAACGGGCGTACTGTGTTCGCGTGCAATCTTGCGTACGCGGTTTCTTGGCTCGTAGGAGATATATGCGGGTCATGAAAGCCATCAGGGGCATACAGGCACATGCTAGAGGGCATATCGCTAGAACGTAAGTTTGTATATTAATTTCAAATGTCAAGGATGCGCGTGCGACTCTCAACTCTTCGGCTTTGGCTATTAACACTCGCTCGTACGAAGGAAAATATCGTGAGGAATTAAAGCTAACCAGGCAAAGGCTGATCACCTACTTGCATCATGAAACAGATGCATGTCCAGTTTATATTTCCACCACTGTAAACTTATACTTTTATTATGTATACAATCATTTCATCACCAGTCGTCGAGGCATACGAAATTCTACCCGTATCACCTGGACGTCCGTCGTTCCACAACTGAGCGTTTAAAGGCAGTCTCTGCTGCCCACCAATACCACAGAACTATTTCCGTACCGATTCGACTTAGTATTCTTTAAAGAGCGAGCGAGCGAGACTTATTCTTAAAAAGCTGGTAACGCACTCGTGAGCCCACTGGCGTTTAGTATCCATGGGCGGTAGGTATTTCCGAACAAATTCAAAGAGCGTACCTGTTCTTAAAAGACCGACCGCTCTCCTGGCATTATCCATGTATCACTTAACATCGGGTAGCCTCCTGCCCGTTTGCCCCCCCTGTTCTATAAAAGTCGGCTTAGTCTGGACTTCAACTTCTCTGAATTGCCTTGAATACATTTCAGTAAAGCCCAAGAGATTCGTCGTACGCGAGCTGCAATCAAAATCCAGAAGCATATTCGCGGTTGGCTTTTAAGGAAACGCTATGTTAAATTAAGAAAACTTGCGATTGGACTCCAAGCCCGCATCAGAGGATATCTTGCGAGAAGGAATTACAAGGAGAAGAGGTTCTTACAAGCGGTGAGTATTATGGGATTGTACAGGGTGTTGTAGATATGAATAGAATGGTGCAGAGGTTGTATTTTCTTTTTTAAGTATGAGAGGATTGTAAAGGATGTTTCAATGATTTGAGGTCAGACTAGACCTTAGTTAATTGATTAAGAAACTTAAATGTTAGGTTTTAGGAAGAAATTTTTCAAAACATGATCACACGAAGACATATTTTACAAGTATTTGTTTCACGTGACGTATAAAAAACAATATTTTTGAAGTAAAACTTCTTTAGGCGCGACAAGGGAGTAACTCGGATTTTTTTCTGACGGAAGTAACGCGTACTATAGTTTGTGTAGTTTCCGCCATTTAAAAATAACAACGATAGCGCGTTTTATAAGTCCGTCAGCGCCATCTAGTGGTGCATTATTTGAACTGATTTAAGTCAGTTTCTTGTAATTATGTTATTATTAGTATAGCATCCACTCGTTTTATTTGATACTGATTCTTGTAATTATGTTATTATTAGTATATTTATATTTAAAATGAATCCATACTAGTAACATGTGACCAAATTAAAATTCCACTAAAGAGGGAAGGTTCCCATTCTAGCTTGCTTTTCTTTTGTTATACATACGGCCGTTTTTTCGCTTAATTTCGTATTTTACCATGTTGGAAGAAGTAAATTAATTATCCTAAAACGTTGGTCTATTTTATATAAAAATAACAAAGTTGTATAAGCAATAGCAAAGTGAATAAAAAAAATTGCAAAGTTTTTTGAAAATCTCTAAATATACTTATTGATTTATTACATTTAAAATAAGTAAATTAATAATAAATTTTCTGACGATTGCGACATTCTATATTATTCAATAACAAGGTTATATTGACATGTGCTGACCTAACCTCCGTATTTGAATAATCTTTGTAAAGCACATGAATAATAAATAAATAATTAAATTATACTATAATGTTTATTATTTCAGTTAATATTTAATCATTTCAGTGATATATGCCGTCAACGCCAAAGAAGTTTTACTTCAATCGCGCGTAAAGGTTACACGCACACACTTTTGTTATTATAACATTACTAGCAGACCGGCCAAGCGTTGCTGTGGCTAAGGTTTTTGTTATATTACATAGTAGTAAACTATTCAAGGGAAACGGTAGGAGAACACCAGTCATGGGGACCACCATGCTTTTTTGGTGGTTATGCCATTAAATTGTAGCTTATGTGAAACGTTGGTACTTTCAACACAGCGCCATCTGTTAGAATTGTGACTATCAAATAATAAACAAATATTTTGCAATAAAATAATATTGCGGGTATAAATTGAGATATAAGCTATCCTATCTTTTAAGTTGGATCAAACTACACACGGTGTGCAAATTTTGATTGATATCGGTTCGGTAGTTTAGGAGTCCATAGCGGACAAACAACGTGACACGTAACTTATATATATTAAGATGATTATTATGCACCATAACTCTTAAAATCAAGTTTTATACATATACTTAATAACACATTATTTCTCATTTAGCAACTAGGGTAGATGATTATTTTTCATATTTCAGACTCTCACAATACAACGCTACGCGCGTGGGTACTTGGCTCGTAAGAGAGCCCGTCATATAAAGAGACACATCGTCTTGGCTCAGGCTGCTGTAAGTATAATTTAATTCGAAACATCAATTGAATTTGTTTCTTTTTTAGTTCATACCAACATATGGATTTTACCATAGAGTTCGCTTTTGCCGAATATAAACCGCAATTTTACACCCCAAAAACCCTTCCTCAGACTTATATTTTGCGAGTCATTTAAATAGATATAAGTTTTTAAAGAAATTAAAAAAAAAAAAGAGCTTAGTGGGATTCAGCGTGCGACTCTCATCCCTGAGGTCGTAGAACCCCGTTTACCAATGGACTCTCTAACGCATTTAATATTAGCTCGTACGAAGAAAAACATCGTGAGGAAACCGGTTTGCCTTAGGGAGCGTTCAAGTATTACGTCGCGCAATTTTTATAGATTATTGAAATTTCATTAGAATTGCCCCAGTATAGACAGTATTAAAAGTCTGTTCTCTTCCCTAATTTTACACAAATTTCCTTTAACAAAATCAACATCAAAAAGAGAAGGTAAGAAAAGCGTATTCTTTTTTCTATTTAAATAGAACAGATGGCAAACGGGCAGGAGGATCACCTGGTGAAGTGATTCCGCCCATGGACACACACTGCCAGAGGGCACGCGAGTGCGTTGTGAGCCTATTAAGAGCTTGTACACTCTTTCAAGGACCCTATTGTTTATTCTTTTAGATCCGCCGATTCCTAGCCCGTAGACAATTTAAGCGTCTACGCATTGAAGCAAGATCTATAGATCACGTGAAGACGCTGAACAAAGGGTTGGAGAATAAGATTATTTCGCTGCAGCAGAAGTTGGAACATTATCAGAATAAATCAAAAGTGATTGAGCCGTTGCAGGCTACAATTGTGGAGTTAAGGTATGATATCTTCTAGTGATGGTGTTCATGGCTTATTGGTGCTTTGATCACCTATTGCCGAAGGCGTTGATCAATATAGAAAATTAATAATAATTTTTACAGAAATCGTTTTTAAAAACTATTAAAGAATATAGAAAATACAAAAAAATTGTTATCTTAGTAAAAGATGTTTTTCTTTGCATTACGAATAGGTTAAAATAATATAAATTTTTATAACAAAAAAATGTTTTTTTCACTATGACTAGTTTTTCAAAAATAAACAAAATAATAGTTTTTTTTTAATCTTTTTTGTCAGTAAGAATTGTCTTTTTACACTTGGAATTAAACACATTTATCCGTTTAGGTCCAAATTGGATAATTTAAAAACAATAGAAATCGAGTCAAAAGCTCTAAAAGTCGACATTCAAGATAAGGACAACTTCTTGACATTCCTGAGAGAAGAGCTGGCAAAAGAGAAGGACAGCAACAAGAAACTAGCGGAGGAGAAGAGGCAGATCGAGTTGCGGTATAAGAGGGAGAAGGAAGAGATGGAGATGGAGAGCGAGAAGCTGGCGAATGAGTTACGAAGCTCCAAGGAACATTTCGAAATGCTTGTTGAGGGTGAGTCTTTGAATTGCTAGTGTTCAACCCATGTTCACCAAAAACTCGGTTCCTTTGTGCCTAGGGTTTTTAAGCTATTGCATAGATTTTATCGCGGGCTTTGAGTGCGTCGACCGAATCAAGAAATTCCGTAACTAAATAAACCTAACACACGTTGACGTAATATAGGTGCGGCCATTCGCGTTAGAGCGGGACAGAACGCATACTGCGTCTCACATCGGTCTAGCGTGATCGTACGCGTTAGAGTGAGACAGACTATATTGGCGTGTTAGTCTGAGTCTGGTAGAGTGGTAGATTGAATTAATATCAAAGAAAATACTTGAATTACGAATTATATCATAGAAAAAAATACTGCATAAATAAATATAATTGCATAAGTTGATACAAAAATGCTATGCAGTAGCTTTACCGCCGCAGTCCCCGAGTGCCACGCGTTTTTTTTATATGTATAAGTCGATAGCAAGCAGATCTGTGGCAGAGTCAAGGAAGCAGGGGAGTTTCAACTACTCCGGAAAAATCCTCATGATATGGACGAGTTGGAGCCCGCTGGTCGGCGGGATATCTTGTGCTATTTATTTTTGACCTATTTGAAAATTTTATGGCCGAATTATTTCACATCAGGGGTTGCGACGGCGTAGGCTGTAGACGGCGATTGTGCATCTTATGTATTTAATATTATATGCTTCGACATTATGTAGTTTAGAATAGTGTACGTGTTTTTATAATATGTCGGGAAAATATCGTCATATGGACATAGTTATAGCGGGTTTCGGGCGTCTTGGGGTAAAGGACGAGCACAAAAGACACGAAATATAGTTAATATATTTACCTTTCTTAAATGAACCTTTTTGTATGTTATGTAAGCTACGAAATATTAAATAAAATAAGTATAGACAACATTGTATAACGAGTCTGAGGCTTAAGTTTCTCTTTAGTTGTTACTGTTTATTGCTTGTTACTTTGTGTGTGTGTTCAATTTGTGTATTGTGTATAACAGCATACGCAGACGTGCATAATAATTAAGCCTCATGTATTCCTTAAAACATTGATCCATCTTTACAGAAAATACACTTAAAATTTTATACAGAAACTAGCTGACCGGGCAAACGTCGTTTTGCCATATATATCATTTATAATAAAAAAATAGGGGTTGATCGTAGAGGGGTAAAAGTTAAAAGGGTTTGTATGTATTTTTAATGCTGTATCATAAAAAAATAAAAACAGAAAAAAATATCTAAAAATAAAAAATAAATATTTAGGGATGGACTTAGGGGTACCCTTAACATTTAGGGGGATGAAAAATAGATGTTGTCCGATTCTCAGACATACCCAATATGCACACAAAATTTCATGAGAATGAGAATTTTATATATTAAATATTTTTTTCCAAAGAACTCCAATACAGGCCTTTTTTTTTACTTGGGGAAATGCATTGTGCATACCCTACCGCGGTGCGACTGCTTAGTGCGGGAGGGTTATGTGGGAATCGCGATTGTGCATACCCACTAAACCCCCAAGGCGCCACCAACAATCGCCTTAGGCGGGATGCGGTAACAGCAGAATAGAGTATAGGTCTCCTCTAACTTGCTCCATCTCTCTCTATCTGGAGCATTTTTCTCCACCGCAAGAGGGCGACCTCTCTTTCTTTTCCCTGGTAGCCCTTTCCACCCACCCTGTTGGTCCATCTGATATTGTTCATGCGGTTTGGCCCGCCCTTTTCCACTTTAGTTTTTTGCAATGGGATAGTGTTGGGAGCAGTGTTGGCCTAGTGGCTTCAGCGTGCAACTCTCAACCCTGAGGTCGTGGAACCCCGGCTGTACCAATGGACGTTTCATGCGCATTAAAGAATCGCTCGTACGAAGAAAAACATCGTGAGGAAACTGGCTTGCCTTACACCCAAGTCGAGGGCGTGTCACCGGCGGATCACCTACTTGCCTATTAGACAATACAAACACAGAAATCTGAGGCGCAGACCTAAAAAAGGTATCATGAATAATACTGTCTTTAATATGTTGTCAACATACAAAACTTAGTTAGGGTAATTTAAAAAATATGTTTAATCATTATTTTTAATATTACAATATTTTTTAAGCATGTAGCTTTGCTAGTATTTGATATATCCACGGATCTCCACGCGCCTAATCAAAAGATATATTGATAACGGAATGTTCGAAATAAATTAAAACCTTATCATTTGATATTAAATTATCAGTAATAAACAATTGCTTGTACACGTTTGTGAACATTTTATTTGTGATTTTCATTCAACGTGACACAAGTATACAGTATCGGTAATTATTGCACTCTCTATATATGTTATGATATATGTACCAAGGTATGATTATAAACAATGGTGTCCAATGAGGTAATTGATAATCAAGATGTGGGTGTGTACAAATATGATGTGTGGTCTATGGAATTTGAGCAACGTGCACGCTTTTGGAAAGGTTATTATACTATATTTATCTTGGCAAGTTAGCAAACCGTTATATTTCAGACAATCTACATAAAACTATAATTTTAAAAACATATATATATTACTAGCAGACCGGCCAAGCGTTGCTGTAGCTAAGGTTTTTGTTATATCACATAGTGGTAAACTATTCAAGGGAAACGGTAGGAGAACATCAGTCATGGGGACCACCATGCTTTTTTGGTGGTAATGCCCTTAAATTGTAGCTTATGTGAAACGTTGGTACTTTCAACACAGCGCCATCTGTTAGAATTGTGACTATCAAATAATAAACAAATATTTTGCAATCAAATAATATTGCGGGTATAAATTGACATGTAAACTATCCTATCTTATAAGTTAGATCAAACTGCACATGCAAATTTGGTGAAAACTGTATAAAAACCGTTCAATTGTTTGTAACCTAATCGCGTTCAAACAGAGGACTAAATTTTATATGTAACGATCTTAATATAGACACATACAATACACATAAAACGTATAATGAATTATATTAAAACCTTCGTACTTGTTTAATCTATGGTGAAAACTGTATAAAAAACTGTTCACTGGTTTTTGAGTTATTTACGTTTTTATATACGAGGCCATCCATTTTGTGTGAGGTCTATTAATGTAATCTGTGCATCGTATTGCAAGCAGTGTTACCCTAGTGGTTTCAGCAACTCTCATCCCTGAGGTCGTTGAACCCCGGCTATGTAACACTCAAAGGCAAAGTCTGATCCCCTACTTGCCTAACCAAACAGATACATAGGACCCAGATAAAAGGTTATAGCGCCATTTTAATGTTGTGATTCTTGAGGAAGATTATTGTTAAGTCTTAACAATCTTGCCAAACTTCTGAAGCTTCAATCTCCTTATAGAACGAGACAAGAGGCATGAAGCGGAGAAGAAGGCGCTTTGTCTGGAGTTGGAGAATGAGAGGCAGAGTCGGCAGAAGTTGCTCTCCTCCCAACATGATCTACAGGAGAAGATAGACTCTATGCAGCGGTAAGTTTCTTTTGAATTATGAACCAAGCTTTTTGAAGTTATACTTCTTTTGGCGCGTTAGGGAAAAATGACGAGAGTAAATTTTTACGATGCGCGCGCACACCATCACAAAAACCGACACCCTAAAAAAAAAATCAAAAATCATTTATTCACGTAGGTAACACAATGTACACTTGTGATTCGTCATTCAAGAAATACATATTAATGCTTCTAATTTTACATTTACTGCCAGTTCTCAAATCAAGGGCGTAGAACGGAAGAGAAGAACTGGCAATAAACTCTCCGCCACTCTTTTTAATCGCCATGTTTTTTTTTACTCAACGTTTGTAAGGAGCTGCTAGAAGTTAGCATAAACGACATTTCAAAATAAAAAATGTCCATTTCTTTAATTATGTAGAAATATTTTTTTGTGATATTTAAATTAACTTTATGTAAGTAGATAATGCGTTATAATAAAACTTTCAATGTATTAAATACCTTTTTTCTATTGTTAGTGTAGTTTTTTCAACAAACGTAGAATAAGGCGATTTTTTTTTAAAGATTTTTATCTTGTTACGCCAAAGAAGTATAACTTCTAACGTGTTACACTATGTGTATTATATTATTAATTATTATACTTAAAAATTCAGACAAATGTTTATTTGAAAAAAATCGGTTATCTGTAAAGTACTAGGTACTAGGTACTGACGATAGTTGAACGTGACAACGTCATAAGAAAATATTGATGGAATGGTTGCATTTTTCAAAAGAAAATTTTAATTTTATTTGTTTGACACATATTTTGTATGAATATAGAGAAGGAGGTAAATAGAAATCACAATTGAATTGATCAAGATACATTTATTTGTACATAATAAATACAATTATGTCAATTTTTTTCTCGTTCCGCGCTCTCGCTTGCACTTCAAGCCTTAAATGGAACGCCTCAGAGCGAGGTAACGCCGCATGAGTCGTGTTTTTTCGTGCGTGCAGCCGGCTCCATTGAATTATAAGACGTTGTCACGTGAAAATTTACTCTAAATTTATATTTGTATTCAAATACTCAATAAAAAGCAGTGTTGGCGAAATTTATATGAAAATTTATCTGAAAATATTTTTTCAGAGTACCCTCAAAGGAGCATAGACGATCCTTGTCCGATGCTAGTACTAATTCACAGCAGGAGACGACCGTTGAAGATGTATGTATACAATTATTGAATTTGCAAACTACCCTCTTTTTTTAATTCGTTGACGTTAAGAAACGTCAGGCGCTGTACCTGGATGGTTGACCGGGACGTTGTTGGCTCTTAGATTCGCCAAAGTGTTTATAGACTGTAAATAAGTCGACCATCTTTAAAGGTCAATTAGTAGATCTTTAAAAATTAACCAACTTAAAAAAGTAGGTATTCCGAACCAGTTTAACAAGATAAGGCGCAGAAATTCATAAAAAGCCGGCAACGCACTCGCGAGCTCTCTGGCATTTAGAGTGTCCATGGGCGGTAGGTATTTCCGATCCAATTCATTTTAGGGTCCTTCAAGAAAAGAGCGTGCCTATTCTTAAAAGGCCGGCAATGCACTTGCGAGCCCTCTGGCATTGAGAGTGTCCATGGGTGGCGATATCACTTAACATCAGATGACCCTCCTACCTGTTTTCCCCCATATAAAAGAAATGTATTCTAAATGAATTATTGTGACAGTAATGTATGTATTTGTCAGGACTTTGGTTATGGATCAGTTCGTTCAGTGGAAACCACCAGACCTGCTTTGGAAGCTGTCAATTGGTCAGCTGGGTCGCATAACGGGCCGTCACCGGTAAGTTTGACTGTTCGTAAAACATTTAACAGTGACGGTAGATGCAAAAATACTTGTAGATCGAGGTAGTTTACTATATTTACAAAGAAATATTTTCTAATGGTAGAGGACTTGTATAGATAGAGAAAAATATGTTTCTAAATAGAGAAATACTTTATAAATGGAGAAATACTTGGATAGATTGCAGATGCAGGGCTTGTACTACGGATGCAAAACCGAATTTCTATCTTGCAAAGTGAATATTCAAGGACTGCGAAGCGAGCTGGTGATTTAGAAGACAGACTGATGAGTGAGTATTTTTACTCCGATTTTTCATTCCGTAGAATTCTGACATTTCATAAGTGTTGCTACTAAAAAAGTTCTTCACCGAAAAATGGACAGATTTGACCCATTTGAAGGCAAAAAAAATAAAATGCTACGTATTTTTTATGTTTTACCTACAAAAAGGTAAATCTAAATATTTACTTACTCAAGTGACCACAAAAATAACAAATATTTCAATATCACGAACAATGTATCGAATTAACTTTTATTACTTTTTTTTAGGTCGACTCATGCTCCCACCATCGAATCCAAATAGCGATAGATTCAAAGTGGAAGAGCTGGAAATTGAGAACAAGAAACTTCGAGAGCAAATAGACAGACTCCGAGCTGCTGGAGATAGTACTCTGCTCTCCAAGGAAATTATAGGTATTTATGAAATTGGGGTCCGCATCCGTCATCCGCACCACTTTCAGGGCTGGAATCCTTCCACGATCCGCTTCACTGGGCTTTTTCTTTTGCGAACTGTGGAATTGGTGGAAAGAAGAGGAAGATACGACCTTCAATTATTACTACGGCCAATCAGCCAATAAGCAGGAATTTGTCACATTGATTATCATAATAATAATAATTATTTATAATTAAAACTTCTTTCTCAAAAGCACCCACTTAAATAAGTGCCCATGTGCGTGTATTGACTACTTTTTATGGCTGTTCCGTAGGCTTGTAGTATAATTCTTTTTGTTAGTGCCATCATCCCTGAAGTCCTAGCTTCCAACCCCGTGCACCAATATACGTAGTCGGTCCCAAAGTTCTGTCATAAATGCAAATAATGATAAAAACAAAAGTACTGATCAGTTTGTAATGAGTGATATATCAATTCTTAGAACATTAATTAAGGAATAAAAAAAGCATAAAAATATTCGAAATAACCTCCCTCATTTTTAATACAGGCCCTTAAGCGTCGCGGCCAGTCGTCTATCGCAGCACGCACCATATTCGTGTCGATTTCAGTCACTGGTTTTTTTAAAGATGACTTCAGATTCTCCAAATTTTCATGAGGTTTATCACAGACCTTCCTCTCTAAGCCCTGTCATAATTTTCGGGTCCAAAGGATTAAGGTCCGGACTGGAGGAAGGCCAATCCTCATGTCTAATTAAGACGATGTTTTGACGCTCAAACCAGGCTTTAGTGGTCTTGGCTTTGTATGCAGACGCAGAGTCCTGCTGGAACACGAAGTGATGTCCCGCAAATAGGGTGCTGGACATGTCTTTGACAAGGCGATACAAAACCGTCTCTTGGTACACTGTAGCACTGGTTTTGACCCCCTTTTCGAAAAAATTAACCTCAGTTAGCCCGTAATAGGACACTCCCAACCAAACCATTACTGATGATGGATGATGTCCATGTTGCACCCTTGGAACTATATTTTCAGCTTCTTCAGAACTCTTAGCGTACACTGTATAATTCTGTTTATTGTACTTCTCTTCAATATCGAAAAATTTTTCGTCCGTAAAGAGGATATCACGGTGTCGGTTTTTCGCGTACCGCTTAAACAACATCCGCGATCTCTTAAGCCTTATTGCTTTTAGACGAGCATTAAGTAAGTGCCCACTCTTTTTTTTGTATGCTCGTAGACCAAGATCTTCATTTAAAACCTTTTTTACTGTTTTCCTACTGACACCCATCTGCAAATCCATCAACTTCTGTTTTCGGACAGGATTTCTTACTATCCGCGCCTTGATAGCTTTGATTACTGCTGGTGTTCTTGCGGAGCGTGGCCAGCCAGTTCTTTTCTTGTCCTCAACACTGGAGACTTCAAGGTACCTATCAATAGTACCGTACACAAACCTAAGCGTTATATTCAAATTTTTGAGCAACTTGAAAATGGTACTCGGCGAGTGTCCACAGCGGTGCAACGCAATAACAACTATTCGGTTTACTTTCAATGTCCACTCCATCGTGAAAAATTACGGAAAGTTATTGTTTTTTGTTTTAAAACAATAATCAAACATTCCAAAATAGAATGCAATAATTTTTTTTATAAAATCCATCTCGAAATGTAGAAATAATGTGCTAGTGACAGAACTTTGGGACCAATATACTGTCTATTAGCGCAATTAACACTTGTTCCTATGGTTAGGGTAAACATCGTGATTACATTATACCCAATCGGGGCTGATCACCTATTTATCTTGTCTACCCATCTCGAGTTGTAACGCCAATAGATTATTATTTAGATTTTTAAATGGGGGTTCATATGTATTTTTAATGCCCAATCATAAGAAAAGTTATGACCAGCTTTACAGCGGAATATATACAAAAATTTCCTTCAACTCTGAGGAAGGTTATTGAGGAGGGAATTGGAAAAATTGCAATGTTCCATATGTTGGTGTACGTAGTTAAAAGGTAGGCTAATTAAAAATCGCAAATAAAGAAAGCTATGGACAAAGATATTTGGAAAAGCTGGAAGAGGCCTTTACCCGTGAAGGGGTTCCGGTCAATGAAGGAAGTTAGAGTATTAGGATATTTCACTTTGGTAAATTAAACCGGCTATTATTATTATATATTATGGTATTAATAAATATATATAAAATAAAAATTTAAATATAATAAAATTAATTATTATATCATTAAAGTAAAATTAATATGAAGGTGAAACGATGTTCGTGGGGGCAATAATATATTTAAAAAAAAACAAAAATTGTTCTGGAACTAACTATTAAGTTTGTTCGAAGTACTAAGAACCCGGACACTGATATTTTTTATTTAAAAGTGTTGCGAAATCTTGCATTAATAATGAAAAAACACATTTTATTTTATTATTATTTCGTACACAGGACAAATAGACGCGATGCAACAAGAATTAGATAGACGCCGCGACGAATGTGTTCAACTGAAGAGCGTGTTAACGCATCAGGTGAGTTTCCATTTAAAACCATTAAATTCCATAAAATGCCGTCAAATTTCGTTAACTGTAGCTGACGGAAATAAACGATACATTACTTAAAACAAAATATTTTTTGAATAACAGGTTTTTTTTAATAATGGAAGAAAGGACACTGTGAAGCTAATCAAATGGGGTAAACAGATGACAAAGTTACTTAAATTAAAACTAGGAAAGATTTGATTGAAATCCTTTTACAATTAAAATCCTAAATCCCTGAAGCATACTCCTCCTTTAAGGCCGGAAACCCATTAAAATAACCCGATGGGCTTCTTCCCTGGGCACCTCCAAAGAAAGAAAGAGTATACTCCTTCAAAGGCCGGCAACGCACCCACTAAAAATGGGTGTCCATCTGCTGCGATGACTTCCCATTTTGGGCGACCCGTGGGCTCGATTGCCTTAAAAAAATGAAAAATATGATTATATTTGTACTACAAATTATATCTGATGTTGTGATAACATATCTCAACAAGATTTATCTGAATTTATCAGTTATTCAGAATTTTTTTGTACAATCCTATCTCTAGTTTTATTAAATTATTAACGAGCGTGTTAAATTTGACTAACTTGGATATGAGACCAGTGTTTGTTTCGAAGGTTCGACGGATTTTAAGGTAATTTTCTGTACGATTCCCGCATTCGTACTTTACTTATAACTCCTATAGAACTTTCGCTCGGCGACTGAACTGTCGCGCGGCTACAGAACTGTCAGATCGCGTACCTGATAGGCTACTATGAACGGCTCCTCCTAGAACCAATTTTAGAATGTTTCATAACATGACAAAAATCTTTTCTTATGATGTATAATATCGATTTAACAGGCTGTTTATCTAGACCACACAACACCAAAGCGTTTAAAGAACTTGTAAAAAAAAAAAGAGTGTGTACTTATGTACACGTGTTAGAAGTTATACTTCTTTGGCGTATGGAAAAAAATAACTAAAATGCAGTATTGATTAACGATAAATATTAAAATTAATCAAAGAGATTTTATTTAAATAAAAAAGGTTTTATTAACGTAAAAATATGACAACACAGTAAAAATATTCAATCATTAATCATTAAGGCAATAAATCAAACATATTTTTGAAGTTATACTTCTTTAGGCGCGTTATGAAAAATTGATAAGAGTGAAATTTTACGATGCGCGCGCACCGTGACACAAAATTAACAGAATGAAGTTGCCCACGGAAGATGCTTCGGCATTGGACATAATTTAAAAAGAACATTCGAATAATAATAGAATTTATGTTACACTTAATGTAAGAGAATAATAATAAATATTTATTTATTTAATTTTTCAAATGTAAACGGAACTTTATTGACTATAATGACTCCTTTTCCAGTCTTTGATTATTTAATTGTAATTAATGATTTGCATGCAAACAAAAACTATTTTTAATAATGCCAAAGAAGTATAACTTCTTACTCGCGTACATAAGTACACGCACCCTTTTTTTTATTTACACATAAAATTTGTTAATATACCAGAACTAAAACAAAACGAAAAAAAATAATTTTATTATAATGTAATAATTTTTAATTAACGATGTAAATCTATTATACATACCGACAATTAACCTCAAATCTATAAACGCACTCAAAACAGTTTATTCAAATCAGTTTTATCACTAATATTCAATATGTATAGATATACTAATAAATAATAAATTATTATTAAATACTATCACCGTCGTATATGAAATTGATTTTATAAATCACCAAAATAATATTTATTTATTCTCACTGTTTAAATGTACTGTTACGAAACACGTGTGCTAAATATAAAAATACTAGAAGATACAACTTGAACATAGTTAGTTAGTATCGATTTTCATGCCACCTAGAACTAACTTAACGATGTAGAATTTAGATGTCGGTGTGCGCGCGCATCGTAAAAATTCACTCACATCATTTTTCTCCATCGCGCCAAAAGTAGTATAACTTCAAAAACTTGTGTATTTGTATTCACTTTTTTACTCGTGTGTTACTATTACCAAAATCCCACGACTGTACATCTCACGTGGTGACAACTCTTTCAGAATGCTTCACCTTAGACCCCTAACTATCGATTAAAATCCCCTAGTTCTTGTTGTACTCTCTGTTTGAGAGGGAATGTCAAATATGCATCAAAAATACATTCAAAATATAAATTTTAGATTTTGAAGTAATATTGTGATATTTCAGTTATACTCCAAGAGTTTATAGTTTAGTTTGTTTGTTTCGAGGTCTAAATTGTATTGAATTGTGCGTTTTTTTAAAATAAATGTACCCCTTAAAAATCCCCTGGATGTTTTGATTCCCCCTAGATTTAGGCCGTTCTGGCCGTTCATCAAATTATCGTTCTATAAATAAATAAATAAAAATAAATAAAATAGCCTTTATTGCTGTTTCTATCTTACAATAATACTCATTAATTATTAATTATACATGCCTAACATAATTACTTTCTAAATACTTTTCTACTAAATTAAATTTAAATTACTTTCGAAGTACTTACTAAATTAAATTGGTTTAATCATTGTATGTTCGGCAACTGGATGTTTGTCTGGAACAGCTTGTCTGTCGACAAAGGCCTCCTCTAAAGATTTCCACGTATTCCTGTCTTTTGCTAAACGAGTCCATACCGGACCAGCTATTTTGTTGAAGTCGTCTTCCCATCATTTTTCCATGTGATCGGCAATTTATAGTTGCTATATATAGATCGTTATTTGTCTTCCTGTTATTTCTTATCTTTAGAGGGTCCCTCTAAAGATCGTTCTATATGAGCCTTTAAATAATTTAATTAAGATGGGCACCAAATCTAGGAGAAACAAGTATTTTTTTTAATTCAAACTACTAAGAAAAGTTTAAAGATAAAATGCAATTTATCTTAGTTTGAATATGTCGGAGAAATCGTGATCAGCGGGATTAGTGGGCATATCGTACTGTATTTAATATAGATTGATTACTTTCAACATTACAAATAGGAATTTTAGTTTCAAATACAACGGGTTAAAGGTACCCATCTCACTTTTACGCAATATACCCAACAAATCACATATACCCAACTCGGTCCAACGTCTCACCACCACAATGCTCCACTGGATACTCAATCAGAACTCCCCTGCGTTCCCTGAACGACCCCAAACGACCCCCGACCCCACTCGAGGCATTTCCTCGGCGCTGTTCATATATTCGTACTTTTATTCGTTAAGTAACGATTCTAAATTATGAAACAATTAAATATTAAAATATGATTAACAAATTAAAATATGATTTTTAAAAGTAATAGAAGGAATCTTAATTATTAACCAAAACACCAAATCAACGGTCAATTGACTCGATCAGAAGATTTCCTGATAATCGGAACATTCCTTGACATATAAAAATAAATTAAATAAGAAAAAAACTGAAAAATTATTTTTCTTTAAGGCGGTAAAGTCTGTTTGCGCCAAATCGGTGTCAGTCACAGATGACAATTGACGATTTTGACTTTGACACGAACCGGTGGCGTTCCGGCATGATGGCGCAGGAATAGTAAAATTTAAACCGCCGTCGCGTGCGCATTTATTTTAAGTATTATAAGTGGTTGGATTGGGACACACCACCATGGTAAGTGCTAGTCTTAGTCTGATCGATTGTTGGATTCCTTTTTTTATTATACTGACTCGCGACAGCCGAACTAGCGCATATTATTTTACCGAGGGAAGGGAGCATCCTGGATATAGCCCACACATCTTTTTTTGGCCGTATATGTATCATATCTCTTAGTTGGGCATATTTATTTTCGTTTTTTTTTTCAATTTTGTACGTTGCCGGTGGGCATTTTCTTACCTGTATAACGACAAATTTAATATAGATTTTTTAAATATTATATGTATTTATAAATCTATTATCGTATTTCGTATTTCGTATCCCGTATTTCGTATTTACGTGTTTAATAATAGATTGTGTCTGATTTGGTGAGAATGATCATGCGTAATTAGTATCTACCTACATCACTTTTTTCTAAAAAATTGTTTCACAGTTAACGTTCGTAACAAATCTGTTTATGGTTAAATTTATTCGTATTGTTGATATTTCATTTTATTTTAATATTTTTAAAAAGTTAATTTTGAAAAAAATAATTATTATTTGTGGATAAGATGGATAAAAGAACAAAGGCCGGTGAACGGCAAATAATTATGATTTAATGTAATCACTTTAATTGACAAATATCAAGACATACGGTCTCTTGGCTTTAATTATTTAGATAATAAAAATATTATTTATAAATTTAATTTTAAAACATTAACAAGTTCTTCTACAGACGGTTTAAATAGTTTTCTTGATAATTTTGTTACATCAATCGCATCTTTTGAAAAACTAGAAATACCTAATAAATTAGATTATAATTTTTAGCACTTAAAAAATCTTGCCAACGAAACAATTATTTCATTTGAGAATTCTTTTACGAAAGACAAAATTACTTGTTATTTGAAATTAATTATTTTTACAAGAGAACAGTGTTAAGTTTTGGAACGAACAAATTCTACTATTTTAAAACCGGCTAATAATAAATATTCCAAAATCAAAAAATCTTTTGTAACTTCTAAATCTGAAACTAATTCAAAATGTCCTTTATGTAATGGTAAAAATAATCAGTTATACAGTTTTCCTGATTTTTTTAAATTTAATGCAAGAGAACGATTCAATATCATTAAAAAACGAAATTATTGCGTAAAATGTTTAAGCGTAATACAAACCAAATTTTAACAAATTGTAATTCTGTTAAAAGTTGTAAAACGTGAAATTCTAATACGCACAATACAATGCTGCATTTTTCGCCAAATTCATTTGAAATCAGGCGAAACCGTTCGAACCTGTTATTGATGGACTGCGATCAAACGCTCGAGCCAAATTGAGTCGCAGCGTGAGTGATTGCTAGTCGATAGTACCCCGCGCAACGCATCTGGCTCCATAGACGAACCTAATAACAAACACGCGCCGATTTCTCTGTGTTCATTGCAGAATGAAGCGAATACTTTAATATCACAACCGGCAAAGATTTCACTTGGTACAGCCCGCGTATGTAGGTACTTTTGCTACGCGTGGTAACCCGCATATTTTGCGTTGTCTTATAAACAATGGCTCTCAAAATCTAAGTCGCGAGGGACCTGATGCTGTTCAAACAACATTTGGTTTTATTTTAATGAGTGAAGCGCATATTTAAGTCTCTTTTGAACGATGAAATTTCAAGGGGGGAGCTATGTCTGCGCCAAATCGGTGTCAGTCAAAGAAAGATGACAATTGTCGATTTTGTCTTTGACACACGAACCGGAGATGGTAGGTGGCGTTCCGGCATGATGGCGCAGGAATAGTAAAATTTTAACCGCCGTCGCGTGCGCCCTTAAGATATACTGCAAACCGTACCGTACTTATTTCTATTTACCATTTTAAGGATCCAGTGCTTGGAGTGGGACACACCACCGTTGATGGAAAGTGCTATTCTTAGTCTGATCGATTGTTGGATTCCTTTTTTTTTATACTGACACGCGACAGCCGAACCAGCGCATATTATTTTACCGAGGGAAGGGAGCCTCCTGGATATAGCTTCAGAGGCCTTCCCAGGCCCACACAAAGTCTATATTAGTATTAGTTATTTATAACTTTAAAAAATTAGCTCACGTGTCCTTTCTTTTACCAATTCGACTTAGGGTCCTTCAAGAAAAGAGCGTATTCTTAAAAGGCCGCCAGCGCACTTGCGTGCTTTCTGGTAATGTGAGTGTCCACTGGCGGCGGTATCACTTAACATCACGTGAGCCTCCGGCCCGTTTGCCTCCTGTTACATACAATTTGCTGAGATTCAGAAATGAGAAGGGAAAAGAAGGTGTCTTCCATTAATTTCGTTTATATGTATTTAGAAACGGTCCAAGCCAAAGTGATGGCAGTGGTGCCAACTCCCACAAAATATTTCACCTAGAACGTCAAATAAAAAATAATACTGAAATATTGAAATTAAACCAGTATTTTTTTTATTGTGCACTTGGTTTAAGAGGTACTTTCAAATATGAATTAAAAATACATTCAAGTAGTGTAAAATAGCTGTTGTGTTTTTTATTTTATTTCCAACACACGTATATACAGTATTTGCAATTTTCTTAACTTAGATAATAATAATATTACTAAAAAATACTACATGTGGATTTAAGGCTGGGATTTGGCCGTTATTCCTTGAGGAACTGAAATCTTTAATTAATGATTTTAGATTAGATATTCCAAATGTTTCTTTTTTATAAATTAAGATTTCTCATTGAAAAAAGTACACCTTAAAATATGTTGTATGTATGTGTGTATGTATTTATGTACCTGGACATTCCACCTAAATTTGAGTCGAAAATTTCCAAGTTGGCATCACTGATGACTAAGCTAATCTGGCGGCCCCAAACGGACACTTGTGTAATTACAGATTAAACTTCAAAATACAATAAATAAATAAACGTTTAAAAATTTCTTTGATGAATTGAAGTTTCTTGCAATGATTAAATTTTTATGTAAAAAAATATACCAGAAACAATAGAACCAGACAATCAAGTCATGTCAATCAGACAAGAAATTCTGAAAACCAGCTAAACTTGGCTTAGCCCAATATCGTTCCTGAATCTCTGCCTGTCATTTTAAATAAATTTTAGGTTAGTCTTGACTCCATATTAAATGTATATACCTATATTATGTATAGGGTCATATGTATTTGTGTTTAAAATATATTTAAATTGTGCAGAAACCATGGTTCCAAGCGTTGAAAACTGTTGTAAGTTGTCAAATGTGTCGAGAGCTTTTTCATTTTGCTTATCACAGCTTTTTTGACATAAGCTCCACATGGACGTCCATCAAATATATCAATAGTTTTTATAGAAAGCTGCATTATCAGTTAGTAACAGGCGATGCAAACTTTGGTGCACTGCCATCATACAATCACCAAGATGTCATGTCACCATTTAGGTCTGGGTCTCTTTAAAACTGCGGCAAGTATCAGCAAGCAAGGTGATCAGCCTTTGCCTGATTGGGTCTCATGCCGGTGTTAGGATGATTTCAACAACCTTTTAGGTCTGAGCTTCTGATGTTTCCGCTTCATGAGGTGGCGGAAAGTTTATTATTGTGTTACCTATATGAATAAATGACTTTGACTCTTGACTTTTGAGGCAAGTAGGTAGTCAGCTAGTCGCGAAGTTTAAACTCTTGATAGCTGTCAGTATATGGTATATGATAGTGTATTTTCCTATAAAGTCAAAGTACAAATAATTTTATTCATAAAGGTACACTAATGAACGTCAGAAAAGAAGTTAAATAAATTCTAAATTTACATTTACTACCAGACATTATAGAGACAGCTAAACCGCCGCGATAGCGATCCCGGCGTTTCTGTATGCAAATGTGATGTAGTGATTCTCAAAATCCATAGCGCGCCGCAAATTAGGGATCGCGGAACAAAAACTCGTTATTGGTGTCGCTGTAGTAACTGAGGCGTAATGTAGCTTTCTACTTGTTCAGACATGATTTTTACCTTTTATTAATTTTATTCTCTTTTTTTACGCTTTCTTTCGCTGAAATTGCATGGTTTGTATTTATTTTGTAGTTAGTCTATTCTTTTAATATAGGCCTACAACCTGAAACTGAAATCAAAACCCTCAAAGTGAAGGTGGACTTAGCGCAAATGATTTCCGTATTATAGAGATCATAAATACTCTAAATTTGTCAATGCCCGTTAGCAATATTTGTGTGTTAATATATAATCGACAGATTCTGACCACAGCTGATGATTAAAAATATTTAAACGAACATCGCAGCTTCTCCGAGTCAAAAGTTAAATTGCAAATCTCACAGCAAAATAATCAAAAAATGGCGGCGCTTCGCCCTCCACCGCAGCGTCACAGTTCTCGTCTAGTAAAATATACTAGTTATCCAGTAGTATATTTGGTTGTAGAGGATAGGTTCGAAGCAACGCCAGACCTGCTAGACCATATCTCCCGATGTTATAAGGTTTTTTGGCCTGCCTCCGGATGTATTATAATAATGATTTTTTTGCAGACTGGCAATCTGAAGTCGCTAGCATCGAACTATGGGTCGGACGTCGACATCATCAATGAAGATGGAGAACTGGCCTCCGCATATGAAGCCCAAAAGGGAATTAATAGGTATTCAAAATTATTAAAGCCAGAACAGTGGTAAGCCTTCATGCTTCACTTGCTCCAGCTGGATTATTTATTACACCGGATTTAGTAAGAAACAGTTAACAAGAAATACCAGTCAAAGGATATCTCAAAACCTTCTGAATCGATTTTAGGCTGTTTCCAAAGTTATTGGTTCTCCTATGAAAAAGAAAGAATGTGCAGTGTTGACCTTGGCTTCAGCGTGACACTCTCATCCCTAAGGTCGTGCAACAATGGACTTTCTAACCCATTTCACACTCGCTCGTAAGGAAAACATCGTGAAGAAATCGGTGTGTGTCAGGCTGATCTTCTATTGCCTATTAAGAGATAACGAAACAGAATCCAGACAGAAAGAGAATCCAGAGATTATACTGATATGGTTCTTTTTATAAATGTCTTTGTTCTTAAGTACTCTTTGAAACTCAAAACGATTAGGTATTTTAAAATAATATATAAATCAGTAGCGCTACAGTCTTTTTAGGTCTGGGCCTCAGGTTTCTGTATCTGTTTCATGATTGTCAATCTAATAGACGAGTAGGTGATCAGTACTTTTACGGTTTCGTACGAGCGTGTGTTAAATCTCGATAGCTATTTAGCACTTTAAATATTTAATTTATGCCTTAGAAATCATATAAACCTTCTACTACGAACCCCCCCCCCCCTTTTTTTTTAAACAAACAAATTTTGCCAAATTAGCTACTGAAATCCAAGTCTTGTAAAAATATTTCTTCATATTCAGGCAATTACAAGAAGAGCTAACAGCCGAAAAGCAGTTCTACGCCGAACACATCTCCTGTGCACAGATGGAGATAGAGAGACTGCGAGACGTGAATGAGACGTATCAGAAGTGAGTACCTACCTACCTGTTGACGATTGACAATATTTTAGCTTCTGTAAACTCAAACTCTCAAAAATTGTGGCACTATAACATTATTATTAGCAAACCCGTGTCTGGCTGTATTTTCAACTATCTTTGATACTAATCCAAGTTATAAGTTAGAGGATAGGATATTTGACAAATTAAAAACCAATTCGGATTTATTAGTAGACCTATAAAATAAAAACAAAATATGTTTATTACGGAACATAAGATACAGGTATCACTTATTCCGCACCATTAAATTTGAGTCTGAAGGCATCCCTACTCATCGACAAAGAAGACAGAGGGTGTAGGCCGAGAGAAAAAGCGGGCGTAAAAATCTCTCGGTACTCTTTTAAAATAGCAATTCATCAAACAACACTTGTTTAAAACAAATATCGCAAGTTAATTAGAAGTAGGCAGTTTAGCACTAGTCCCAGGCCCTTTTATCAACTAGATAATCGTTTTACAATTAATTGTTATTTTAAAGAAACTGCCAAAACGCTTCTATAGGCAAGATGGCGCCTATGACGTACCATGCTTGTAAACACGTGAACAAACGTCAAGTTTTTTACGTGTTTTCAGTCTTTAAACACGAAAATATATTTCGATTAAAAACAGTCTCCGACGAAATTAAACTCCAAGATTAGTGGTATTAGGAAGACATAATATAACTTCGCCTATCTATCACCATTTTGTATCACGTGACTATATAAGAATCATTTTATTCATACATTCTTATTCTCATTCAGTGCTATTATAAAAAATAAAAAACATTCTCGTAAATCGAGTTAATCTTGTATTAGTCACTCTTTGCTTACGTCATACACAAAAAAACTAAAATGATTTCTAAGATGAAAACATAGTGCCACAAAGTTATTCCAACCCTAAGCTATAATAGTCAAAAGTTAAATTGGCATCGTCAACAGGCCAGGTCAAATAGAAAATGAATCAAATCTGTAATTTGTCTGAAGAGGTCTTTCATATTATTATCGTACATAATTTAAACTAAATCATTTGGTATCGTGTTTTAGTAGTTATGTCACGGGACAGCAGTGGCTTGATCACGTTACCATTATGTTGACCTGCTCTTGATTAGTTCATTTACATACCTCACATAGCCAAGAGCTGGTGTTATCATATCATGGCTAAGGCATGAAAACATCGTATGGAAACCATTTATCCATTTTCAAAGATAGAAGACTGATCATCTAACAATAACCAGCTTCCCACTAAAGTATTTCCGAGCCAATTCGACTTAGGATCCTTCAATAAAAGAGCGTACCAATTCTTAGCAAGCCCTCTGGCATTGTAAGTGTCCATGGGCGGCGGTATCAATTTACATCAGATAAGCCTGCCCGTAATAATTGTTCTATAAAAAAAACTAAAACATTTTATTATTGCATTGGCAAAGCGTCAAGGCTTCATGTTAGGGTTTGATCTGTGTGCGCTTGAGTGAATCATTATTTACAGTGAAAAGGAGACGGTAGCATCGAAATTGCGACGTTATTGGGAAAATATTTATAGGTCAAGCTGTGCCATGGGAACCATTTTCTACAGGGAAAATATTTTTTTTTCATTGTTCACCATCACATATACAGTTGTAATAAAATGCCTTCTCTAGTCTTTGATTCTTTATCGAAGCTTTAATAATTTATACAATATGCAACCATTTCTTCACTATTTACACTATTTTTTATTTATTAATTAAAATAATAATTGTTAAGCGAAATCTGATTCGAAATCATTATTGCTGAAAAGCACTTTGAATTTGCATATATGTCCATTAATACTTACGTAAACTTTAAAGGTTCAAAATCATTCATCTGAGGTCATTCACCCAAAGTCATCAACCTGTCGATAGGTCGTAAACCTTTGGTTGGTGACCTCTTCGTTAAATTTTAGTTATCTGTAGTTTTACTTATTATCTCCAGTTTTCTAATTAAACTTAATATTACTATAGCGTTTGGTAGTTCAGTAAATTAACCCTTTCTCTATCTTATAATTTACTTTAGTTGCATATTGTAGAAATCATTCTGCGCTTTCCATTACGCCCTTTACATTTGGCATTTTACTGGCTATTTTTATTTTTTATTATTGTATGTTTGTGTGTATTATGTTAATAAAGACTGATAACTAAGACTGTTTTGTCATTTTTGACAAGGCTTCATGCTGCTGATTGTATAATAGAATAGAAACAAAGATTTAAATCATCGTGTTTTCGCTTGCCTTTAATATAAAATAAAAAGTGTCTCATTCTCGCATACCGATTACTGTATGTGAGAATGCCCATTAGGGCATTACATTGCCGTGGGCATGCATGCTGGTCGGTTATGGGTACTTTTCACTTGTATCTTCTCTAGTACATCCTGGACTTTGACAAAGCCTTCCCAACCCGACTTAACCATCCCCATTTAATAGAGTAACATAATAATATTTATATGGCAAACCGTTCGCCGCGTTATTAATTATAATTAAAATAGCAAAGACACGTATGATTTAAATCTCTGGTGATATCTTTTGACAAGTGGTAATTAAAGGAAGGTGCTCAAAGGTATTTGCTGGTGTGACTAAATAAGACGTCGTTTTTTATAGAACAGGAGCTGATGGGCAGGAGGATTATATTACGTGATCATGGACACTCACAATTTTATATTTCATTAAATATGTTCTATAAAACTGTAGTTCATTGCTCTATTGTCAATAGTTTCCGTAGCAGGTCGAAGGTTTCATACAAATCCTTAAAATATTCTATAGCCTATGTTCGTCAGAGATTTCAGGGACGAATGCTTCAAATAAGTCCAGTATTCGTCAACAAATCACCTTGGATTTTCCTGAACCTTTCCAAACATTATCCACAAGTCTTGCTTTCCTCATTCATCAATTTCCCTTTACCATGTTCACTTCCTTTTGTCCTTTCCATAGCTGGATGTATAGTCATTTCTGTTTATAAAACTAGTCACGCCTGTCGTAATTTTCTCTATAAAAGATGATAGAAAAAGCAGTAAATTCTACTAAATTGCCAAAAGATAGACAAGTTTCATTAACAGCGTCATGGATTTATCATTTGGACTTTAGGTAAGTTGACTGTTGACTTTCATATACCTTTGCACGGTTTTGTACAAAATCATCACATTGAAGATGCTAGATTGCAGACGCAACCTTGGGAACGGAACAAAAAGTATTCATCGGGATGTCTATTGGAAGTTACAGAAGACCCCTGGCTCGGTAAACACTTGGGGACGAATTATCAATGAATTATATGATTTTTGGGACAAATTTGTTCAGATCTTCATGCCGCATTTATTTAATTCTCTTCAACAAGATTAAATAATAATAATAAAGCTTATTAAAAATTACAAATCAGATGAGTTAGTTTCATACTATACACTTGGTCTACGTTAGTTATTGTTATTTTCATCAGTGTTCTGCAGTATTCACCCCTTTTGGGTAAAGGACTCCTCCTGAACTTTCCAGGATCTGCCTTGCGATTCTGTAACTCACTTTTCGAACTCTCACAGCGGTTTTCGCAGCGGCGGTCGCGCTCAAATAAGTCGTGATGCAGTCATTTTATGATTTGGCATTCTGATAAACAATAAACTACAAGCTCCCTCCTTATCAAAGTGAGTGAGTGAAAAGTGAGTTACAGAATCGCAAGGCTGTTCTTTGCCGCCTCAAACCCTTTGTGGTAATATTAAATACTTTTTAGTTCCTGAGTCACTTCTTTTTTTTTTACTCACAGATTATTGAGCACAGATCTGAGCATAGAGCCAATGAATAGGAACCAAGAATTTGCGCAGAATGAAATTATTCGTCTCGCTGCAGATAGTTTAGCCACACAGGTAAGTGAAGTTGTTGAATCTTTCTGACGTTTAAAGTAAAAAAAATTACTCGATATAACCTCTTAGATCAGGCCCAAGAGGGCCTGATCTACATAAGAATGTATTTTGTTTTATGAGGCAAGGAGGTGGTCAGCCTTCGTTGCTCTGAACCCCCTTGACCAGTGGCTGTCTGGGCCTCTTGGGTATCTATTTCATAATAGGCAAGTAGGTGATCAGCCTTTGCTGATTGAAACTATTGCCAGTGTTACGATGTTTTCCTTCGCACGAGCGAGTGTTAAACGCATTTAGACCAGTCCAATCTACGACCGCAGGGATGAGAATCGCATCGTTCTAGCGTGTTTGGGACTTAACAATAAACAAAACAGAAGTAATATTGTATATTTTCAGGATCGTGTCGACAAGCTATCGGAGAGATGTCGCCGTTATAAAATTCAAATTCGTATGCTGGTCAACAAGTTGAAGGAGGCTGGTGTTGAAGATGTTCAGGAGATTTTAGAAGGAAATGGTATGTAAAGTATTTGCATATAGGAGGAAAGTTACTTATATATTTTCAGAATATCTAGGACTCATTAACCCTGAGTGTCAAAGATAGATGGAAGATAGAAGAAAGAAGAAAAAGTAAAAAAAAAATAAGAAGAAGTAAAGAAGCGGATGCTACAATAAAAATAAATAAACTTAAGTGGAAATGAAGTAAGAAAGTTCTAGACTGGTGCCCAAGGTACCATAATCAAGGAAGACAACTTAGAATGTGGATAGAGCAAATTAAGGAAACAGTAGGTGGTACCTGGCAGAGAATGAAACAGTGCAGACAGGATTGGCGGGATTTGGAGGAGGCCTTTGGCAAAAAAGGCCCTATATAAATATGTTTAAGTGTAAAAGTATCTGAAATAAAAGGCTATTATTATTACCACATCACTTTCCGCGCCAGTAGAGGTGTTTCCTAACCAATTCAACTTAGAGGGTCCTTCAAAAAGCGTACCGTTCTTAAAAGATCGGATGCCCTTTGGCAGTGTGAGTATCCATGGGCGGTATCACTTAACATCAGATGAGCCGTGCCCTTTTGCATCCGTCGTTCCACAATTGACCGTTTAAAGGCAATTTATGCACCACCACTATGTGGATCCAGCTGCCCACTGAAGTATTTCCGAACCAGTTCGTCTTAGGGTCCTTCAAAGAGCGTACCAATTCTGTCAAGAATTTACCTTGCCAACACTGGCAATGTGAGTGTCCATGGGCGGTTTCACTTAACATCAGAGTCTTCTATCCGTTTGTTATAAAAAAAGACTTTATCGCTGGAGTGACCTCGAAACGACGGTTAATTTCATGGAATAACTTTGAAATATTTGTATTTTCAGATACCATAATATCACAGAACATAACACTCCCGTTGGAGATGGCTACTGTGACCAGAAAGAAAGAGAGGGAGTACCTCGGAATGTTCGAATATAAATTGCAAGACGAACACACGATCATCAAGAAGCTTATAATTGGTAAGTTCCATGATCATTCACGAGCTTGATTTTTACCTGGTACGAAGTCATAAATTATAGATTTTACACATAAAATGCAGTCGACGTTTTAGGCAGTTTGCATAACTGCACGAGGTGAAATATTTCCAGGTCTCATCGATCCTCGATGGCTGGCAATCCTTTAGTCTACTTGGTATTTCTATTTGCAAACTAATCAACTGTGTTTAAGGAGTTATAACCTCCAAAAAGCATCTTCACTCAAAGACTATGTATGCAATGTACCTATGTAAATCAGTGCTCATGCAGCCCATGAACACCCACGTGGGTAGGTGGCTGCTTTTTATAGTAGAGCTGTGCTCTGCGGTTCTATAGCCTAAAGCTTTCGGTAAATAGACTTTTAAGTGCAAAATTTTTGTTCGATATTGATATCTTCTATAAAACTGATGAACATTGCTCTATTGTCAATAGTTTCATATAGTCATTTGTATTGGTCTTTATACCTTAACACTATTGTAATTTATACCCTATGTTCATTAGGGATTAAGGATTCTAATTGTGAAAGATTTTCAAATCGGTTCAGTTTTTGGATCCTGCAAAAAGAAAATTCTTTCCTCCTTTTAATATTAGTGTAGCTAAAATTATCGTAAATCTATATTTACAGATCTAAAGACACACGTAGCGACCACACTGCTCCCCGGTCTTCCAGCCTTTATCCTCTTCATGATGCTCCGTCACACTGACCACGTCGACGATGAGCCCAAGATGCATTCTTTGATGAAGGGAATCCGAACTGGAGTCAAGAAGACCCTGAAGAAGCGATCTGATAATTCTGAGTACAGCATTCTTTGGCTCGCTAATATGTTGAGGTAAGTTTGGTCGTACATGTAGTAACATTAGCTGGCGTACTCTGAATTTTTTTAAGATGATAATTTGTTGGACGAACGTGTCTTTAAATTCAGTTGCAATAAGTTCAGTAGTCAGTTTCAGCAGGTTTACCCTATAAATTAAAAACAAATAGTTGCTTAAAAACAGATATTTGGTCCTTCAGTAACTTACTTCCGCAGCTTACTCTATAAATTTTAAAAATGCAGCACAGCTGGAAATTGACCACGTGAAGCTAGGAGCTGAATCTCGGACGGGTTGAGATTTTCAGACCATACTCATACTTTGAATTAAAATTTTAAAAAGATTTAGAGAAGATTTTGCTCGAATGAATAAAGCGTATTTAAGCGCAGCAAGTTTAGTAAAAATAATCTAAATTAAACCAGAAAGTTAAAAATGAATCTTATTGCAACGTTTTAAAGTGTTTTAATTTTTTGTGTATATGGAAAAGCGGAGAAACGGGCAGGATCTGATGTTAAGTGATACCACCAATGGATACTTCCACTGCCAGTATTGGTACGCTCAATTCTTGACAGAATTGGAACGCTCTTTAAGGGCACTAACAACGAGCTTAAGGCACTTTTTGGTTTACCACTATGTGGAATCACTGAACTATTTCCGAACCAATTCGACTTAGGGGTCCTTGAAAGAGCGTACCAATTACTAAAACTCCGACAGCGTAGTCGTGAGCCCTCTGGCCCATGGGTGTGAAGTATTTCCGAAGCAACTTGATTTAGGATCCTTCACCTTACCAACTTTAATGGCCGGCCGCCCTTCTAGCATTGAGTGTCCATCACTTTACATCAAGTGGCCTCCTGCCGGTTTGCACCATTTTCTATATAAAACGCTGTTCTTTCTGCTTAAGTGATAACAAAATTAATTCCAGACTTCTTAACAACATGCGCCAATACAGCGGTGATGAGACTTATCAATCGAGCAATACGCCAAGACAAAACCAACAGAGTTTACGTATCTTTGACTTGTCGGAATATCGGCAAGTGTTGAGCGATATCGCCATTTGGATATATCAAGGTAATTTCTTGACTGGATGTTTAATCGATTTAAATGACAGGGGCAATTCCAGCTCGGAGACTGTCTCTTTGCTCTCGAAGTTTCTTATTCTCAATTTCCAGATGTTCCACTTTGACTCTTTTGATTTGACCCTCGAATTCAAATATCGAAAATTGCGACCGAGCGATAGATTTAGATCGACTTATGCTACCTAATTTCATGAGATTTAAAAAAAAATTTAATGACTTGGTTATGACCCCTGGATTGGGTAGAAATTATCTTCAAGTTTAAGTCTATCTTTCTTTAAAAAAATAACCAGTGGCGCTACAAACTCTGATCTCGTCTGATCACAAACAAATACAGAAAAGCCCAGACCTAAAAAGGTTGTAGCGCCACTGATTTATTTATTTACATGATTTTAGCTACTATTATTTATTTATTAAAGTTCACCACATCGTATATAATGCTATATCTCCAGTATATGTTACAAGCTTTTCTAAAATACATGACAATTATGGTAAACATGAATGTTACAAAAAAATAAATATACAATAAATATTACTAGCAAAACAGCGGATTAGGTATCAGATAGGTACTTAACAATCCATTTTTTAAATTGATTGTAACTGAAACGGTGCTACACTAAAAAATTTATTAATTTATCGTCATACAGTCTAACATCTCTCTCTTCAATCGGCGGCTCATGTCTGAGCTGTCTGGTTAATAAGGAAACTGGACTGATTCCACCGGTTTCTATCCAGCGCCTCTCTTATAACAGTGAACAGTTTCGAGGACGACGAGTCTTTCACCTGATCGGTCCATCCAGTTGATGTACGGCCACGTGAACTTTTACCAACCACGATCTGTTTCTCCAAGTTCTCATCGCCTCTGCACATTGAATGGCTGAAATAAATTACAATTCGCTATCGGCATATGGTATACAGGTGATTCCGTACAGTCTAACATAATATGTGAAAATTTGTTTCCAGGCCTCATAACCCACATGCAGACGCAATATGAACGCCTTATCGTGCCAGCAATACTAGAATACGAAGAAATAAGTGGACTGTCTGGCCCCAAAGCTATTCCTTCGCCTGCCCCGTCAGCGGGCCCTGCTAAGTTGAAGCACGACTTGGCCGCGATGCATGAGCATCTCAAAGTGCATCAAGTTGACATGCCGTTACGTGCTATGATATTTAAACAGGTAATTTTCTAAGAAATAAAAAATAATTTAAATTGCAAGGTAATACCCTAATAAAAGGTCAAGTAAGTGGGGTCGTTGACATCTAAAAGTTCAAAAAGGTCTTCAAAAGTTAGGTGTTGTTGGTTGATCTGAGATCGGCATAATAAGTTAAAAAAATAACCTTTAAACATCTGTCAAGTGAAAAGATATCACAAAAACTACCGAACCGATTTCGATGAAACTTCTTTACCTACGATCAAATATGAAGTTTTATTATCCAATACATGCCATCATATAAGCGGTAATAAATTCAACGTTTTAAAAAAAACCCTTTCCAGCTATTCTACTTCATCTGCGCCTACAGCCTCAATCAGTTGCTCCTGCGCAAGGACTTGTGCTGCTGGGCTAAAGGGCTGCAAATTAGGTACAACATCTCACACATGGAGACCTGGATTAAGGAGAACCTAGCTGAATATGGACAGAAATGCGTAAGTATACCCAAAAATAACTATCAAATAACTCTCGATTGTCAACGGTTTTTTTTTTATTTAAAAAAAAAATTGCATTTTATGATAATGTCGAAACATATATAATTTTAAATATATACGATACATAATACCGCTTCTCTGAACTCTGCTAATATATTAAGATATAGTGTCAGACAGCATTTAGTAGCAGCGTCTTTGTTAACGGGGATTTGTGCTCCAAATTCTGGCCCTTGGTATCGCAGATGTAAAGAAATAGAGTTCTTGGAGAACACTTGGGTTGCTCGAGGATCCGGCTTGCCCAACCGAAACACGACGGCGTGTGTCAGACACCAGGAGTCTTGATACTTGCCTATTAGATAGACTAAAGAAACAGACACAGAAATCTGAGGCCCAGACCTAATAAGGTTGTAGTGCCATTAATTTATTTCAGTATTAATTATGTAAATATTTGTTTAAGGTTGAGAACACTTTATCCGTCCTGAAACCGATAACACAGGCGGTTCAACTGCTGCAAGCGAGAAAGTCAATGGCCGATGTCGCAAGTACTGTCGAAATGTGCGCCGATCTGACGGCTATACAAGTTTGTAAGGTGTGTATTTTTTTATTATATAAAAAAAATGAGTTTATGGCCTGGTATCTAGACCTTTATGCCAAACGAACAAAGCTATTATAGTTTCACAGAATATCAAATTGAATTTCGAACAAATTATAATGTACTCCATAGATTGATTATTGAAACAAAATATATTTGATCCATATTCGTTTTTTTTTTTAATTTCCAACAGAAGGATAAACAGAATATCAAAATAAAAAAAAAACAGATTAGATATAAATTCATCATTTAAATTTCGTACAAAGTGATTGTACAGGATATTACCATAGAATATGAAAATTAAAAAAAATTGCTAATTTAACTAGTACCTATTTGAATTCGAATAAATTAAGAATGAAATATCTTAACTAGTCATTTGAATTTCGAACTTAGTTTATCAAATAAAAAACGAATTAAATATAAAATCATATTAATTTGAATTTCGAACAAAACCATTATATATATATACTTCCACAGAATATAAAAAGATTACAGCTAATGTGATTTCTAAAATATATTCCTGAATATTTTCAGATTCTCAACATGTACACACCGGCTGAAGAGTACGAGGTGAAAGTGACAAAAGAATTTATACTTGAAATACAAAAGCTGATGAAGAGTCGCCCTGGTGCAGACTCGGAGTCTGTAAGTCACTTGTGGACAATTTTTAATTTAAACTTCGTCAAATTAACTAATTTTTTATGTTTTTGGAATTTCTGTCTATTTCGTTTGTCCACATGGGATTTATATGATTTTTTTTTTTCAGAAAAACCTCCTAATGGATTCAAAAGTGATATTCGCTGTACAATTTCAATACAGCCCTTCGTCAATTCGTCTTGAAGACATCGAAGTACCCAAAGTACTAGAATTGGACGGATTACTCACTAAAATCTAGACATATTATGTTCGAGTCGTTTGTTGTACACATTTGGGGGGAAAGTTGGTCACATGTGAGTTTCATTATGTCAGAGAATTAGTAAAAAAAGAGTGCGTGTACTTAGGTACGCGCGTAAGAAGTTATACTTCTTTGGCATTATTAAACATAATGTACACTTATGACTCGTCAGTAATGAAATCTCGTGGGAACAACACGCAGACGCGTGTGACTTACAAAAAGGTCGGTCACGTGTGTCATTTATTGTATCAGTCGTATATTGGACACATTTTGGTCACATGTAAGTTACATTGTGTATGTCACATGTGGCTTACAAAAACACTGGCACTTGACCTACTGTTGTTTCACGCATTTTCTTTGAGATATAAAAATGTATGTATCCACTATTTAACATTTGCAATAGACATAAATATGTGTCTGTCAGTGTGTTACATTTCTGTATAATCATATTTAAAACAAATATTTTTTATTGCATTTAAATATTCCATATATCAGCCATACAATTGTGTCTTTGGATTGTTAAGTTTAATAGATTATTTAGATTTAAGTATAAAACATTCCGTATTAGTGTTGCTATAATTAGAGAATATCATCGCAAATTGCCATTGCGCTGGAACCTTGTCACATTAGTACAGTTAGCAAAAAAGTCAAGAGTTAATTTTTAATATAAATAATTTAAAAAAAATACACGCTATATTTAACCGATTTGAAAGAAATAGAAAGAGTCTTTGTATAGCGTCTGTGTGGGCCTATTTAGAACTGCCAAAAATAGCCTTAATCATCGAACTAACGAAACTAATCGAACAAAAACAAAAATGTTTGCTGACCGTATTTGACCAAAAAACATGGCGCCCAAGCGCATTAGCAATGTGCGAATTGTATTAAGTATATGGTGCCATTTTGATTGCTCACTATTTATATCATTTCGTCCATTATGTACTTAATCTTATAATCAAACATAAAAATACATATATTATCTTAATTAATTTGATACTTGTTAAATTTAACTAAACGCTTTCGTCTCTTTCTGTTACATTGTTTATGCTGTGTTAGAATGTGGCAGATATTGTTCGAATAATGCGACTTTTTGAATTAACTTTCTATTAATACTTGTTTAATTCAAAGCTTTTGTCCCTTTCTGTTTTATTGTGTTTAGGCTGTAATAGAGACAGACAGCTATAGTTCGAACGGTGCGACTTCAATTTATTAATACTGGTTAATTCAAACCTTTAGTCTCTCTCTGTCGCATTGTATTTACGCTGTAATAGAAAGACACAGCAATAGTTTAATTCAAATCTTTTGTCTCTTTCTGTTGCAATGTTTACCACCGAGATAGATATAGTTCAAGCGATGAGACTTGAATGTATTCTATATTAATACTTGGTTTCCAATCTTTCGTTTCTCTCTGTTACATTGTGCAACGCTGCTATAGAAAGAGACATATATAGTTCAAATGCAATTTTATTATAATGCGATAGATATATTCCGATGGCTTAAATCAAATTATTTATATAATATTAAAGGCTGAAATTTAAAGAGAGTTATTCTAGATATTGAGCTCAACTGTTGCTCACAGCTTACAACACTTGGGCGTTTTCCGAGTCGAATCATTCTTACTAAAACGGTGTTAGAATATAATTTATAAATTTGTAAATAAGAGCAGTGTTGGCCTTGTGGCTTCAGCTAGCGACTCTAATTCCTTAGGTCGTAGGTTCGATTCCCAGCTGGTCAAAAATAAACTTTTTATGTGCGCTTTTAACCATTGTGCTTAATGGATCGTGATAAAAGCAGAATGTCTCAACAAAAAATTTACTTACTCTGATAAAATTCATGCATTTCTATTAAGCAACTATATAAATTTCAGCCTTTACTGACTTATTAAAGAACGCAACCTTGACAGGTTAATAGACGACGTAACGAGTGTTGCCCTCTTTAATATGTTGACATAACATACAAACAATGATATAGAGACCAAAATAGAGTATATAAACACTATATGTTACCAATAAACAAAAAATAACATTTAAATATATGTAGAGTATGAAAAATATAGCTTTAAAATATTTATTTGAAATATATACATATATAGGTTATATCTTAAAAGTTCAGCAGAATTCGTTTCGTATAGAACAAGGCATACATATAGTCAGGAGGTATTAGAAGGCTGTAGAACCCTAAGTCGAATTGGTTTGGAAGTACTTTGCTGCTTCCACATAGTGGTGCTTAAATAAAAAAAAAATGTGTGCGTGTACTAGGTGTACACACGTAAGAAGTGAAACTTATATAAAACCTTATTAGAAACTATTTCTTTAAACACAGTAAATTTTGATACACTGCCTAGCATACAATTTACAAATTAATTGCTGCAAATTGCGATTAGCAAATTTCAAGTCGAAAATGTAATCCGTTGTCAAACTTCAAAGTCAAAAACATACTATATGTCATATTTTAACGCCGATAAAGAAGTTTGACTTCGAAAAGCAACATGGCGCGTAACGGAAAAATGTGACGCGTAACGCAAAAATGTTACACTAAATTTTTTTCCAACCCCGATAAAGAAGTTTCACTTCAAAAAAAATATGTTTATTATGGAACATAAGATACATGTATCACTTATTCCTCGTCATTAAATTTGTATAGATATCCCTACTCATCGGCAAAAAAGACAGAGGGTGTAGGCCGAGAGAAAAAGCCGGCGTAAAAAACTTTCGGTACTCTTTTAAAATAGCAAATCTTCAAACAACACTTATTTTAAAACAAATATCGCAAATTAATTAGAAGTAGCTTGTCTAGCACTAGTCCCAGGCCCTTTTATCAACTAGATAATCGTTAACTTTATAGTAAGACTTTTTAAATATACTACGCTCAGTTCTTCGAGGCTGGTGGAATTTCTGCCTTGACGTCTGATGAAGACTGCAGAATTCCAACATCTCTGAATGTATGCATAATACCTGCTTTTTTTATTATTTTTATGTATGATTTTGTATAAGGTAATAAAGGGTAAATAAATAAATTATATAACCAATACGACTTGGGGTACTTCAAAGTGTACTTAGAGCTGCAACAGCGAGCCCTCTATCAAGTGGCCTGGATATATCTTTGTTATATAATATAAATATATATATATATATAGAGAGAGCGTTCAAGTATAACGTCACGCAATTTTTTGAAATTATTGACGTTTTTCTGTACCCAAGTATAGTAAAACGTTTCGTGACCACCCAGTGACTCTTTATACCTAAAAGTTACCATCATGTTTTGTAAAGTACTGGAAAGTCGAATAATATTAACAATAATTAGCGTAATTCAATCCCCGCCTCCAAAATTCGTTACGTAATACTTGAACGCTCCCATATACAAAAAAGAGAAATATTGGTAAAGAGGTTTTTAAGGTAAAGGGTCCTTCTCGGGAGTAATGGCAAGAAAATTATATTTTTTAATGTTATTTTTTGTCAAATGTTACCAATACAATAATTATTCGTAGGTGCTCTATATAAGTTACTGGATTAAAACGACTTGAATATGTTACTGTTGGACACTTGGAATACAATTCGGGGTTCATATTTGTCTGTCCCGTTTTAATTCAAAAATAATTGTACTCTAGTTGAAAATAATAAATTATTTTCGTATTTAGTATTCACGCATTAGTGTAGCTTCAAAATGTTCTATGTTAATGGATATATCGTATGTTGTCTCTTCATCCAAGTTAAGTGTAGGAAATATAAAAGCATTAAATCAATTTAGTTTAGAAAATAACTTAAATACAATAAAATAGGTTAGATTTTCTGTCTCTTGATATAAACGCCATCTACCGGGATTTTGATGTTCTAAATAATTATTATAAAACACAATTAAATCATTATTAACGTATATAAACACAATTTACATAACCCATTCGTTGTTTAGTTAAAGCTACATAAAAATTATGTCTCGTGATAGCCCCAAAACGACGGCATCTTAAGCACAGGAATGATCACCTACTTGCCTATTAGATCGACAAATCATAAAATAGATACTAAAATCTGAGGCCCAGACCTAAAAAGGTTGTTGCGCCACTGATTTTTTTTTTTTAAAATTTTTAAACTAATTTTGCATCACCAGACCGTATGTTTCGTAAGACAAAAATTTTCTCTTGATATAAACGCCATCTATCGTCGCCTCTTCGAAACATCCGATATTATTACGTTTTGTCTCGGGTTTATTTGTAGTATTAGTTCAATTACAGTCCCAATATATACAAAAATCTGGAGTCTTTATACAAATCGAGTTATGTAATATCGTAAAACTATATATAACTATAACTCCCCTAGTCGCCTTGGTCCTATATAAGTGATATATAATATATATATATATGTATTGTTAGAATATAAATAGGAAAATTATTTAGTTAATTATTTGTAGCGTGTTATTGCCATTAGTATACCCTCACTTTTGTTGTTCAAAAGTGAGGGTAGACTAATACTGAAATATTAAATATCGCTAGTTGTTAGACATATGTAGTACATTTTGTGTGGGTGAAATGTTAAACTAAAGTGTGGAGGGACTAGATAGAGTATGTTGCTATCGTATTGAAATTACTGTCGACTTGTTATGACGCTACAGTGAGGTCAAATGATTCCTCTGGAATAGTAAAACTCACTTTCGCAAATTCGTAACGAAGTATCGAAAAGTATACGACCGTTTTCGTATCGTTAAACTTTAGTTCAACGTATTAACCCGTTCATGTATTGCGTGCTGAGTGTTACATTCCATATTTATTATTATAGTTTGTAAAATACTGATCAATAAAGCATGTTAGTAAAATTGTTTTTTATTTCATTCGTGGAAACACTGGCAAGGCGTACTATTGTAAAGGCTAGTTGATCTAGTTCTTAGAGTAGGAAATTAAACACTCCAATGATGACTTGATTCACTTCACCACATCAAACTTGAATAAAGGAATGGCCCGTGCGCATGTGTCACAACCTCTTTTATAATCTATTCCCTACTCCGACTCCGACCATCCCACTACGAATTTTTTTTCGAGTCGAATGAGCAACTATTACACATACGCACTTATACGCACGCTACATATTATGGAGTCAGAGGAAATTGGAATAAAACAAAAAATCGTGCTAAATGTATTTATCATCATATAATATTTTCGATATACAAAGTGTCAATCACACTTACAAAATAAAAAGAACTTATTTTCACAAATGATATGGCCTTACAAGTACAATCTTACAACTACGAATAAAAATGTTTTTTTTTTAAATAATAATCTATAGTTGCAAATATGTGAGCATCATGTACTTACATAATTTAGTTTTCTGCTGCATTGTTTTGATAACACAATGCGCCTAATATATTTGAGTACAGTAGTTTTTTATTCTAGGTACATGGTCTTCACATATAATTATCAAATCAATGTATACAAAATATTGTTAAAACTATTTTAAAATACTAAGTATGTAGTTTTTGTCCATACTTCTCCATATGAAATTATCTTTTGGTTGGGGCAAGTAGTTTTTTTTTTAACTTGTAATTTTGACTTTTTTTCACCTGGGGACATTTATTTAAGGGGATACGATTTAACGTACTTTATACTAAATTTATTTTAAATAAAATGTACTGGTTACCAAAAAATCAAGCCCCAACACCATGTAATGGCAGTAAATCTTTAAGGAGATCACAACAACCAATCCTCATTAAATAGTGGTATCAAAAAACAATAACAAACGCGCTAGACGCTACTACAATTTTGGAAGGTATCCCCTCGATTTTTCTGAAATAATCAGATGCTGGTTTCCTTATCATACCTTGGGATATCTCATTTCCAATACAAAAGAATAATATACGGTCTAATTGAGAAACCCCCATTTTGAAGTCGATTAAAAACCTGAAACTGGGTCAAAATTAGACCTTTTGCTATCCACGAAATTACAGTAGGTACAAAAACACTAATTCTATTTTTTATTAACACTATTGAGTCTTTATTCAGATGGGTTTTTGGTTTTTTCCTATAACTAAGCCTTAAATTAATTAAACTTATAATAAAAATAAAATAATTGAGTGGCGCTAAAATATTTTAGGTCTAGGCCTCAGATTTCTGTTTCATCATTTATCAATCTAATAGGTGAGCCTCTTGTGCCTGACACGCCATCGTGTTGGGTCTAATGCAAGCCGGTTTCCTCACGATGTTTTCCTTCGTAGGAGCGAATGTTGTGAATGTTAGCAGGGATGAAGCCACTGCTTTAAAATTTAAACTTATAATAATATTAAGTAACCAAGTTTAGAGCGACAGTCGCGATCTCATATTCTATACTGAAAACGCCTGGCCTATGACTGTCCTGGACTTTATGACAGATAAAATTTTAGTCACAGTCCGCAATATTTAATAATATATAAAATCCACATCATCATCACTATCTGTATCTTCCCTCTCATGCAATTCCTTAACAATGTTCACTATAGAATCATCCACAACTTCTTCATCAGACGACGCATCCAAATTGTCAACGTCATAGACAATCCATCGCTTAATTCTATCGAAATTTCCAAGAGTACCCCAATTTTTTTGCAAAATTTTTACCAGCTTCACCAATATATATTGCCCCTTATTTGAATGTGAACTTTTTCCCGTATCAACAACGCCGTAAAGTTCAAAGTCAAACGCGTATGTCGTCCCACGCAAATGCGTTGAGAATTTTATTGACCGATCCTTAATTGCCATTTCATATTCTTCTACGCCAATTAGTTGTATTTTTATCTGCACAACGGCTTTATCCTGACGCCATAGGAGCTTGGGCTGTCGTGTTTCATCAAGGATGGCGCATTGTGGTTTTGTCGAAGACACGGTGTCGTCTGAATCTAAATCGTTACTCTTAGATACTGAAAGATCAATAGAGATGGTATTATCACTTGAAATGGATTCATCTGCATTATCGGCTAAAGGCATTATCGCTGGAAGATTTTGTTTAGCTTGCTTTGTGTTTTGGGGTTGCTTTAAGTAGGAGGCAAAGTCAGCCACGTTGTACATTTCCCAGGGATCTGATTGGTTTGAATCACAATCAGACTCAATCAAAGGAACTGATCGTATTAGTTTAGGCATAGACGAGGCATTTGAAATATTTGGTGTAGGTTCGTCTAGATTTTTCCAATCTTCAGGCGTTTTCGTGTTTGGCACGACGTCTTTAAGGTAATCAATTTCATCTTCCAATGTGCTTGCTAAGTTTAAGTCCAGCATCAATTGATTAATAATAATATCAGCGCTGGAACTTGTATCTACTAATGCGATGGAGTATTTATTGCCACCAGTAGTAGTGGCCGGTTGTTTATTAAAAGGTTTAGCGAAGAAGTGCTTTGTTCCCTCATCCGCGTAGTTCGATAGCCATGTATTACAGAAATCTGTCCAAACATTTCCAGCTGGTTTGACACCTATAAGACGACATTCAATGCTTTGGAAAGGGAGTTTATTAATTAATTTATCTGCTATAGGCATCGCGTCTTTTAATGGAACATACGCCCAGTCGCCTTGATCCACAAAGAAACAATTTATCATGTTTCCTTCAACTTTCTCGACTCTCGCACGTTCGTATATATCGTCGTCAGGAAATTTCGCCAGTATTATATCACCCACTTCCGCATCTATCAACGGTTCCGGGTTGCTGTCTATATATGTTTCAATATCTTTTAATAAAACCTGCATGCACGGTTCGAATTTACTGACACGTACTAAGCACTGCTCGGGATTTATTACGGCAGTAATAAAAACTCCCTCTATTTCACCAATATTCAAATGCGCCCAGGTGCCTTTTCCTTTATTTTTCTTAGACTTCTTCACCGGGACTGAGGTAGAGACTTTTGAAAAGTTTGGACCACACAACTCTTTAATTTTATTAATATGATCAGTGTATTCTTCTGCATGCGTTTGTAGAAGTTCCTGTTTCAAGTCATGCTTAACAACGACTTGGTCTAACGATGTAAGGTTTTCACATACTTCTAACGTATCAAGAAAGAGACAGTTTCCAATTACACCAACAATACGGCCTCTTACGTAAGAATCTTCATCACCAACAAGGCTTTTAATATTATTTAGAGCCAGTGGTGAAAACGTCACATCATTATCTTTTGGTTTGAGATTTACCAAACGAATTTGCACAGTATACGTTTCAATAGAAATTAGACTCTCCGGCAAATGATATAAATATATATCTCTTGTTTCCTCATACTTCTCCTCATCCAATAGCTTTATCAACACTCGGTAGAAACTGCGAGTTCGGGAAATAATTTTTACGACTTGACACCTCGCGAACGAATCCAGTTTCACCGACACAGCGCAGATATCGCCTACTTTTGGTATACCGTGAAGTTGTCTGTTCGCAACATTACCGAAATACATGCCAAGTTTAATAGAAATGGTGTGCATCGCGGGGTACTTGATTTGTTCACTATTCTCAATGTGAGTTAACAGGCGAGCGGAGTAATTAACAGCTGTGTGGAGATGAATGATTTTAAAAGTAACAATCCCATATCGAGGAACCCATTTAGGTGGATCATCGTGGCCCTTTAACACCGAATGACGATTCCGACAGTCGTAGAACTCGGGGCAATAACCCAAGGTTAAAAGGTTACCGCAAATCGGTACTAATGTTTCAGCCTTCATCACATCCTTTTTAGCTAGTATTTTACTGGAGATTTCATCCAGAACAGGTGGAATATCCTTAGTGCATCGCTTTACGAAGTTTAAAATCTTCGGCAATTCCTCCGTATTCACTTTGTCAAGGATAATTTTAATTTTGACAGAATCGTTGTTTGAATGAAATATCGACGGGTATTTGTCGTTCAAAACGAAAAATCGTTTTCTAAAGAACAAATACGCTTTGGGTAGAGAGTAATGGACGAGATAATTTGCATCGGTAATATTGAGATGGGTTAAATTCTCATCTGTACAAATAAGAATCGGGCCTATCAAAGGTGCGTCATAATCATTCCAGCTCGAGTTAATATTGTGAAGATCCGACAGGGTCATTTCATTATTACATGCAAATATGTAATTTTGGCGACATTTCAACCCCTTCTCCAGAATTTTTACTTCATCATCCAATCTACACACAATCACTACTTTTTTTGATGCATCGATTTCATCCAGAAACTCGAAGACAGACCCAACTTTATCATTTTTCACAAAGCTAACTGTCATTTTCGCCTTCGAATAGATCACGCATTCCGTGAATGCACCGATACTTATAACAGCATCAGGAACTTTCTTCGCTAGCGGTTCCATAAAATCGCACCAAATCCTGGACGCAACGACAAATTGAACTTTAAGCTCCTTATTAGACTTGGAAATTTCGACCTCTTTAATTTTGTGAAGAAAGAATTTAAGTTCTCTTCTATAAACTTCGTTCATTCGTTCACAATCATCCAGAACGATGATTCTGATCCTTCGTAAGTCAACACCAAAATCATTATCTTGCAACAACCGAACTAAAACCGATGGTGTGGATATTAACAGATCACACCCATTCAGAAGACTCGTGGCAATAAACATATCATCTACCCCAGAATACACAGCTAGAATCCGATCTTTCAACCCAAGAAGCATTTTAGCGTTCTCTTCGATTTGAGCCACGGATTCAGCTGTAGCACAGACGATGATACATATAGGACCAACACAATTGCTGATTTCAGGTGTCCCATCACTAATTAAACGGCAGACACTTGCCAGATAACCCATAGTTTTACCGCAAAACTTAGGGCCTATGATGAAAATACTGTGTCCCCTTAGAATCGTATGCCAAGTGATGGACTGTATCGACATTGGCCGCGTGATGGACATTTTTTTTAACACAATCTGTATGTGTTCATTGAATGGTATGTCCCGCATTGTAAATATGGGTCTTCTATATTTTTTTAATTTCGAATGCACCATTATGACTGGCGTAACTATATTATCGACAAAACTACACATTGAAGAGGTTATAGTGTTTAAATCTATTTTTTCATGTTTTATTACATTTTTACTCATTTTTATATTTCTTTTTGGATATTTTGTATCAATATATTGCATTATATCATCAATATTATCATCGCTATTATTTTCCATTTTGAGAGCTTTCTCAGATTCTAATACATTAAATTTCTTTTTTTGCGTTGGTCTGACATTAAAACTTTCATTCTTAATTTCTTCATTAATTTTAATATTCGGTTCTTTGTCTTCTTTAGCTGTTGCTGTGAAAAAAAGCATAGTATTATTATAGCGAAACTCACGTCAGTTTCGTTTCAAAATAATTGTTGTTTAAGTTCAATCATTAGGACTGAGGGTCCTCAAAGCAAAAAACTTTTGCGCTACAACCTTTTAGACTTCTGTATCGGTTTTGTAATTAATAGGAAAGTAGGTGATCAGCCTGCTATGCCTGTTAAACGCTTTATACTTTTTGGGTCTAAGGTATGGTTGACAGAAAGTTCAACTGCACAACCAGAATCGAACCCACCTCACAGACCGTAGCAATTTTTAAAAAGCCGGCAACTCACGCGATTTTGACAGAGTCTCCATTACACATTATAAGGTCTCGTACATAATTACCAATTAGTATCAAGCAATTTTTAAATTATGACACCATTCAACGATGTCTTTCATCATTAGAGTTAGAACGCACTGGTAATTTATTGTGTATAATGTTAGTATATTATATGCGTTAATCACCAATGTTTCGGGTTTTAAATAAATAAGTGGCGCTACAACCTTTTCAGATCTGGGCCCCAGATACGTATGAGCAAATTTTAAATGCGCATTAAGAGTCCATTGCCGGGGTTCTACGACCTCGGGGATAAGATTCGCACACTGAAGCCACAACATTGCTTTTCGGGCTATAACTAACTACAATACTAATTATGAAGATGACATTTTCCACCTTATTAAAGAGAATGAGGAAATGCATTGACTGCATTTAACTTAAAAATGGTAATTTGTTGTTTGGTTAATCTACAATTTTAGTTTTCAGGCTGGTAATTTGGCAGGTTTACCTGCATAAGCCCATTGACACTCTCAAAGCCAGAGGGCTCGCGAATGCGTCGCCGGCTTTTTAATGATAAATATTATTAAGTAATTAGCAATACTTACAAATTTTTGTCTCTGCCTCCATATTCCTCTTCCATATTTGCAACATTTCCAATTTCTTAAACATCATCATATTCCTTGGTTTTTCATCCATTTTCTGGCAAAACTTTTTCATAACAAAATCTTTGTCTGTCCCTTTCTTTCCGAATTTCCAATTGACCTCTTCCAGCGCATCACATTTATTCATATTTAAATCCTTTTCGTATAATTCAAATTTGTTCGTATTTTTTTTATAATATGCATTAAGATTTCTAATAACATCTCTCATGTGTGAATAATTCAGCTTGGTGTGCAGCTTCTGTGATAACTTTTCATGAAACACACCTTTATCAATAATTGCAAACGATGACTTTGTTAGATATGTTGACAGATTTTTCAGACCAGACTTAGTATTGCAATAAATATCGCCATATTTGTGCTTTCCGTCGAATATACAACTGGAATTGTTAAAAAAATTGTTTAATAATAATCAATACATGTAAGTGGACTCAGTGAAGCCAACAGAATGTTTCTAGGACCAACTTCAGCCACGCATAAATTATCCCTTCAACAGCTGTCCACTAAAGTATTTCCGAACTAATTCGACTTAGGGTCCTTCAAGAAAAGAGTGAATCAATACCAATTCTTAAAAAGCCGACAACGCTCTTGCGAGCCTTCTGGCAATGTCTGTCCATGGGCAGAGATATCACTTAACACTAGGCCTCTTGCCCGTTTGCCTCTAATTTTTTTTTTTAATTATGTAACACCAAAAACCTTCCAAGACATCAAAAAGTCAAAAATCATTTAATCATATAGGTAACACAATGTACACGTGTGAACGTCAATAAAGAAATATATATGAAATGCTTCTAAATTTACATTTAGTGCCAGTCCATCTTGGTTCCCCCTAAACTTAAGGTGAAAATTCCCTAAGTTGGCATCAATGACTGAACTGTTGTGGTATATGAATATAATAGTATAAGGTATGTGAAGTTGTTTCTGAAATACCTCTATATTGTTGGTTGGAAACATTCTCTTGGTTTGAGTTGTCATCACTGGCTCATGTTAACATAACTCGATTTAATGCCATACTCCATAAAATGTCAAAACTATTAGATTTCTTAAACAATGGACTGGAGCCTCATCCGATATTAAGTGATACTGCTCATGGATGCTTACACAACCAGAGACCTCGGGCAGCTCTGTCATGGAACCTCAGACAAACAGACTCTTATAACAGTTTACCTTTAAGGCGAACAATGCACTTGGAAACCTCTTGAAAATATAAATTAGTATTAACTGTAAATTAAATTTACTGCCAGTTCTCAAATCAGAAACTCACGACTACTGTTTTAATTTATTGTTACTAACTCATCATCCAAATGTATCACTGAAAACCATATCTCTGTTGCATCTGCAAAGAACTCCTTCATAAGATTTGTTGCAGCTGGCAGCCACTTGTCGACGTCAAACTCCGAGAAGTAGTATGAATTTGTTACTGGATTGAACGCTAATGTTTTTCCATGTGGTACAATACCATAGATACCAATTTGCTCTAAAACATTGTCTCTGTCTACCCAGATTAAATGAGGATTACAGTATTGTATTATTTTGATTCTATAACTCCCCGGCGGCAGCATATTTACCTGAAAATGATAAATATTAAACAATTTTGTCATTGTACAAATTAATACTTGCACATAAAAAAATCATTAATGTGCACAAGATGTTTATTACATACTGGCTAGTTATTGTGTTGCAGAACTTTGATAATATTCTTTTTGATAACTCTGTAAAGTAGTTGTAATAATTTAGGCGGAATTTGAAGTTCTTAAGTGGTACATAAAATATTACTGCATTGTGTGGTGGGACTGCCGTAAATTTAAGGAATACCCTCTGCTGTCTGTTGTTTTAAGTATCTCGGTACAAACACGAGCTACATAGCATGAACATAAAGATTCTTGTAGGAATGACGAATTCCATGATGTCTTTGATTACATTATATAATTAAGTAGACCGCAGAATTTATTAGGAGAAGATTTAATTATATTTAGATATCACACGACTTTTAAAACTTAAAGTATGGAAGGAAGAATATATGAATATAAATACTTTCTTATACTAAAAACGGAATTTTTAATACATAGGGACTTACATAATAATTGCGAATGCTATAATACTAGACTTGAAATTTAACTTACAAATTCCTCAAACAATATTATGTACTTTAAAATTTAACGATAGCCATTAGCCGGTCAATTATCAATACTATGTTTTTTTTTTTCTTGGCCTGCACGGTTTGTGCGTCAGCCATGCGAAAAGGTTAGGAAGTTTGTTATTAGATTTATTTTATTGGATTGAAAATTTTAACGGAATTTGTAAAAAGAATCATGTAATAATAAATGGTTATAATTTTATATTGTAATGAAGAATTAAACTGGCTGAAATTCTATTTACATCAATATTTATATTAGATAAAATGACATAAATTAAAGAAAATGAATTTGAACAAACAAAAGCGAGGAAATAAAAGCGGAACGGTCATGTCGAGTACAGGTATTGCCCGATATTGCTTTTAGTTTTCAAAAAAAAAAACAGATTTTTTTTACATCGCTCACAAATGTAACATTTATTAATAGATTATTGAAGTGATACTTCTTTTGGCGTGTTAGAGAAAAATTATGAGAGTAAATTTTTACGATGCGCGTGCACACCGTCACAAAAAACCGACACCCTAATGTAAGCAATAGTCAACGCTTTAGTTTGTTTACTTTGTAGTTCTAACGACGCAAATTTTTACGATATTAAGACAATGTTGCTACAAGAATATTTGTATCATAATTATTTAGCTATCATAAGCCTCTTGTAAAACACATGTCTACTGAACTCCCACCAATGGACGTGAAATAAATAGAATATAAAATACATATGTATAAGTTGCATGCTAAAATAAGAAAATGTCCATTTCTTTAACTATGTAGGAATAATTTTTTTTTGTGATATTTAAATAAACTTTATTTATCCAGATTATGCGTTATAATAAAACTTTCAATGTTTTAAATACCTTTTTGTGTTATTGTAGATTTTTGTTCTAACCTACCTAGATTAAAAATTTCGAAAATATTTTTATCTTGTTACGCCAAAGAAGTATAATTTCTAAGAGTGGACACACACTAACGCGTGTACATAAGTACACACACGTTTTTTTTTCTATTTAATAGATTATTATTCAAATTCAAATCATGTCACATACATCGTCAAAGGCATAACATTCTTCTTTTGAGGTCGATAAAAAAAGTGTAGTTAGTAAGTACAGTGTATTTTACTTTTTGGGACCTAAAAAAATGTTTTAGTTTATCTGGGATTGGAAGACTCAGATAAAACTGTTGTCTGTATAGTGAGTCAGTTGGTCGGCAATGGAGAAGTATTGAAAGAAGTTAGTAAAGTAACTCAGGCCTTTTAAAAGTACCTACATATTTCTCTTTTAAGAATATCCTTCATAGAAAAGTATACAAAAACAAAGCAATCAATTTCCATTTAACAAAATAAATCTTAAGTATTTCTTTTGTCGTAGTCTGTGGCCGGAAATAGAATAATTAATTTATATAAATGTTTTTCAAGGAAGGCTAATTATAATCATAATTTTACGTGAACAATTCATAAAATTTGTTACTTGCAAAAAAACAAAAACAATATCATATCTTTAAAATACTGGCTTTTTTGTTGACACATAATAAATGTGATATAACAAATAGTCAATTTAATGGACCTTTCTTAGGGCCGGTTTTTTGATCCGTAGTTAACTCAACTATTGGTAAAAAATCGTTACTATTAGTTAAATATCAGCAAAATGCGTTTTTTGATCCGTGGTAAGAGCATCCAATGGTAAAATATCTAACCATTAGTCAAAAAAGTTAACTACTCAGTATCGGAGGGTTAAAAAGATGGCCGCTGGTAATTTATATAGTAACAGCTGTTTGTCACAGAAATCAAACTATGATAAATACGTTTATTACTATCTAATGATGAATTTAAACATATTGAGATACTTTAATTAATGAGACGATGAAGAAGACGATAATATTATATGAGAATGTGTTAATGAGTGACCAAAAATATTTAGGCAATGTCATCCGCCATTAGAAACCTGGGATGATGTAGATTTTTGTCACTGTTACCCCCTATCGAAGGGAACAGTGCTCTGGATTGTTACTGAAATTGGGAATGATCTTAAACTGCCAATGAACAAGAGTATATTATATAGACAGCAGCTCATACCAACCTATTTTGCTTCATTACTAACTACAGTACCGCAGCAGTATATAATTAAGTATATTACTAATTCATTATGTGTTTTATTGCCTATAATATTAACTTATAATTATTATAATTAAATAAAATACAAGAACAAGAGTATATATAGACAGCAGCTCATACAAACCTATTTTGCTTCATTACTAGCTACAGAACCGCAGCAGTATATAATTAAGTATATCACTAATTCATTATGTGTTTTATTGCCTATAATATTAACTTATAATTACTATAAGTTAATATTATAGGCAATAGAATACATAATGAATTAGAGTTAATATTATTTATATATTACTAATAATATTAACTTATAATTATTATAAGTACATACAAGTATGTACTTATACTAAAAACTACAGCTACACATTAGTTAGGGACCTATGATATTCTTTAGGGCTTTTATTACATTTGTGAGTTAGCATCTACCTACTTTATTACAAGAATTTATAAATAAAACATTTGACTTGATTAATAAACTGTTTAATTATAACTTAAATACAAACCATTTTTATTAAAAAAACATTACAAAATTTACATGAAACCCTAAAGTAGCAATTAAATATTTTCTAATTGTTTCTTCTTGCATTTCTCCTCAATTTGATGCAACTCTTTTTGCTGCTACATATATTTATTGTGCCTTTCTTCCATCTGCTGCATCACTTTTTGGTGCACCTCCTCTATATGCAGTATGAATTTTTGGTGGGCCTCTCATTGGTGCAGCAAATGTTTTTGATGCTCTTCCTTAGCATAATTGAACAAATCATCCTCTCTTATTTGTCTTTGTTTCAAAAACTCAATTCTTTTTATCCGTGTGGATCATAATCCGCTTCCTTGTTTCCAAAGGGTTAAAAGATTTTTTCCTTTTGTTGTAGGACACAGCTATACAAGAATAAATATAAAAATGTGCCTACACCTTCATTAAATGTATATTAAATTTAACACTTCGGTGTCTAGACCCATCTGAGTTGAAAACGTCACAGAGATTTCCAAGCTGCATCGTTTTGTAGATTGCTGCAGTGATCAGTTGTTTGCAGGTTACGACTGTGTAATCCTTGAGAAGCATCACCAGTTTGGCAGTTTCTTTTTTTGGCGAAGTTAGCAGTATGGTCCCTTTAACAAAACATAAATGTATTACTTTCTATTACGAAACACAAGATAAACCGGAATAAATAAAACGAAAATATGTTTGTACTTACTTATTTGACCGTTGGCTGTTTGCGAACATCGTTATTTATATATTTAAGTATCGTAAAAAGTGTAAACCGTATTAAATCACAGAAAAACAACTTTATTTATATCGTGTTATTTAGATTAATTTGTCACTTCAAACTCTTCAAAGCGCAAATAACGAATGAAGATGGCAAAAATGGATTTCATTCACTCAATATGTCTAGTGTTGTCATACAAAATAAATGTTCCCCACAAAAAAGAACCACATTTTTTGGGATGTCATTGCTCATTGCACTGGCATTTGGCAACAAATTGACAAATTGTTAAGTTTAACTATAGTTAAAAAAGGCATTGAAAAACGCATTTACGATTTTACCAATGGTTATTCATTTAACTATAGTTAATGTAACAAATGGTAAAACCATTTTTTACTACGGATCAAAAAACTGGCCCTTAGGTCTATTTCTAGTTCAAAATTATATTTTAACGCTCTTAAATCGGCCATCCTTTTAGTATTACAATTCGAATCAAATGGATAATTATGACAGTGACATTATTCTAAAACCAATGTTGACAAATAAGTCGAAGGTTGACAGATCATGTGTTTACTTTTTTAACTATGTTTTTATGTCATGATCATTGATTAATGATTAGTGATCTCTACATCAGTGAATATCGATTATATTATATTTTCAGTTGATACATATAATTACAAAAATATTCTTATTCATCCTGAAATATCTAAGAAAACAATAGTGCATGCGGCAAATATAAATTTCACCAAATTACATAATAAGGTGCGGTTTCATTATTTCGTCCTTGCTGGAAAGTATTTTATTTAGGTTTTGTTATGTAAACAATTCATTTCAAGCTTCATTAGATTATTAATGGTTCTTAAGACTTAGCCCTGTGTTGTGAAACTAATACATAAATTAATGAAAATATATTTTTAGTGAAGATGCCAGGAACAAATTTAATTGTTCCTGTTGTTTTGTGGGGGAAACATGCACCAACGCATTGCATATCATCCGTTTACCTTTCGAGAGACCAGAAAACACTGGTCACTGGGTGTTATGATGGGCAAATATGTATTTGGCAAGTGAATCCAGATTCACTTAAGATGACACCTCGGTGCTTGCTTGTTGGCCACACAGCACCTGTTACCTGTCTATCTAGAGCATCTATTATACAGGTACGTTTTTTACTTTAGTTTTCAGACTACTAACATCCTTAATTATATTAAATTATGCGTATATACTTATTATTATTAATCAGTGTCAGTATTAAATAAATGTTTAAGTACTACATAAATACATTTCTGTATTCAAAGGACCGTTCTAACATAATAAGATATATCAAGTGATTTTATAAAATTAAATTACTATTAACAAGATTCTAATAAGAATATTAATAGTTTTATTGTATTTGAAAAAAAAGGAAGACACCTGTGCCTTCTAGAATCTGAACATGAGGACATGTGGCCACTGAGATCAAATTGAACTGCAGATAAACACCAGTGTGCAAGCACGAGCCGTGGCAGCCCTGACATATTTTCTTAACAGTTCTACAAAAGAAGACTTTCTCATGCATAAATAATTAAAGAACTTGTCTTGAACTTGTGAACAGTGGCTATAGTCGTGGAGTTGTATATAGCTTTAGCGATTGGAATAACTTTTTATTAGTATAATTCAGGGATTTCAGCAGCTTTGGATTGTCGGTGTCTCTACCTCCTATAGATTTACAAAATAAGTCTGATATCTCTAAACAATAAAACCCAACCAGTTGGTATTTTTTATTTACATTTATAATAAATAGTACAATTTACGAGATCTTAACTTGAAAGATAAGAATTATATAATGTATCAGACAGCATTATTGCTCTTCACATTTTCAGATGAGATGATGATGAGATATGGGTTATTATAAAAGAATATCTATTTATAAAGAATTTATTTATTTATTTATTTATTACAGAAATACATCCATTATCCTTACAGACTAGCCAATATGATAATGTTGAGAAAAATAAAGAAAAGTGCAAGAGTGTGTATTATAATACCAAATCAATAATAACTTAATACAGTGAAAGAAAATTTAAAACATATTTAGGATGACCAAAACATATATATATATTTAATTGTGGTTAATATATTTTTCAGGATAATAACTTTATAGTGAGTTCATCAGAGGCGGGAGAGATGTGTACATGGGATCTTGTTGATGGAAAGTGTCGGGAGAGTGTGAAATTAACACAAGTGCACACAAACATACAGGTATAATAATTAATAAGTTATTATTTGAGACCAGTGTTGGCCTGTGCACCTTTCGCTTCTATGTGTACTTGCTTGAAGGAAACTGTACAGCATAGTTTACTTGACTAGTAAGGAAAATTATCACAAACGATACAGAAGCATATTATGTAGGGCCACTAGTTTTTTGTTGTCAATATAAGCAAAAAAATATATTATAATCACCTTTCCAGGCATACCATATGTGCAATAGTGAAGATTTGAGACTGTTTTGCAATGGGTATTATGCAGAAATTCTCATAATAGACCCGTTTTCATTGGAAATCTTATTTTCTTTGAGTTCCAAAATGAACCCAGATTGGATATCAGCACTACATGTGAGTAACGGAAGAAATTGTTTATTATTGCTATTAAATACGGGTTGGTGCATATTGATATAATTTTAACATATAATTTTGATATTTACTATTTAGTTACAAATTGTCCGACATTTTCATTTTTAAATACATATATTTTCAGGTTTTGCGTCCATCGTCTAGAAAAGATGACGTCGTGTTGGCTATATCTATTACCGGAACTGTCAAAGTGAGTGTTTCGTTTTTTTTAGTATTCTGTGGTAATAAATGAATGATCCGCAAATAATTTGATGTATCGTTTATCTAAATTTTAATTTATACTTAAGTTTTTGGTTTATTAAAAATATAAATTAATTTTAAATTTGGTGATAAAATAAGGTAAATTTTGTGTGGCTATAGGAAATATAGATATACTGAACAGATTTTGAAAATACTTTTACCAATAGAAAGTCAGGTGAGTATTTAGAAAACCAGTCAAACTCAATGTACTGCATGTTGCGGTTTTCAACAATATCTGATGTGAAGGTTAACGTATATATTCCAAGTTAGGTGTCCAGATGACGTTATGACTTAAAGTCAGTCGGCCCAGATTTTTATACGTCTTTCAACATAGAGTATTAAAAATAATTTAAAAGTGTACTTGGAGCGTGTTTCTTTATTTAGGAATACCTTTAATTCTATTATAATTATTTTTATAATCTAGATATGTTCTTTAATAAAAAATAAAAAAAACGTGTGGTACTCGGGGACTGCCGCGGTAAAGCTATTGCATAGCATTTTTTATCAACTTATGCAGTTATAATTATTTATTTATGCAGTATTTGTTTTTCTTTGATATTAATTCAAGTTTTTTCTTTGATATTATTTCAATCTACCACTCTACCAGACTCAGACTAAAACGCCTATATAGTCTGTCTCACTCTAACGCGTACCGGCTGCAACGGCCCCGCTACGTCACCGATCTCGTCAGAGAGATGGGAATGCGCAGTATGCGTTCTATTCCACTGTAACGCGTAAGGTTTTTTTCGTTACGGAATTTCTTGATTAGGTCGCCGCGCTCAAAGCCCGCGATAAAATCTATGCAATAGCTTAAAAAACACGAAGTCAAACAAAACTCAGGGCAGTCTCTATAGGATCTTTCTTGAAAATTTAATATTAATATTAAAAGGCTGGCAATGGCAAGAAATACACGAAATCCATACGAGCGGACGGGATTTTATTTACTTTCTTAAAAGGCCGGCTGCAGATCGGGAGCTGTCTAAAGTGTCCATGACCAATGTAAATAATACTAATTTTATTTCTAGGTGTGGTCTCTCCTAGGACACGAGAATAAACAGTCTGAGCCGATATACGAGAACGAGTCAAAACAAATACGGTGTTTAAACGCCCTATCACTGAATTGTTGTGCGTACAACCAACGCACAGTTCTGATCGTATGCGCGAAGTATTGCCAGATATATGATGCGGGTAAGAATATTAACCATTTAAGTGGATCTCTTATCTGTCTCATGAGGCAAGTAGGTAATCAGCCTTTGCCTGATTGTGTATAATGCCGGTGTTACGATATTTTGTACGAGCAGCTGTTAATAGCAAAAGTCCTTTGGTGCACGTGGTCGTTATTAAAATGAGGGTAGAGTGAAATTTATTGACGCATCAATTTGACTACCCTCGCCGTATAAAATTTATGTTTTTTCCTCAGATTAAGACCTATATGAATGATCACGAAATCTGAAGTATCTAGTTATTCTTGTCTTTGGAAATGTCAAGTGCCTTTGCTATGTTTATTAAAAAAAATACGTTATTAATAGTTATTCCTGAATATAATAATATATCATCAAATTGGTTGAGCAGTTCTTGAGTATTAAATAATGTGATTTTGTAGGTGATTTTTCGGTGCTGTGCTCCATACAAGCGCCGTCCGGTGAGAGATGGATGTCTGGTGACTTTCTCGCTCCGGACAGAGTCCTCGTATGGTCCACTGAAGGGAAAGGATATCTTTATAAACTACCCGCAAAGTAAGTCAAATTTGACGGATTCACTGCATGGCCACGGCCGTTATTGCGTAATCTGATGTTTAAAAAAGCACCTGAAATTAACATATTTGTGACCATGCACTATATATGTATACACACACACACCGTGACCATGCAGATGTTACAGTTTATTGTTTCAAATACAAAGAAAGATTACATACATAACACAATTTATATTGGTTTCGGCATTAGATTCTCATCTGAGCACAATAAGCTTTTCAATGTGAACTGGTTAAAATATCACTCGTAAAAACTGCGAGTCGTTTATGAACAGAGCGCTTGTCGCATTTATCGTAGACAGGTGGTAGAATTGGTCATTTCACAATCTGGCGAAAATATCAAGGTTTCCGTAATGTATTTAGGGTGGGGAAATATCTGTAGTATAGAAAATCTAGCTGAAACTATTAACATACATATTTGTAAATGAAAAAAAAAACTATATTTTGTTAGTTAAATTAACTTAAATTGCCGAGAACTGAAAATTTTAACTAGAAATGACTGAGCCGTGGAATCGTCAACATTAAAATCAATAAAATTCTATAAAAATGCATAAATCTCTATGAAAGTAAATAAAAATAAGATACAATGTTACTTTCGTTAGATTAGTTACAGAACTAACTATAAAAAGTACCCTTTTAAAGTGACCAATTCTACACATACACAGTACGACTGGTAGCTATTACGGGTTTTTTATAGAAACCGGTAACTAAATCGGTGAGTGATGGCTTAAAGTGAAGCGTAAAAATTAACGGACTTCAAAATTTATTAAAAAAACCAGTGCCGCTCGGCGTTTTAGGTCTGGGCCTCTTATGTATCTGTTTCATGAGGCAAGTTGGTGATCAGCCTTTGCCTGATTGGTTCTACAGGTATTACGATGTTTCCCTTCGTACGAGCGAAAGTTAATAGCAAAAGTTCAAGTTCTGGTCGTTCCTTAAGGGTCTGTTTAGACACTAGCTCGTAGGAAGAACCTCGTGAGGAAATTTTTATACCCACGTAGGGACAGAAGGCTGATCTGACAACAGAAATTACCGGAAACATAAACAGAACAGTGTTGGTCTAGTGGATTCGGCGTGCGACTCTCATTCCTGAGGTAGAACCCCGGCTGTGCGCCTATGGATTTCTGTGTGCATTTAACACTTCGTACGAAGGGAAACATCGTGGGGAAACCGCCTTGCCTCAGACCATACAGAACGGCGTGTGACACAGGACGCTGATCACCTGTTTGCCTATTAGATAGACAAATCATGAAACAGATACTGAAATCCAAGGCCCAGGCCTGTAAGTTTAGCGCCTCTGGTTTTTCCGGATAAATTAAAAATAAATGCTTATGGTATATTAAAAGCTACATGTATTTTTTATAGCAAACTGCGCGGACGGGCTATTAATAGGTCAGCACTTGATATATTTTTAGAATCATTTTTTGGTTTGCTTTTTAGTTGTCACCTATCTGAGGATATTCAGAAACGAGACTTTTAAATAGTACGTCAAACATGTATTGGATACGTTCTTGCTAAGTCTCGTTTCTGAATCTCGCCCTAAGAATGAAGGCTTAGTGCTAAGTGTGACTTCCGTATGTCAAAAGAGTGGAGTTTAACGCGAATTGTGTTTTACATATGTCAAAAGAGTGGAGTCTTGGCGCTAATTCTGTTTTACGTATGTCAAAAGAGTGGAGTCTTGGCGCTAATTCTGTTTTACTTATGTCAAGAGAGTGGAGTCTTGGCGCTAATTCTGTTTTACTTATGTCAAAAGAGTGGAGTCTTGGCGCTAATTCTGTTTTACTTATGTCAAAAGAGTGGAGTCTTGGCGCTAATTCTGTTTTACTTATGTCAAGAGAGTGGAGTCTTGGCGCTAATTCTGTTTTACTTATGTCAAAAGAGTTGAGTCTTAAGGCGAATTGTGTTTTACGTATGTCTAAAGAGTCGAATCTTAACGCAAATTGTGTTTTACGTATGTCAAAAGAGTGGAGTCTTGGCGCTAATTCTTATTTACTTATGTCAAAAGAGTTGAGTCTTAAGGCGAATTGTGTTAACGTATGTCTAAAGAGTCGAATCTTAACGCGAATTGTGTTTTACGTATGTCAAAAGAGTGGTGTCTTGGCGCTAATTCTTATTTACTTATGTCAAAAGAGTGGAGTCTTGGAGCAAATTCTGTTTTACTTATGTCAAAAGAGTGGAGTCTTAAGGCGAATTGTGTTTTACGTATATCTAAAGAGTCGAATCTTAACGCGAATTGTGTTTTACGTTTGTCAAAAGAGTGGAGTCTTGGCACTTATTCTGTTTTACTTTTGTCAAAAGAGTTGAGTTTTAAGGCGAATTGTGTTTTACTTATGTCAAAAGAGTGGAGTCTTAAGGCGAATTGTGTTTTACGTATATCTAAAGAGTCGAATCTTAACGCGAATTGTGTTTTACGTTTGTCAAAAGAGTGGAGTCTTGGCACTTATTCTGTTTTACTTTTGTCAAAAGAGTTGAGTTTAAAGGCGAATTGTGTTTTACTTATGTCAAAAGAGTGGAGTCTTAAGGCGAATTGTGTTTTACGTATATCTAAAGAGTCGAATCTTAACGCGAATTATGTTTTACGTATGTCAACAGAGTGGAGTCTTGGCGCTAATTCTGTTTTACTTATGTCAAACGAGTTGGGTCTTAAGGCGAATTGTGTTTTACGTATGTCTAAAGAATCGAATCTTAACGCGAATTGTGTTTGAAGTATGTTATAAGAGTGAAGTCTTAACGCGAATTTTGTTTTATGTATGTTAAAAGAGTGGAGGCGTAACGCGAATTGTGTTTTACGTGTGTCTTAAGAGTCATATCTTAACGCGAATTGTGTTTTACGTATGTCTAAAGAGTCGAATCTTAAAGCGAATTGTATTTTACGTATGTCATAAGGGTGAAATCTTAATGCGAATTGTGTTTTATGTATGTCAAAGGATCGGAACCTTAACGTGAATTGTGTTTTACATATGTCTAAAGAGTCGAATCTTGGAGTTAAGTGTGACTCCTGACAGAAATGTAATAATTTCGACACAATGAAAATAGTTTACGCTTAGTCTCTCAGAATCGAACCTAAGCGCTAATTTTGACTCCGGTGTATCAGAAACAAATTGAATATTGACATACAGAAGTCACGTGACCATCGTGTGGCTAATGTCATAATTTTAACTCTAGATCGACCTTGAGTTTAAATTCTCCATAATTGTGCATTAATGTTAGTGATATTAAGTCATTAGAGCGCTCATAGTCATAGTTATTAAATATAGTATCTTTAGCACAAACGTTTCAAGTAAAGAAAAAACTTCTGCAGTTGAAATTGTTTTCTTCTCATAGTTCCACCCTCACAATGTGTCTTGCAATGCACCAAAATATGTCTCCACAGACGAGCAAAAAGTTTTCATACCAAAATCAATAGAAACCTGACTTTAATTGACGAGAAATTTTGAATACGATTATCTAAACTTGGTCAGGATTTCAACACAATTACCTGAGTTCCTTCCTTAGTACAATCGAGCTTTTTAGTTCAGTTCAGCGCCCACGAAACACTGCTAAAATGTTCTAAATACAGTGAAAACTATTCTAAACTATATAAATCTATATAGATGGGCAAGATTTTTAAAACCATTTCAAATTGATTAGTTACCATAGATCAACAAATTGTTCGTATAGTTTGTGTTAACTATTGATTGTCCGTATAGTTTGTATTGACTATTAGATTTTTCGTATAGTTTGTGCTAAAGGTAAAATGTCATGTAGTACATTAGTTTTATTTATTTTGCATTTAATTTTTTTTTTTAACACAACAACATGTATTTACACCTATAATCTTATAACCATTTTCCGCGAATATTATCTACCAGAAATGTTACTGTCTGTTACATTGTCATTGTCACCAAGTGAACTATGCTGACCCCAAACGAACCCAAGACCCAGAGGTCTAATCAATGCGTAGAAAATCAATCAACGACTCGTTTCGAGACCATACAGTTTTTTTGCTGTTACCCACATAAATAAAAAATTGTTTTTAGTTCCGTTCCTGACCATAAAGGCTTTCATGGACCAACTGTGGACCATGATAGTCCTGTTTTGTATGGAATTTTGGCTCACCCAGATAATAAGGTAGGTAATAATTTTTATAGTTTAAAAAAGGAATTTCAGAAATAATACCAATGGTCAATAGAAAAAAAAACTAAATAATTATAGCTATATACTAGGTGTTCAACCACTTAATTAACTGAATAGTTGAGGACACAATGCTTGCGAGCAGACAGAACTATTATTAGAAAAAAATTTTTAAAATTCGAGATATTTTTTTCGTCTATTGGTTATGAAAATTCTCAAGGTTGGCCAATTGACCTACTGTTATTTAACTCCGGTCACTGAACTACGGTCATTGAACGGCTTTACGTGCCGCATGTGTGTGTGAGCCGGCTGCGAGATCGGCTCGTCTACAAGCTGGTGAATTGGCTCTACAGTCTCTTCTAGGAGATGGACTTAAAAAAAGAGTTTGGTGTCCCCCATGGACAAAAAATAAATATAATGACTTATTATGGAAAATAATTAATTTATTTCCAACACACAAATATAAATACTCAGTATTACAGTATTTTTAGAAAATTAAAATAAATTTAAAAGTTTGGTCCCTGTGACAGTGTTTTGTGTAAACCTTTAATGCTGGCAGCATTTCCTCGCACCAGCACCAGCTGGGGTCACCAGGCCAACCTGTGACCCCAGAGCCCCAAGACATGACCCCAAATTTTTAATTAGAGAGTGGAAATAGGTTTATATGTAGTGATAATTTACTATGTAAACTTTTAACTTAACTTCTAAAAAATCTCGCTCTGGGTTGGTACCCCAATTGTGAGTTACGTAATCTCTTTCTCCTTTTCTTATTTTGAGATGGTCTCTTGAAAGAACCAATATATAATAAAATAAATAAGCCTATATTCGAGTACCAATCAAGATTACAATAATTCATTATATTTAACTTTACACGGCCTCCGAAGTGAAGGACTCCTCTAAATTCTTCCACTTATCTCATCCTCGTCACCATTTTCCATACCTTCCTTAACCCGCTATCCTTTTATTTCCAACTTCCCAGGTTTTTGGTGAGCGTCCCCACTTGTCTTCCACTGAGCCATTCCAAGTAAGGGTCTTTTTGACTAATTAAATTTTTTTAATCTTGTCAAATAGCCGCGAGTCCTGTTCAACAGAATTAACTTAATTACAAAAAGGAACATCTTTTTTACATACTAACCAACCATTATAACGTTTCAGCTTCTATCATGCCCTCCAGCCATGAGGTTCATCCTAACATCTGTGGGTGGGAAGCAACGTAGACTCTTACTGAGAGGAGATTCAGCTGGAGTGGTTCTTCTGTGGAATGTGGATGATGCATCAATGCCTGTACCCAATAAGGTTATGTGTGAGTATTCATTAGTAAACATAATTAAATACAGCCCCTGACAGTTACAAATAAAAAAAATTGGTACGATGGTGATGATGATGACTGGAAGTCGATTCAGTAGGCATTTTCTTTTGCGAACTAGCGAATTGTGCAATCGATTCCTATTGGAAATCTTCCCTGGAATTCTTCTCTAAAACATCCAATTGTTTTAAAAGTGAGTATCCTTCCTGGCCCGGCACCCACTAAAATGCGTGCCCTTTGGAGGAAGAGCATCTCCTGAGCTCGTTATTCCCCTATCCTATAAAAATACGTGTGTGTACCTATGTACAGTGTACACGCGTTAGAAATTATACTTCTTTGGCGTAACAAGATAAAAATCTTTTTAAAAATATTATCTTTCGCCTTATTCTACGTTTGTAGAAAAAACGACACTAACTAGAAAATACTAAAATATTTACTATAGCTAACTTCAGAGTGTCGGTTTTTTGTGACGGTATGCGCGCGCATCGTAAAAATTTACTCTCATCAGTTTTCCCTAAAATGCCAAAAGAAGTGTAACAAATATGAAAATTTCTCATAACCACAGTGGAGTCAGGTTGTCTTCTGACATATGCTTCCCCCCTTATTTTATCCCATTCTCTAGAGCCTGCTCCCTCTCTGCGACAGACCAACTGCCGATCCTATCGCTTGTCGTGCCCTCTTCCTTTTGTTTATGCTATCAAGTATGTTCAACTCGCTCGTAAGAAGGTGAACATCGTAACACCGGCATTAGCTAATCAGGCAAAGGCTAATCACCTACTTGCCTCATGAAACAGGTACAGAAGAGGGAGATTAATTGACTATTTAACAGTCGAATTATCAAATTAGCGCACACATACAGACGATACTAAAAGAAATACACGTTTATCTGTTTTTCAGTAATCGCGTTTCCGTCAAAGCTTTTTTAAAATGTTAAACCATAAATAATACATTGTTGCAGCGCGTGCGCCCATAGTGACAACCAGTTTGGAAATGGCTTGGGCGGAGATGAGTCCCAGCCCAGTGGGTATTCTGGATCAATTGAGCCATCCTGACGAACCGGGTGAGTTCAGTTTTGACTTTAAATGCCTTTAAACACCTCAGTTACAGGTATCCACTGATCATGCAGATGTCTGGATATTTGCAAACAACCCATTTAGGGCCATTGATTTTGAAGTGATAACGTCTTATGGGAGGGTAAACCACTTCGTTACGTAACGCGTTACAGCACCAGTCTGTCTAGCTTCTCTTTCTCTTACGCATACGGCAGCGGCAGACAGGCTCCTCTCACACTCTTTCAGACTTCTTTCCTTATCTCTCTTCAGTGTTTAGTCAGCGTTAGACATTTACTGTTGACAGTGAGCATATAACCTCAAACTATCACCGTTTTTGAAAGTGATTATAATAAATATGATGAATGAAGCAGAAGATGATTGTCAGAACATTACAGAATTGAAATGGTTCAACTTACATTAGTTTAAGTTATCGCTTCTGTCGGGCGTGCCGAGATGCACCCATTTTTTTATCTCTATCCATTTCTTTGTCCATTCGCTTCCTGCTAACTCTTCTTTTTCTACTATCAGCCTTTCTAGGGCGCCATCTTCTCCTTCTTCCCCTTGGTCCTTTCCATTTAGTTGTCTTTAGATGGCTTTCATTCTCTATTCGCTTCCTGCTAACTCTTCTATTCTTTCTATGAGCCTTTATAGGGCGCCTTCTTACCTTTGTTCCTTTCCAAATACAGTGTAAACTCTATATCACGACTCCGAAGGGAGTGTGCATATTTTGGCGTTGCAAAGAAAGAGCTGCATATTCTTCAGCAAATTTCTTCGCCTCACCTTTCACGATGGGCACCGATCGGGATATTATTCTTGTTTTGTTTTTTTTTGTATGTAATAGGAGGCAAACGGGTAGGAGGCACACCTGATGTTAAGTAAAACCGCCGCCCATGGTCACTCAAATTGGCTCGCAAGCGCGTTGCCGGCCTTTGAGGTATAAGGGATTAGGATCATTTAACTAATCGATAAATAAAAAGCTTTATTGATTAATTTACGTTTAACGAAAGTTTTGAATTTATTCAGTGATAATTCTCTAATTTCGCTTGAAAATTGTTGTAAAACGAATACAATTCGACGCTTTAGGGCAGTGATGGGCAAACTTTTTAAAAGGAGGGCCAGATGAAATTTAAAAATTTACAGGCCCAAAAAAAATAATACAAGTTATAGGCCTAAACCTTTTTATTGTTTAATTTTACATCATACACAACTTATATACTAAAATGGTAAAAACTAAACCTTTAACCTTGGAAAATGAGTGAAGTCTTTCTTGAGTAGTTGTTTGGAAAATAGATTTAACTGCAGTTTGAAACCCCTGATATGACCCCAAGTATCATGAATCAATTGATTTCTTCCCTGGAGTTTAAGGTTCAATTTATTGATGTGGCTCAAAATATCTGTAACACGCATCGCACTAAATCGCCATACTACCGATATACATACATTTTCTACGGAAAGAAAACACGCGATGCAAACTCAGTTAGTGTTAGATGCGATAATACCATACCTAAGGCTCCCGTTAACTATTATAGCTGCACAAAAAAAATTATCACTTCCTATGTGCAATTAATTTTAGGGGTTAATCAAAATCGTGTCGCGGGCCGGATCAGACTAGCCCGAGGGCCGCACTTTGCCCGCGGGCCGTACTTTGCCCATGACTGTTGCCCTAAAGTTTAGGGGATTTGTCGTAAAATCGAGTAACGTTGGAGTTTACACTATAGTTGTGTTTAGAGTACACCTGTTCTACCTCCTTCTCTTGCTATATGCCCGCCCATTGCCACTTCAGCTTCAATGAGATACTTTAGTTTAATAAACGTGTAATTTTTAATGATTAGGTAATAACTAACATTTTTTTTTTCCAGAAATTAAATTGACTGCCTCTATATATCTATTGGCCGCAAATCGTTTGGTTGTTGGCAGAGAAGATGGTTCAATAATAATAGTTAATGCTACCCATACGGTTCAACTTCAACTGTTACATGGAAACCATCAACAGTTAGACGGTAAGTTTAATAAATGCTGATTGGCCAATTTTTTTCGCAGGAGATTTATTTATGAGGTTAATAAATATCAATGGATGTTTAAAAGTAAATTATAAAGTATACTGCAGGTATAATGTGTACCATCGGTATAAAGTGTACCTTAGGTATAAGTGTAATGAAGTATAAAGTATTGAGCGGTGGTGGCTTACGGGCTTCAGCGTGCGACTCTCATCCCTGAGGTCGTAAGATCGATCCCCGGCTGTGCACCAATGGACTTTTTTTCTATGTGCGCATTTAACATTTGTTCGAACGATGAAGGAAACCATCGTGGGGAAACTGGCATGCCTTAGGCACAAAAATTTGACAGCGTGTGTCTGGCACAGAAGGCTGATCACTTGCCTATTATCAAATCAATCAATCAAATCAAAATACGTTTATTCAATTTAGATGCTTCTTAGAGCATGCTTATGAATGTCAACAACGTTTACAAAATTCACGAAAGAGCAAGACTACGCCATCTAAATCTGTAACTGTTCCATGATGATTTGTTAATATTAGATTAACAAATCATCATGGAACAGTTACAGATTTCTGAGGCCCAGACCTAAAAAGGTTGTAGCGCCATTGGTTTATTTTATTTTTTACGTATAAAGTATACTGCAGGTATAAAGTGTACCTTAGGTATAAGTGTATATACAAACCTGACAACTACATAAAAATTCACTTTAAAGTATTTATGAAACTTAAAATTTTAATATTTGTTTTAGATTGGCCACCTCATCAGTTGTTATTGGGACACAATGGACGCGTAAACTGTCTTCTGTACCCGCATCATGTTCATCAAAGGTAACCTATCAAATTTATTAATGAACACACACACACAATTACTAGTTACGAGTCTATGGTATCGTTTATATTTATATTTATTTTGTTGTCTGTTATAATATATGTACTACGAAATAGATTTTTTTATAAATTGTTAATAAGTTGTTATGTTAATGATCCCTTCAAGAAAAGTGCTTCGATGAGGCCGAAGACGCACTCGCGAGCCTTATGGAAGAGTGTCCATGGAAGGCTTTTTTTATGTAATGGAACAAACGGGCAGGAGGCTCACTTGATGTTAAGATGATACCGCCCGCCTATTTTTTATTATCAATTCATTTAAATGTGTCATAATTAAAAACAAAAACAATTATAATTCTTAGTAATTAAACTCCTTAAACTCTGGACCGATTTTGATGACTTTGGTTTTTGTGTCACAAAACATGTATTTCATACAAAATGATCATCTATTTGTCTATGTCATATCATGTGTTTGTATTTATTAACTGTCTGGTCTACTAATAAGTGTATTTGTGTTATAGGTATGACAGAGCCTATCTTGTATCCGGTGGAATAGACTTTGCGGTTTGTCTATGGGACCTGTTCAGTGGGGCGCTGCTCCATAGATTTTGCGTTCACGCGGGAGAGATCACCCAATTGATCGTTCCACCTCATAACTGCAGTGTAAGTATAAAGTAAATCAGTTTAAGTAGTTTAATCAGTTTACGAAATTAAATTAGTTTATGTATTTAAATTAGTTTAAGCAAGGAAATCAGTTTAAGTGTATTAATTAATTTTGAAAGTAAATCAGTTTCAGTATTTAAAACAGTTTACCTAACACCGCTTTAAGAAGTTATTTCTAAATTTTAATTGATATTCATCTTACAGCCAAGGATTCAGAAATGCATTTGCGCTGTCGCATCGGACCATAGCGTCACGCTCTTGAGTAAGTATTTTTCTATATCTACATTGTTTAAAAATATTATTGTATCCTTACTGTTAAGGAGTTAATGATATAATCTAGTCCCACGTTAGCCTATTAATGATATATTTATATTATTATGACGTCCAACTATATACAAGAAATATTGCGACTACCTACTTTAATGAGTTAAAATAAATACCTAACAAATCTACTGTCAATGTTAGCTGTCAACTGTCAATGTTAGATATCAATTGTAAGCGTCATCAGCAAAAGTATATATTTTTATGCGAACTTGAAAAATGTATAAATAGAAATGTCAATGTCAAATGTCTACTATCAATGTCAGCTTCAACTTTAATAAGCAAAATATTTAATTGTTTTTATGCGAACGTAAAAAAAAATTAAATTTTTAATTTTTAATAATACACGAAATGGTTAAATAGTAAACATGTAACCTAACCTTTTCAGGTTTAACTGAACGGAAGTGCGTAACACTCGCTTCCCGCCACCTATTTCCGGTTGTGACGATAAAATGGCGTCCGGCTGATGACTTTATGGTGGTCGGATGTAGTGACGGCACTGTTTATGTTTGGCAAATGGAGACTGGGCATTTGGATAGAGTTTTAAATGGTAAGATTTCTTTTATATATGCAGTGTATGTTAGTCACCAGTAAACTAAATTATATGATTAAAAATAAACATGGACATGTTGTACAATTCTCACAGTTAAAGTTAGAATGAAACAATTCTGAAGCCTTTATTACACTACGGACCCGTGAATACCTAAACCTTCCTCATTATTAATTCTAGAAATTGGTGAAATAATTAAATCAGTGGGGCTACAACCTTAGGTCTGGGCCTCATGTATCTGTTTCATGATCATTTGTCAATCTCTTAGGCAAGTAATCAGCCTCTTGTGTCAGACACACCAGTAAATTGTAGCTTATGTGAAACGTTGGTACAGTCAACACAGCGCCATCTGTTAATGTGACTGTAAAATAATAAACTAATAATTTGCAATAAAATAATATTGCCGTTATAAATTAAGATAAAAGCTATCTTTTAAGTTAGATCTCAAACTGCACACGGTGTGAAAATTTGATTAAAATCAGTTTAGTAGTTTAGGCCATATTATATATATTAAGATTAAGCTTGTACCACAATTCAATTTCAAGGTATGATAGCTGAAGAGGTTCTAGCGGCCTGTGATGATACATCGGCTGATGAACTTGGAGGCTCTATATCATCAGGCACAGACCTGCAAGGTCTGGCTAATCCAGCTGTGCATTTCTTTAGGTGAGTCTAGGTCTAATGTCAGTTTTACGATGTTCTCGCTACAACCTTTTAGGTCTAGGTCCTATGTATATGTTTCACGAGGCAAGTAGAAAGTTAAGTTTATTAAGTTAGTTAGTTTTTAACTTATAAGAGATGCAGGCGACTGATAAACGAGCTAGTTCCGGATATCCATAGCTCCCCTCACATGGAAATCAATTTTCCTTTTGTTTTATTATTTATTGTTTCTTTTTCTCTTCGTGTTTAAATTTGGAGAAGATTTTTAAGAAGGTATCAATGTGTTGGCAAGCTTTTTTAAATAAACTAGCTGACCCGGCAAACGTTTGTTTTGCCATATATATAATTTCTAGGAAACATTTTTTAGTTCAATAAAAGTAGCTATCTACAATAATAAAAAAATAGTCGTTGATCCTAGAGGGGGGAAAATTAGGGGTCATATGTATTTTTGTATGCTGTATCATAAATAAATAAAAAACTTATCACTGAGAGGGTTGAAAGATAGATAGTAGCCGATTCTCAGACCTACTGAATATGCATATAAAATTTGATAAAAATCGGTCAAGCCGTTTCGGGGAGTATGTTAACTAACATTGTGACACGAGAATTTTATATATAAGATAAATAAATTACTTTTCATCACAGTGTGAAGACAATTTGCCAGAAAGAAAAGAAAGAGAATAAATATGTTTGAGTGAGTTAATGAAGTTTTTTTTTGGGGTCAGAGGTCTTCGACATCGCAACCTCACTGCAATGCGAGCGGCAACTCAACGCGGTCTGGCTGCCTTGCACGCATCAGAGCGCGGCTCCAATGCCGGCCCGTTAGCTGAACCAGCTCGGGCCAGGCCTCCACCCCTGACCATACAGGGCTTCAGGTCTAATCCTGCTGGTGAGTATTCTGATTTGGAGCATCAAGCTCAGCATCAGAGCTGTTCCAAATATTATGGTATATACATAAAAATAGGTTGAGTATCTTTAGAGGGTGGTGGGTTTCACATGGTGGTGATGCAAAAAGTGGCTTAAATAATGCAGTGGCTGTAGTGGTGCCAATTTTTAAAAGGGTGGCAACGCACTCGCGATCCCTCTAGCACTGTGTGTCTATAGGCGACAGGTATTTCCAAACCAATTCGTCTTAGGTTCCTTCAAAGAGCGTACCAATTCTTAAAATGGCAACGCCCAAACCCTCTGGCATTGACAGTGTCCATGGGCGGTATCACTTAACATCAGATGAGGCTCCTGCCCGTTTTCTCCTGTTCTATTAAAAAAAGAAATCAAATTGAAAGGTATTTCTCTATACTTTTCTACAAAAAACTTTCCCTTGACATTTTTCTCATGGTGTTTTGTTTACTTCTGCAATTTATGGGGCAGAACTGCTGAAAAATATGAATTGGAAAAGATATTCCAGTTCAACATGTATGCATAAAATTCTTCGAATATATATGACCTTCTTGACTTTATGTCTACTTACCCCTAGATGGGGCAGAGGTCTTCCACAGTATGTCTTCATCGCGTTCGGTCTTTAGTCTCGTATTTCACCTCGCTCCAAGTCTTTCCTCATCTGCAACTGCACGACGCCAGGTTCGCTTGGGACTTTCCGCTTTCCTTGCGGGTTCCAGTCAAGCGCCTGCTCGGGGATATGATTGGAATCTCTTCGGAGTGTATGTATGGCCTATCCATTTCTACTTGCGTCGCTTGATCTGCTGGATCGGGGTTTCTCGGCAGCGCTCCCAAAGAAGCTCGTTAGAGATCTCCTCGGGCCAGTAGATACCCAGAATACGGCGACAGTGGTTGATGAAGACTTGGAGTCGGTGCGAGTTATCTTTCCTATATATATGGATGATTGCATTCACAGACCCAGAGAGCCACATACTCTTCTTCGACATCGAGGGTCTGATAGTGGAACTGCTCAGCGAGGAGTATTCAGCCATGAGTCCAGCTAGTTTGGAAGTAAGTCTAGTCTTCTCTTTCTCTAATTTCTGTGTTTAGAGACTTTATTGTCCAAATATCAAACAATAGTTATATAAAGATCTAGTTACCATTTATAACGGGTAGTGTTGGTATAGTGGCTTCAGCGTGCGACTCTCATCCCTGAAATTGTAGGTTCGATCCCCGGCTATGCATCAATGGACTTTCTAACGCATGAGTGTTAAATGCGTTACCAAGTCTATCAACATGTTTGTATTACGTCATCAGCCCATCCTCTTTTTGACCTGCCCACTTTTTATTATTATTAACCTGTTATCAAGAACAATTTAGTTTTATCTGAAGTTGAAGTGTTTTTTTATTTGCATTAGGCGGCCGGTCTGATCACCAGCGAGTATATGAAGGTGGCAGCTCTGACGCAGTCGGCGAGTCCGGACGCGGCGAAGAAAATATCAGGTATTTTAGCAGTTTGTCATACATATATGTTATATATTATACCATGTACCATGTGAGAAAAGGGTTAACATTTGAAGGAAATTTAGTACATGACTCAAATGGAAGTTAGGACGGCGAGAAAGGCGACTTGGGGCACTGCCAATTCGAAGGCAAAAAACCAGCTCCGAAGACGGATCCGGATGATCACGTTAGCTAGATAAATGGAGCCTTCACCAGAGAAGGCCAGATCCTTTACTTCGTACTTTGCTCACTCCAGTGAGCTTCCGTCCATCAGGCGATTGACGATGGCCCAAGTCGAGGTCCGAGTCTCGCAGGAGAGGCCCTTGTGACTTGTGGGAAAAGCCTCTTTCAGGTAGAGCGTAGCGCATATTGGCGCAGCCTGAGTTGAGCTGTCAACGGCCTTCAGGACAACAGCGAGATTCCATTCAAAAAGCGAAGGTCGTGGGGTGTGAACCTAAATTTCTTGATACTTCCGTCGATTTAGCGAAATATTGTTTTGAAAGTGTTCACATTGTTTTGGGTTGTAAAAGTTAAATAGATTCTTTAGTGGTTGTGTTATGTTTTATTCAGATAAATCTGTATAAAACATAGCTCTGAAGCGTAAATATGCAATTTATTTAAAAAAACATATATAGGTATACATATATAGATTAGTCAAATCGATAAGGTAGCATGCTTGTAAATGTCTTCGCCTGTCTCATCCTAATCGAAATCGATCGAAATATTAGTATTTGTGTAAAAGAACGATAAACACGTGAAAAACTTGACGTTTATTGACGTGTTTACAAGCATGTTACGTCACAGGGCCACGCCATCTTGTCTAGAGAAACGTTTTAGATTCTTAAACTGAAGAATGTTGTAGTATAAATAACAATTTGTAGAGGTTTTTTATTGTATAAAATTGTAAATAAAATTGGTGTTATTTTACGCACGCTATCATGGATAGATTTCTTCGGGCGTGTAAAAGATAAAGCAGGAGATATGGAACGGCTCTTGAAAGAGAAGGACAAGCATGGTTTGTATTATTTTAATGTTACAGAACGTGTTGTGCTTTTTGTGTTAGTTGAACCTAAATGCTACTTAAAAACCGAAATTATTTGAAGGCACGACAATGCGCCACTTCGAGCAAAAAATCGGCTTGAACATAATTTTCTCGAAGCAGTTCATTTGACCTTATAACTTCGTTATGGATAAAATTAGAAGCCTGAATTTTGTATTGCCAAGCAGGGATTGTATATTTCAAATTTCATTCAATTTGAACCTGTAATTAAAGTAAAGTTCCTTAATTATGTCACTCAGTAACAGATCATCAAAACTCTTAGGCACTCTAGCTAGTGGCTTCACGCCAATACTACTCTTGGCCAAAATAAATATTTTGTACAAACTCTTAAAAGCAATATACAGAATATTATTGTCTTTGATTAACATAATGTCACCGTGACCACGCACGCTGTAAAGCACGCGAAACGTCGGATAAATTTAAAATTATGTCAAATAGTTGTAAATTTATAATAATAAACATAACTTTAATCCGGTAAAAAGCGTTTTTCTTTAAATATACAGAATATTACTAGATTTTTATATAATTTTTTTATTTCAGGTATTTTAGCTAAGATGAAAGAAGGTGCTGAGAATATGCAGACTAAAATACAGGCCAAGGCCGAGCAAATGAAAAGTCAACTCGACGCGAAAGGTAAGTGGGATGGTTGATAAGTGTGAGAAGGATAGCTATAGGTTCGATGGCTTCGTACGAGAATGCATCCAATGAAACGCGTCGTTTATTATACTACAGTAAAAATTTAAGATAGTTAGTAGGTAATTTGAGAAAGGGAAAGCTATAGGTTCGACGGCTTCGTACAGGAATGCATCCAATGATACACATTGTTTATTATACTACAGTGAAAATTTAAGATAGTGGGTAATATGAGAAAGGGAAAGCTATAGGTTCGACGGCTTCGTACAGGAATGCATCCTATGATACACATTGTTTATTATACTACAGTGAAAATTTAAGATAGTGGGTAATATGAGAAAGGGAAAGCTATAGGTCCGACGGCTTCGTACAAGAATGCATTCAATGAAACGCATTGTTTGTTACTATTACTATTACCCATAGTTAATGGGTGATTATTAACAAGGTGAAGATATACTTAATAATAGTATGTTTTTTTATAAACTATCTTTTTTAGTTTAATTACTAGGTGAATTTTTATATTGCCATCATACATCAGAGTTTAAAGTATTGGATTTGATATTTCAAATTTAAAAAAAAACCGCCAAAACAATTTTAGACAAGTCGCACCAGTTGACGTACCGTTTTTGACGTGTTAATTGTCATTCTTAACGACCTATCTGGTCGCTAAACTCCGAACAAATACATTGTTTCTTTCCATTTTCCGTCATCGTTTCTTTAAGTAGGGAGAATGTAAAAAATATACGATGGAGTTGAGTAGTTTATGGATCCATTTTGAAAGATCGATACACGATTTAAAGAACTTCGCTTGATAGAAAAAATCCAAACATAGCCAATTTTTGACACTTTGAATTCATTTTATGACGACAATATATAGAACATGATTTTGTAATTTACACGATATATTTTGTCGCAAGCCAAGTAATGCATTTCAGAAAAACAATGATCAAATTACATTAATTTAATGTAACATAACTAAGTGTTATTACGGGCCGGCGCGCCTCGGTGCTCCAGCTCTTCACTGCGCCCCGCAGTCCACCCCGATACACTGACACAGCAATACGTGCTGGGATAGGGCCTTAAATGATGAATTTCGTTTGAAAACAGTCTTCGACGAAATTAAAACAAGGCAATACTCGACTCGACTGATCTGTGATCGTTTTGTGTCACGTGACATTAATAACAATGTATTTTGTGATTGATTATTTACAATTGAACTCCATAACGCTTAAAGCCATTTAAACACTAAATAACAATATCAAATAGTTTTATATAGTTACTGGTAAATTAGCTAAACGCAGTCTACTGATTCACTTTAGTATTCCTCTTAAAGAAATCGCTTGTTAGCAATAAGACCGCTACATTTTAGTTCTGATTAAAATTGTCCTCCCAACGAAGAGTTGCGTTGCTTAAGATTTGACAGGCGAAGACATTTACAAGCGTTCGACTAATCTGTGAACGTTTTGTGACACGTTATATATAAAACTGCATTTGTATGATATATTAACGATTATTTACTTTCAATAACACTTTATATATACTCAATACATAACATATCGGAACAATTTAAAATAAACCTTATTTTGAAGTGATTTAAGGCGGAAACATACTACCAAAACGCGACGCTACACCACGCCATCCGACGCATGTCAGTACTTATCAATCCAATATATTTAATATGGTCAGATGCACATAGACAACACGCCATGTGATCACACGCGGTAACATCCAATCGATTTGGATCGGCGTGTTGTCGTGTTGTTGACGCCAAGCGTCAAACGTTCGAGTTTTTGGCACAAATGTCAATTGTCAGCTAAATGACTTCTGAATTTGCAAGTGTGTCGTGGTGTCGCGTGTTGGTAATGTGCACGATGGACATCGGGTGTCGACACGTTGCGTCCCGTGGCGTTTTAGTAGTATGTTTCCACCTTTAGATTCAAGAGATCGGTGTGAAAGGGATAGATATAGGTTTGTTTCTATATATTTAAAATGTATCGTGATTCTTTAATTATAACAGAAAATTTATTTTACGGTATCTGTTACAACGTTAAAATTAATCGATTACGATAATAAATCTTGAAATAGCGTAATAATAATAATAAATCGTCTACAATGTTACAAAAAATTATGTACCTCAGTCAGTCATCCATGACCGATGCAACAAGAAAAGAAATCGACACAAGAATATCAAAATTATGGAAGAGCTTTTTGGCGTTTGAAGAAGTAATGGAAAATAAGAAAACGAATATGGCAATTAAAAGAAATCTCTACAATACTTGTCTCTTAATCTGAAACTTGGTGCTACGGTGTGTTGATGGAAATATGTATGATAGGGAAGAAAAGCATAGACAAAATCAACAATACAGCTTTAAAAAAAACAACTAAAGTAACAGATGTTACAATAAAAATATACAAAGAGGGGGAGAGAATTTTAGAATTGGGGAACGGGTTCTAAATGTATACTAACATTACCTCGACGTCTATCGTTCAAGAAGAGAGTCTTCGTCATTGTCTATGGGCATATAACATCAGATGAGCCCCGTTTACAAAAAAAATTTAGACGGTGTGCGCGCGCATCTCGGGCGCAATGGTTCAACGGGAAAATGAAAAGAATCATGTTGTTCGAAGCACGAGTAAATAGCTGTAAATTGAATTCGGAATCCCTAAACAAAGAGGAGATATTTGATAGACGACTCATTGGTCTAGTGGTTAGTACCTCTGACTGCGAATCCATGGGTCCCGGGTTCGATCCCCGGTTGAGACGAACATCGATGTGATGAGCATTTGGTGTTGTGCTTAGGTCTTGGGTGTTTAAATATGTATTTATATGCCTATCTATCTATAATATGTATGTATATCCGTTGCCTAGTACCCATAACACAAGCTTCACCAGCTTAGCATGGGACTAGGTCAATTGGTGTGAATTGTCTTTAAAAAAAAAAAAATTGAGGTCGATTGATAGGCGAGGACATAACGTCAATTTCATATAATTAATATTATTAACAATATAGATTTCGTTATTAATAAAGTAGTGTTTGTGTGACTTTCTAAAATGCGGAAGTATTTTTAAAGTGGGGTACACAAGGTGAGCTACATTCATTATTCGCGATTGGAATATACGGGCTGATATTACAGTATTATCTTAATATATATAAATTATGGTTGTTAGTGATACCACCCATGGACAATGCCAGAAGGCTCGCAAGTGCGTTGTCGGCATTTTAAGTATTTGAACGCGCTTTGAAGGATCCTTAGTAGAATTGGTTCGAAATACCTACCGCCCATGGAGACTTAATGTCCGAAAGCTCGCTAGTGCGTTGTCGGCCTTTTAAGAATTCGTACGCTCTTTAAAGGACCCTTAGTCGAAATGGTTTGGAAATACGTATCGCCCATGGAGTCTAAATGCCAGAATGCTCGCAAGTGCGTTGTGGGCTTTTTAAGAATTTGTACGCTCTTTAAATGACCCTTAGTCGAATTGGTTTGGAAAACGTATCGCCCATGGAGTCTAAATGCCAGAATGCTCGCAAGTGCGTTGTGGGCTTTTTAAGAATTTGTACGCTCTTTAAATGACCCTTAATCGAATTGGTTTGGAAAACGTATCGCCCATGGAGTCTAAATGCCAGAATGCTCGCAAGTGCGTTGTGGGCTTTTTAAGAATTTGTACGCTCTTTAAATGACCCTTAGTCGAATTGGTTTGGAAATATGTATCGCCCATGGAGTCTAAATGCCAGAATGCTCGCAAGTGCGTTGTGGGCTTTTTAAGAATTTGTACGCTCTTTGAAGGACCCTAAATCGAATTGGTTGGCTTTTTATTTGCCAAAATACACGACATACAGGCGAGCGATCGTGGAAGGTTTCTACACATAATGAAGAAGCACGTATATTGTCAAATTCAAATTCAAAAATCATTTTATCATATACGTAACACATTGTACACTTATGACTCGTCAGTAAAGAAATACATATTAATGCTTCTAATTTTACATTTAGTGCCAGTTCTCAAATCAAGGGCGTAGAACGGAAGAGAAGAACTGGCAATAAACTCTCCGCCACTCTTTTTAATCGCCATGTTTTTTTGTAACACCGGTATTAGACCCAAATAGGCAAAGATCGCCTACTTGCCTCATGAAACAGATACATAGGACGCAGACCTAAAAGTTAAACGAATTTGCTCCCATAAGTTTACAGTCCACGCCCTGTTCAAGGCATTCGAGTGCGTAATAACAAACATGAACTTAATTATGTATTATTAAAGTCATTTGTAGAGCGAATTGTTTAATGATAAATAAATTTGACTCTTATTTATAATTAAAATTGACCACATCTTATATAATGCTATATCTCCAGTATATGTTACAAGCTTTTCTAAAATACATGACAATTATGCTAAACATATGTTACAAAATATGACCAATTTTACGTTTTAGTTAACAATAAGCAAACATATATTAGCAAAACAGAGCAGAACGCCCTTGACTTGCGAACTGGTAGTAAATGTAAATTAACAATAAATTTAATTTCTTTCTGACGATTCATAAGTGTACTTGTTTACCTATATGAATAAAGATATTTTGAGTTTGAGAGGATTAGGTATCAGATAGGCACATTGCTTTTTTTTAAATTAATCACCCCTGTTCTGTTATATTCACGAATGCACTAAAAAGTATTAAATAATTTCTACTGCTTCTTAAGAGAAGTAAAACGGTTAATTTATTCAGTCTCTACTTAAGGGACTTTCTTTCTTAAGGTATAATGTAATTAGCTAACTTAACATCATTAAAAAAATTGTTTATTATGGAATATAAGATACAGGTATCACTTATTCCACGTCATTAAAATTGAATCGGTAGACATCCTGACTCATCGGCAAAGAAGACAGAGGGTGTAGGCCGAGAGAAAAAGCCGGCGTAAAAACCTTCGGTACTCTTTTAAAATAGCAAATCATCATACAAAACGACTATGGCAAACAACACTTATTTTAAAACAAATATAGCAAATTA